TTGTTGAATTCCATGGGAAAGTCAACTATCTTTTCCGCGTTGGATCTGAAGGATGGCTACTATCAGGTTCTCATGAGAGATACCGATGTAGCCAAAACGGTAGTAAGCACCCCAAGCGGTATGCTGTGGGAGTGGCTTGTGATGCCACAAGGGTTGAAAAATGCTCCGGCAACATTCAACTGAGTGGTAGCTCACGTGATGCGTCAGCACCGTGCCTATGCGTCCCATTACTTTGACGATGTATTCGTGCATAGTAGGGCGGAGGACGGTATGAGCGCAATAGAATCGCACAAGTGCCATTTAGACGCTGTGTTGCAGACTCTGGGTGACGCCCAATTATACGTTAACTTGCAAAAGTGCGTAATAGGGGTCCCCGAGATACCTGTACTGGGCTGCATCGTAGGTGCACATGGTGTACGAGCAGACCCAGAAAAGGTAAAGGCTGTAAAGGAATGGACAGTCCCACGTCATGTGAAGGATCTGCGCCAATTCCTTGTGCTCGCTAATTACTTGCATAAGTACAGCAAGAATTATGCGGAGCAGACTAAGCCATTGTCTGACCTTTTGAAAAAGGATACAGAATGGACTTGGTCAAAGGAGCAAGAAGATGCGTTCACATCAGTGAAGCAATCTCTTGTAGAGGCACCGGTCTTGGCATTGCCAGACGCGGATAAGCCCTTTAGCGTCGTCTGCGATGCAAGCAATTTTGCAATCGGCAGCGCGCTCATGCAGAAGGATGACAACGGTGTTGACCGTGTCATTTCTTATCAGTCTCGGTTTTTAAAAGCTGCCGAGCTGAATTACTCTGTGCATGACAAGGAGCTACTTTCAATTAAGTATGCCCTTGTGAAGTTTCGTGTGCACCTCTTGGGCACCGAACCTTTTGTGGTTTATTTGCCCTGCTTTTTCCACAAAAGAAAGACGCTATAGAATCTATGAGCGTCTATAGTGGCACGCTGCAAAAGCGCTGCGCTAGACCCATCCGAGTTCATCCACTCAGATGGAGGTGGCATTGGTGGCAAGCCACCACTCACGTAGCCGCCCTCGCGACGGCGGGCTAGTGAGGCCGAAGGTGTACTTGGTGGAGCTTTAAGCTCACACTCACCTGAGTCTGACTGTCCATTATGGATTGTCAAGACATCAGCTTGAGAAGTTACATCTGACTGAGTCGCGACTACTCCTTTCGAAGTAGCGCGCTCAGTCTTAGTCGCTGCGCTCGTAGGCGCAGACGACGGGGTTTTACCTTCGCTTGTAGGAAGCATAGATGCTTCCTCAAGGACGGGTGCCTCAAATGATGTGGACATACGTCCCATCAATGCACTATTCTCATCGCCACTTTGGGGTGATGGCAATGGCGTAGTCTCATTGTAGTCTACAATGAGAGATGGATCTTCATCCACATTATCGTGAGATGGAAGATCCACCCCAGTGCCTGACGCACTTTGCGACGGCTGCGATAAATCGCGGCGCGTGCGCTTAGTGCTGGACTGCATGGGTGCCTTTTCAGGCGACCCATCAGCCTTACCACGTTTCGGTGGCATGAGTACTGAGCAGACTAAAGCGGCGCGTTTATAACGGCTCGCCAGTCTCTCTGTCTCTTAGGCGATGTTTTACAAAATGTAAACATCGTTCTAAAAAGGGGGATGGTGTAACAGGGTATCTAGTTACACGTAAACATTAAGTAATATACTTAATGTTCGGTCGAAAAAGTATCCATGATTACTTTTGACCTGTCACTTGGGTGCGATACACAAATGTGATCCACCCTCGTGAATGTGATATCCATTGATGGATTCACATGAGAAGGGATGACGCTAGTTGAAGCTAGGCATCACGACGTCTCAGAAGGACGTCAGTTGCGATCTTAAATCTAGATTTAAGATCATGCGACAGGATACGCTTCTAAAGAGTCGCGTATCCGATCTATATATATATATATATAGCCAATCAGTAGTTAAACATATATTTAGTTATAATTAATTAAATAAAGCTCAGTCTTGAATTTACTTAAACAGAAACACCACGCACGAGAAGTTGAAAGACTTCTGCGTGACGTCGGTGTTCTAAGTGTTAAAAAGTTCGTTGCACTCTCGCTTACGCGAGAGGCAACTGGTGGTACGACTGCTTAAGCAGTCGACCAACCTCCCAACCACCCTCGCACGCGAAGGTAAGACGGTATAACCGTTTCCTCGCTTGTGCATAAGGTGTGTGCTCGTAGTACGAGGTAACTTCGTAGAAGTGCCCGTCTACACTGTGTGTGTTTGTGGTTCTCTCACGTCGTTTGAGAATCCACTCCACCACATCATTATGCGCAAGAAGAAATCGTGGTGCCAAGATTCGGGAAGTCACAGGACCTGATGGCCGACATACAAACGAAGGCACTATCGGCGCCAAGATTGGAAGAGATGCGAGCAGTGTTCATGTTAAAGGCCATACAGGATGACACCGAAGAGAGGTGCTGGAAACCATTGTGTGTGACAGATTTTGTGACAGATTTCTTAATGTCTAAAGGTCCAGTGGTATACCGTGGGATGGTGTCACCTGTTTCACCGGCTGTCTGACGTCTAGGACTACGAGGGTTTTTTTATTTTTTGTAGTTCTTTCGCGCCTAAATTGTATCGAGACTTAAAAAAAATCCAAAGCGACAGCGCAACAGATTGACAGATGGGACGGCCAAGAAACAACTTGAAAGTTGGGTTAAGGTTATACTGTTGCAGTGTGGGACTACCATACAAGATGGGCAAGTAAGACGAGTGCCATCTGACAAGTACATGGTCAAGTTGCAGTACAGCTGGGGTGCATGTCGAAGTGTTAACAAACAAAAATACTTAATGCTAAATTTATTTTACTTTAACTACTACTTCTAGTGCATCAAGTGCACAACATCGATTATTTACACTCACATGGTTCAAGATAAAAGCTGGAGAAGCCCAAGTCCAATGTGATACCGCGCTGCTGACTCTGCGGGTCTTTGTCCAACGATGCGGTGGACAGTTGCGTGCTCAACGCACGCACGAGGCTCGTCTTGCCGCTGTCGACGTGCCCTAGGACGCCTATATTCACATTGAGCGCTGTCATTGGTTAATAAACGAGATGCCGGTTAGGTGAAAGCTGGAAGTGGTGTGACCACACAACAGGCAACAAACAACAGGTTGTTGAAGTTAGTGTAGCCATGTTAGCAAGTGGTACAAGGTGTTGGCTGTCGCTTGATTGTTATGTTGTGTACAATATGATATGAGTTAGCATCCAATTTGACTTTAACAGAGCCTAGAAGTGGTAGGAATGATGATCTGCAGATTCGTGTAGAAAAACTGAGGTGAAGGCGCATTTTTGACGACGAAGTTACAGCAGTAGATAGATGAAGCTGCTTTACCATTTAGTGACTTTCTTTCGCTTCGAAGTTGACGTCTTGGCCATCAAAGGTGCTTGACAAAAGCTGAAGACGATATTGATTGGAAGCAGAGTCGAAGCTTGGCAGAGAAGCTCGCATTGGAGACGGTTGTGCAGCATAAGCAATTTGCTATGCAGCTAAAGCATAACAGTGAAATGACATGTGTAAAGCTGCACGCGTACTATGCACGCTTGTTGAATGACAAATCGAGATCGCGTGATTCGTTGAAGAAAACGCAAACTAAAAACTTAACCTTTCAAAGAGATTTGATAAATATCTAGTGTCACGTTGGAAACATCATCTGAGACTGCTTTACAGATCGAGCGAATTGGCTTGAAAGTTACCGCCAAGAAACACAAAAAATGACTTCGCCACTGGGAGCCTTAGAAATGATTGCTGGAATGCGCTCGTGGCGTCTAAACGGCACAACCCCTGCTGTTGGCAGCAGGAGTTGTGCCAAAAAACCGTTCGTGCTGCTGCGCAGCGTGAAGTTGTAAGGAGTCTGATAGAGGAATGAATGGCGTTGGCTGTTGCGTTGAGAGCCTTACAGGCGCCCGCGCCACACGATCGACCTGCACGAATTGATAACTTGAAATCAGCACTACGCAGAAGAGAAGGAGAAAATCGGTGCTTGTTTGCTGTAGCGGTTGAGCAAGAGGCAGTGGTTGTTAGCGCAAGGCTGTGGCTGTCACCACCGAGCAATGGGATCATTGCCTAAGCAGAAAGTAAAATGGTGGCACAACCAGTGCTGGATGAAGTACGTATCACTAGCAAAACATGAAAGAGGCACTCGACTTCCGTTAGCACCGAGTATTATCGGCAGGAGGGGAGGCTTGACGGGCTACTGTCATTACTGACAGTCGGAAATATATGCAAGCAGGAAAGAAGGGAAGCTTGCGGTAAGTGCTGCTGTGGATATTCGGTCAGTATTACTGATGACTATGATGGCATTTACCACATATTAAGCAGCTTTGCGGTTTTTTTGCAGCATAACGTCGATTTGATGATAAATATGCGGAGGCAAATCACGCTTGCATGCAGATTGCATTCGTACTGCCACTCAAGATCTGAGGTGTAAAATCATGGGACGGCTCACCTGATGGTCGGTTGTGTGACGATTAGACAGATGGGCCAAGGAGAGACAGGTGACAACTTGACAGTTGGGGCGACGAGGTGACGACTTAACAGTTGAGACAAGGCGATACAGTTGCATTGTGAGACCACCGTACGAGATGGGCAGGTAAGACGGTGCCATTTGACACTTACATGATGCCATTGGGATGCATGTTGTCGTGTTGACAAACGAGAGTAGTTAATGATAAATATATTATTTTTACTTCTAGCAACCTTTGCACAAGTGCAACAACTACGAGCATCAAACTTTCACATGCAGCGTCACGCAAATAGCGGCAGTGGACGCGTGAATACGAGCTGCAGAGTGTTCATCTATCAGACTTTAATCGCAACACAACATCATGCATTATAATAGGTTACAGCTACGATTTGCATCTGTCCATCGTGCCATTGAGGAGAATAGTTGTACCTTCAGTCTAACACCCTCATTACTCTATATCTTACTGCGAACCCACCGTGCTCAAGTTTTACAAGAATGTCTACCAAGTCCAGTGGAGGCCAGGTATCCTACGTGAAAATGCTGATCTTCTTCTGCGCGTTGCTCGCATATTCAGGTTCAAGCGTGGTTGCCGCACAATCGAGCAGTGTCATACACAATGCACACGGTTTGGACAAGTTAAATGCGGCTTCTAGCTCGGTCTCTTCCATCAAACGCCACTTGAGGTCAAGCGAAGACACGGAAGCGGGTGACTGTTTCATCTTGAGAAGACTCGGTATAAGTCTGAATGAAAATGTGTCCAAAGTAGTCTCAGACTTTCAAGAGTCGTGGGGGCGGCTGTGGCAGAAATCCTCGGACGGCACATATAAGGACCTGAAGCTCCACAAGACAAAAGGTGGACCATTTGAAAACTCAAAGTTTTTGGATTGGGTCACTTACGTCGAATCATTATACCACAAATCCCTGGCTGACGCGTATAAAGCAATGTTTTCGACCTTGGCACGTCGATACAAGGACGCTGCTGATCTGACCAGAATTCTCGTGGAGGGAAAAAATAGTGAAAGTACGAGATCCATTGCTACGGAATTGCTAGGTGTCCAGGTCCAGCGCTGGATAAAGAAGGGCAAATCTTCTGAGCAAGTTTTTCGCCTTTTGAAGCTCGACACGACAGCAGGTGGACCATTTGAAAGCCCAGTCTTTTTGCAGTGGGTCGCTTTCGTCCAGCTTAGATACAACAAATACCCGGGTGACGCGACTGATTTAATGTTGTTGACCCTGGCAGGTCAATATAAGACCGATGCTGCTCTGGCTAGAGTCTTAGTGGCGAAAAAAAGATCGAACGTATGGAATCCATCGCTTCAGAACTGCTAACCGCTCAAGCCTGGCGCTGGATAGACGCTGGAAGATCTGAAACACATGTTTTCAAAAGTTTGGAGCTCGACAAGACAGGGGACAAACTATTTGAAAACCCACTCTTTACGCAGTGGGTCAATTTCGTCAATTTAAGGTTTTCACACCTGGATGAAGCAAACAAGGCGAAGGAGGCAAATGTGGCGATGTTCACGACATTAAAACTTTTTTACACGGCCGAGGTTCTTACCAAGATTCTAGATGGGGGAATGAAGATACCTGCTACGAAAGACATTGCTTCTAAACTAAAAGCGATTATTCAGTCTTCGAAGGAAGACAATTGGGTCAAAATGCATCGTTTTGGAGCTTTATCACCAGACAGGCATCAAACTATTGATCCTAAAAATGTGGTTGTAGTACCTTACTCGGAAAAGTAAATCGTATGTCTTCAAACACGTTCAAGGAAGAGCTCGGCGACGCAGAGGTTGCAAAGATGGATAAGGTGGCGATCAACAAGAGCACTTCAAGAGAACTAGTGCACACTTTGCAGGAGGAAAGGTTCACGCAGTGGCTGGATGGTGTCATTAAGCCAAAGCAAGTCAAGAAAATGTTTGTGGAAGGAGGCTACTTCGACCAAGAGCTGATTTACGAGAATTGCGGCTGAATATACGTATTTTGTTGCTGCTCTTAAGTGCTTCGTAGTGTTTGGCTATACATCGGTGGATGCTCTGGTGGGGTCAGTGCTGGTGTTCACTAGCACAAATGTGGATGATACAAATAATAAATGAAAGAAGTCGGTGGTGCCATGTTTCGCCGTTGTGTTCCAGAACATGTTATAAGGATGAATATGGTCATAAACATACTATAGTATAACTTAGGAATATATCTGAGCAAGTTGGCAACCCTGGACGTTTTGTTTGCTTTTCATTCTTCTCAATGAAACAATAATACACGCAAGCACTCACTCGCTTGGCATCAAGGCAATCGAAAAAATTTTCATCAAGATCACCGATTGAATTTCTCACCAAAATCATCAATTGTTCGCAGCGAAGCCATCGCTACTAGGATGTTGTATTCTCGTAATATTAGGCTTCCGCCCGAGCATCAGCAAGAGCCCGTACCTGCGAGGCCATCATGCGGTTTGCTGCGTTGACGTACGCCGTTGCTGGTGGCACTAAGACATCCGTGTTCTCACCGTGGACAACATAATGGCGGTCACGCATCACACTCGTCAATGCATTTACAAGCTTTCCGTCCTCTGTCTCTCCTTATACTCGACAGCCACCTCACTTAAAGCGTACGTGCCGTCCGTCACACTATCCACAGAGAGCTCGTTCAGCTTGATTTATTCCATGCCCGTTGCGCGCTTAATGATGTCAACCGGACCGGAATTTATCACAGTCTCGCTCACTTTCTGTCCGTCCTTGTACGCAAGCGTGACAGTAGCCGTGATCTCAAGCAGCCGTGGTGTGCACAGATTGCAGCTCTGGCTTGAACAGCTCATCCGATACAATTATTTGCATGCCAGCGTCCGTAATAATCTGTTTTTAGTCAGCCAGAATTTTGGTCCACCCCACGTAGTAGTCAATCTTCTCTGGCGTATCGCCAAGCTGCTGGAGACGCTTCTATACGCCTGGCGACCCGAGTGCTTTCCACGCACCATCTTGTTCCCGCTTAGACCCATAGACTCGGACATCATGATCCCATAGATGATCTGGCGATCCTTTATAGTAGACCTCATGATGTGTCAGAACCGTGTGTCAGAACCGAAATCGTTTTCATGGTATGGCTCAGCACCATCGCAGCAGTATCGACGTATTGATTTTGTGTAGCATTATATGGGAACAATTTAAAGTGCAGCTTTCATTTTACTGCCCATCAAACAATTGCAAAGTATATGTACATGTTTCTCTGCGTCATCACTCGGCTAACTTTGTCGGCTGCGTATTGACAAGAGCTGGATATAAATTTTATTACAACGCCGCACCAACCACAATTACGCTCCACCAAAAGTTGCAGTATGGAGAAACGTTGAGTTTGTTGCGTCACGCTATTTTTTAGCGACGATAAAGACGCTTGACTGTACCCGCGGATCATTAGTTTAGCTCTTGAGCAAAAAATGTAAATAAATGTGTTGTGACTGGCAGTAACTTTTATATTAGATTGTACCAAATGCAGAGATTATAAAATAAAATTATACTAAAATAATCTAGGTATTTCTTGTTTATATAAATAATATATATAATAAACTTATACTTTTTAATTGTTTAAAGGAAGCGTTAGATATCCCAAACGTTTTCGTTAATTATCCCATATTCCCAGATTTGTCCAGATCTAAATTGACCAGAATGATTTCTCACCCTTCTGAAAGTAGAATAAGGTCGTCAAAAATGATGAATACCTTACCCATAAAACCAAAAGGAGTAGCCTTGCATTACCTCTACAGCTTGCATGTGCATCTTTCGAACAAGCAAGAGCATCAGCAGCAGTAGCAGTAGATGTAAAAGCATTGGATTAATTTTTCCAATATAAGCTCTATAACCAAAAGTTAAAAAACTGTAAACATGATGACAGAAGCGTTAATACTTTTTAGTTGGATGAAGCTAGTTTTCGTCAGCATCGGCTTTTTCTATTTATCACCTTCGCTGCTTGAGCCTCATTATCATGCTTACAAATGACCAATAAACGACTGCGCCTATACACCTTTGGTTCACATGCGTGAGCCACGGGTGCCACATTCATTGCCCATACATTGTCACCTCAGCTTCCGGGCCCCATCTTGGCTCTCCTCGTGACACGTCACAAGCTGCGTCTTAATGATAAACTTCGTGCTCGATTTTTCTTCAGCATCCATAATCCTACACACAACAACAACAATATCAACTTGTCAAAGCACCGGAACAGCTAATAACTTTAAACTAACAGACTTCCGATTAAACGTACTGCAGACTTGCAGCGGGATGTCTACGTGGTATCCGCTGCCTTGTCCAGCTGTTGCAGCAGCTCCACATAACTTGTAGCGTTGTCACTAAGAAAGCCCAGCTGGTCCTGTCGAAAGTCCGCCATGCTGTCCGTGAGCTGGTCGAGCGTCCTCACGATGTCCACCAGCGTACTCAGCAATTAAAGCGGCAGGTGCTTCGCCACGTTTTCTCATGGAAGATTTGTACCTGGTATATAGCCGGCAAGGGCTTTGTTTTAGGTATCAGTTGCGGCTTGGCGACTCGACTGCTGTTATTAGAGCGCCCGTCTACAGTGGATGGCGTCTTAAGCCGAGAAGAAGACCCGCTGGGCGTAAAAGGAGCAGCACATGGACTTTGGCCCCACTTGGGCTCGGCGCTCCTATGTTGAAAATCTTGGTGAGCAGTCGCTGAGCTGGCCGACTCCTGGGAGCAGTCGCGTGATCAGTTACACTGCTGGATGACTCTAGGTAACAGTCGTGTGAAACCAACACGAAGTAGGTTCAAATGCGAGTTGCTATGCTCAGGAATATATATTTTACTTACTCTCTAAATTCCTCTCTCGTGCACAAGTCTCTCCATTTCAACATCCTAATGTTTGGACGGGACGAACGAGGACGCTGATGACGTAGGCTGTAATATGGAGCTAAATGTATACAGGCTCGGAGCGACCGGAACTGATAAAATCTGTGACGTTTATTTTTTTTGTAACTTCAATAAGATGTTTACATTTACAGTTAAATTTGAGCATATTTGGTATGTGTGGGCTAGTGTGGGATATCTAACGCTTCCCTTAATTTATTATTTATTGTATTAAAATAGATTATAAGTAAGCATTATTTTCAAATTGATATCTATTGATGCGTACAATTTGTATGACATATGAAATATATATAGTAATATTACCAAGATAATAAGCCTAAATATTTATCTTCAATTCTGAAATACAAATATTAGAAAGAGCATCGCAAGACGCCAAATTCCTATATTTGAATTCTCCTACCACTAGCTCTTGACACTCAAGATGGCAAGGATAATGAATGGACCGAGGAACGAACCAAAGTGACGGAGCAGTAAATGTTACGGAGAAAAAGCAAAAGCTTTGCAGCACTGTAACCCTATGTCGGCATGTCGGCATTTTACAAAATTTAAATTTTGTGAATGAAGACATTCACGAAACCACTGCATCTATGCTTGTCATGATTTTGGCTTAGGCATCAGTTTATAAGGTGACGATAGCACTACGGATATACGACGGGACTTTGGCAAAAAAATAACTAATGGAAGCACTTACTTTCTACTGTAGCTCTAGGATAAACGCGGTGGATTGGAACATGCTGTCAAAAAGACGCAACATTTGTAAGAAAGAGCATTTGTTTGCGGTACAACGCCCAAATCTTACCGTTAAGGTCAACATCAGCAGTATCTGCGGCTGCAAATATTTGATTTGATACTTCTGTGTTTGACTTTAAGCATGCCCGCCGTTTGACAAGACACTCATGTGTTTGGCTTAGAGGTTTAAAAGCTTAGCTAGAACTTTAGCTCACTAGGACGGCCCACCAAGAACTGGCGCACCGCAAAGACGCCAAATTCCAGCTAGATCTTCCGCGAATATTCTGCCTTACGCAATCAAGTCGGCAAGGTTAAAAAAGCATAAGCTATTGTATCGCTTGTATTTAATGTACAAAGCGATCATAACGAAAGAAGATGAAACTCGTATTCAGTGCCTGTTTCAACGCAATTGTGCATTACTCGATGGAACTCACAAGATTAATGTATTCTAGTTGATTGACAATCTGTAGGCTCTTTCTCATTGATGTACAGTACAATCTTCTAACGCACCTTCGCATGGAAAGATGTAACGATAGCTCAACTACTTCACTGTGCTGCCAAATGAAAAGTAGTATTAAGAGTTAAACTACTACTAAAGTAAATGTATAAACCCTTCATAAACTGATCACACAATCCAGATCATTCGAAGAACACTGTCCATGCAAGTTGTCCTTTTCACGACACACACATCACTGACGTGATTCGTGATCCTCTACACTCCCCTTCAACTTGCACTCTCGCGAATTCCAGTTTCATCGCGTAGTCGCATCAATTGTGGAGCACCAAGCGGCTTCGTCAGGTAATCAGCAAGTTGCATAGCTGACGGAACATGTTTGAGCTGGATATCACCTTGCTCAATGTGGTCTCGAACAAAATGCATCCTAAGGTCAATGTGCTTAGCTCTTGGAGTATATCCCTGATTCGTCGCAATACTTATAGCCGACTTGTTGTCCATGTGCACTGTAGTCGCAGTCTTACATGTGACACCCATCTCTTTCAGCAAATAACGAATCCACATAACTTCTTGCGTAGCTAGTGCCAGTGCCATATATTCCGCTTCAGCAGAGGATAAACCCACCGAGTTTTGGCGTTTGCTTTTGTATACGACAGCTGCACCTCCGAGTAAAATCAACACTCCAGACGTAGATCGACGAGTTTTCTTATCATTTCCCCAATTCGCGTCACAGTATGCCCAAAGCATCATCTTTTTGTCGTCCAATTTGTTATACTTAATTCCGTGCGATTTTGTTCCCATGAGATAGTGTAAAACACGTAAAGCCGCTCGCCAGTGCATCTGTCGTGGCTGGTCCAAGTACTGCGATAATACTGACATCGCGTAGCTTATGTCCGGTCGCGTTGCATTCGCAATATACAGCAGCGAGCCGACCAATTTGCGATACGAAGTAATGTCTTTAACCACTGGGTGTGATTCATCCGGAGTTAGGTCCTGTCCTGCGCAGATAGGGTTGCGAACTGCATAAGCTTCATTTTGCTTAAACTTCGAGACCACCTTCATAATAAATTGGGACTGTTTCAACACCAACTCCCCCTTTTCTTGTGAGTAGTTAACTTCCATGCCCAAAATAAACCGCGCAGCTCCAAGTGACTTGACAGTAAAATGTTCTGACAATTCCTTAAAAATCGTGTCCGCCTCTGCATCTGACTTGCATCCAATAAGGAGGTCGTCCACATACAAGACTATGTATGTGGGTGACTTATTTTTTTGCATTATTGCGTCGAACAAAAAGACATGTGTCTGCTCGACATTGTTCGAAGCCCATGGCCGAAAACACAGAGCATATTTTCTTGTGCCAAACCGCAGCCGCTTGTTTTAATCCATATAAGCTGCGTCGTAATTTGCACACCATTCCAGGTGCAATTTCAATTCCATATGGTGCCTCCATGTAAACGTCTTCTTCCAAATCACCATTCAAAAACGCCGTTTCCACGTCAAATTGTCGAATTACATATTGCATATGCAACAAACAGACAAAAATACACGAATCGTGTTTGAGCATGCTACAGGTGAATATGTGTCGAAGTAATCAAAACCATGCGTTTGCAGATATCCGAGGGCAACCAAGCGTGCTTTGTAACGAACAATTTGACCGTTTTCATCGTACTTGTAACCAAATACCCACTTGTGACCAATGACCTTGACACCTGGAGGACGATTGACAGAATCCCATGTGCGGTTCTTAAGATGAGCATTAATTTCTGCTTGAATTGCTGCCTTCCATTTTTCTGCGTCCATCGACTGTAACGCCTCTCGTAAATTCATTGGTACATCAGTAGCAGAAAGCGATATTTCGTAATCGTCAACACATTGACGTTTAGGGTCCGGCTCATCATTTTCGCCATCGACAGGTGATCCATCAGTTAAAAGCGGTAGATCAATCCTCTCATCGTCAAAATCATCATTCGTGAGTAGACGAGATGACGTGAATGTACTATAAGGTCTTTTGTTCGACCCTGAGTATATCTCCATTCGATCATCTGGGGCACGGGAATTCTCACAAACTATAATAGCTCGCGACTGATCAGGTATTCCTGAGAGCATGTGTGTACCATTATTGCTACTTCCAGCGACCGATCCGTGTGAAGTACGACGTATCATCGAATTGTTTGTGTCAATGACTTGTATGTCTGTGCGCTCCCCCTCAATCGGAACAACATCTAAGTTTTGTGACTGATTGAGATCTCCAGACGCATCCACAACCATGTCTTCCCAACTAGTATCATTGTCAGCAGTTTCATCAACGTCCATTTCGTCATCCTCGTTATTCTTGTTCAAATCAGGTACTTCCACCTTTACTTCGTCTAAATCATCATGATAATGATTGCATTGAGCTAAAAGTTCACCTAAAACAACAACATCTTTGTACCGCGAAGGAGGACTCTCGTTTAGCGTAACGGACCTAGTCGTAACCAATTGTCCTCTCGCAATATCCCACACTCGGTACGCCTTTGAATTTTCCGAATACCCGAGAAAAATACACTTGTTTGCCTTGCTGTCCCATTTAGTGCGCTTGCAATCCGCGACTCGTAGATAACCAGTCGAACCAAAGACACGGAAATGACTTAAGTCTGGCTTCGACCCATACAGAGTTTCAAATGGACTAACGTTGGGTAGCGCAGTATTAGGAATTCGATTGATGGTGTACGCAGCCGCCATAATCGCCTCACCCCACCAAGAACGATCAACTTCCATGTGATATATCATTGATCGGGCCATCTCAACAAGAGTTCGATTCATCCTTTCTGCTAAGCCGTTTTGTTGAGGATTGTACAGCACGCTCCTCTGGTGGATAATCCCTAGATCTGCACAGTACTTGTTAAAGCGATGATTCGTATACTCTCCACCATTGTCACTACGGATGCATTTAATCTTGCAATCCGTTTGCTTCTCCACCATAGCACGAAATGCCTTAAATCGTTCCAAAACTTGGGACTTTGCTGCCAGCAAATATACGTAGACAAATCGACTGTAGTCGTCGATAAATGTGAGTACATATAGAGCCCCACCTTTCGACTTCGGGTTCATAGGTCCCATAAGATCGGTGTGTACAACCTCAAGTGGTCGACTTGTTTTAACTTCACTTCCTAAAGTATGACTGAACGGGCTGTTTGTCATTTTTCCGCGTGCACATCCATCACATACACCGCCATCAGATGCGACAACTCTCGAAATACCATCGCAAGACTTCATCGCTTGCATAATCTTTTTCGTAGACACATGACCGAGGCGAGCATGCCACAGTCCACTAGTGTCATTTATCGCACCACTGCTCTCAGCCTTGTGTGCCTCTAACGTGATATGCTGTTTTACATTCCACGCAAACAGCTTTCCCACTCGTTTAATTACTGCTACAGTCACGTCGTCACTTATCAAAACTGCTTGATCACGCTTGAACTGAACAAGCACGCCTCGGGCCGTCAACGCTGCTACAGACACAAGTTTCTTGTCTAGCCCAGGCACATACAACACCTCCGTAAGTTTGACTGTACGACCATTTTCGAGTATAAATCGAGCTTTGCCTGTTCCTTGCGCCTTCAACTGATGTCCATTTGCCACAGTGATGTAAATTGGGGTACTTAAATCTTCGTATTCCACAAATTCACGCTTGTCATCAGTCATATGACGACTTGCCCCACTATCCAGCAACCAAGTTGAATTCAAAATTGGTTCGTCACTGAATGCCGAAAAAACGAATTCATCACCAGGTCTCGATGGTTTCACGTTACGACACTGCGATCTCTTGTGTCCATGCCGGCCACACGCAAAGCATTTGCCTTGAAAACTCGCATGAGCTTTTCCTTTCCTCGAAGTTTGGTAGCGATCTCGATTTTCTTCTTGTCCACGGTGTCCTCGGTTACTTTGAAAGCGTCGAGGTTCATTACGTTGAGCGTGTGCCTTTAAAGCGGTTTCCTTCTTGTCTCGCTTCTGAAGAGTGTCATACTCCCGGCGGAGTATCTCTTTTGCGTCTAACAGCGTCACGTTGCTGTGCGCCTCAATGATGCGCACCATATCATCATATTCGGATGATAAACTTCCCAAAAGCAAAACTAGCTTTTCATCATCATCCATGCTGTCACCAGCAGCTCCGAGCTTGAGACACAGCTCATCAAATTTTAGTAGATGGTCCATAAGACTCGCACCAGTCTCCATCACAAATTCATGTAATTCTTTCCGAAGTTGCACTCGGTTGTGAAGATTTTTCTTCGCAAAGAACGTCTTCAGAACCTCCCAAGCTTCAAACGCAGACTCACATTCCCGAACCATGCACTGATAGGTTGGAGAGAGTAGCTTCACCAGTACAGCCAGAGCCTTCATATTGGCGACTTTCCATCCGGGATTCTCCCGCAGCACTGCCGGCTCTGGCTTAATCAAAACGTGATCCAAAAGATCCTTGCGCGCGAGTGTCATGCGTGCATTAAATTCCCACATGAAGTAATTGTCATCCGTGAGGATGTCATTAGGAGCCAACGTATTTGGGCTCATAACCTGTAACGATAGCTCAACTACTTCACTGTGCTGCCAAATGAAAAGTAGTATTAAGAGTTAAACTACTACTAAAGTAAATGTATAAACCCTTCATAAACTGATCACACAATCCAGATCATTCGAAGAACACTGTCCATGCAAGTTGTCCTTTTCACGACACACACATCACTGACGTGATTCGTGATCCTCTACAAAAGATGTCATTTGTACATCTGCATGTGAATGCAGCAAACCGCTTGATCTTGTGCGTCGAGTAATAGTACTTGTCGTTTCGCAGCATTAATAACGTAGCTGCTTGCCTTCAAAACTTTCGAGCTACTCGTGCGATTTCACCTGACTAACTCTAGTTTTGCATTAAAAGCCTTGCATAAGACTGTGGTGCAGAGATCAAAACTGCATGGACCGAATGGTTTTATTCGTCTAGTAGTAATTGCGTGCAAGCACTTTATTTACTGAACACCCTTGCGTCGATGTTCCTGGGCATTTTTTTAAAGACCTAAGACCGTCATAGAGCCATTGCTCCCGGATAAAAGTGTATATAGAGTTAGATGCAGAGGGAGAACGCGGCGGACGCAAGGATGGTCTCATCCTGTGCTCAAAACTGCTCTGTCAATGCTATTATGATCTCGATGCTGCTCTTCTAGGACTTTGACCCCCAGGCAAAGAAAGCTTAGTCTTAGAGCTGCTAAAAACCAGCTTGTGTAGCTCCTGAAACAAGAGATGAAGAACGAATTATGGCGTGGTTTCGCTGTAAGCCGACCTTCTATACTGTGGGTAGTCAATAGCTCTGCTAGCATCCCATCAAGTGAGCGTACAGATAAAGCACACTACAATACCATAAAAAAAAATATCTCGCATAACGCAGACAAAACTTATCCTATGATGGCTTCATCCAAAATGACGATACACTTTGTCAATATTGTAAGTTTTGTTTGAGGCCATGGCCAAATGAAGTATTGGGTGACGATAAGAAAAGCTAGTAGCATTAAAAATGATGAACGAAGCAGAATTAAACTTTTTCTTCTCGAAACTGCTGGAATATTAGGAATATCTCAGGTTGAGACGTAGATGTTAACGCATGTAGCTGCCTAGTAACTTTAGCATTTTCGCATAACGATGCGGAGCTAGAGACGACCTGCACCTTTAATGCAATTACATGCTTGCTTCAACAAGCCCACTTGCCAACCATTTTCTCGCGTGTGAAATAGCTTCCAGTAAGTCACCGCCAATAGAGGCCAAAAGCGGCACCAAAAATTGAACCTTGTGCTCAATTGCTTACTGGTCGGGCAGGTGAACAGCAGTTAGCCAAAGCGCTCTTGCCGCTAGATGTTTCGCGAATCTATAATCGACTTGCTGAAAGGCTCTTGCCGCTTGAAGATATTGATCGAGGAATTGGTATTGGACTTCCAAAACCGAAGTAGGCCAGTCAAAGTCGCAGTCGTAGTTTAGAAGAGCAATAATGGTAGGAAATGTATGTTTGCACGGATTGGAATGACTTGCTTGCGTCACATACAAAATTGCCTCGACACGTGGGCCGACTTTGGTCTGTTCCATTCCGTGGTCTCTACAAATGTGAGTATGAAGTTGCAAGTTCGTGACACTCGTAGCTGACAAGGAGACGTCTTAGTGCAACTTCCAGCTTGTTTCGGTGCACCACTTGATCTGCTCACGCCTGACATATCAACGCTGTTCACTTTCTGAATCAAACAACTTGTGCAGGATTGAGAGAAACCCATGCGACACTGGATAAGTTTAGCCAGGGAAGTTACACAGACATTGAACCTTCAAGTGAGGCCGCGAAACTGATCATTTTCAGGGCTTCTCAGACTGCGCGACTGTTGGTATCACTTTGACGCGACGGCCAAACCGGCCAGTTCTCTGTTCAATTTGGACCAGATCTTGCATACGACCGGTCATTCGATAGACATTTACTTCATAGTAGCTATTAACATGATGTACAACACCAAGGGTCTGAATATCGCATCAAACCGACTGAAGGCTAATACTCACGAGCTCTCCTCGACTTCTCTAGTTGCTGGACCAGTCCATACCACCTCACCAAATCGAGGTCTCGCTGCTCGCGTGCACCGATCCAGGAAAGGATTCGCCTCGGGGAAATCGCGCTTGTCATTAAAAATCGATGCCGACTGTATGACTGCTGAAAAAGGAACACCGGTAACGAGAGAGTCAACCCCCGCATCGACCTCCAGCTGCGGCAGCGACGCAGTGCCGTGGTGGGAAGTCGAGTATCAATGCCCACCCCCCGGTCATCTCGGCGCTCACGTGGTCCCCGTTTCCGCTGAAGTGAAGACAGCAGATTCTCCAGCTGCAACGAATTCAGTCGCACGGACCAGCAGCAGCATGACGAGCAGAACAGAGACCAACCAAACACAAAGTGTGTCTATTGGACTTTCGACTCGTACTCAGATAGAGACGATGTCATTAGCCAGCATCATTCGACCAGGCTTGGTGCTGTATGAGACTCCCGATCGAGCACGAAGAAGTCCACACAGCAAGCTGCTGAGCATACGGGCCTCTTCTCCTCGTCGTACGCTGCTTCAAATTCTCTGTAATTTGACCAAGCAGCAAGATACTAACTGATGTGATCGTAATCTTTTCAATCTCTGTAGTGTTGGTGGACAATTGTCCAAGTCAAAAACGTAAGATACGGTCCCAAGACGTGACAGACTGCGAGACCGATCTCTTCTACGCTCCTATGACTAAGGAACTCAAACGTGTCCACAAGTCCAGGTATCGCAATGGTTCTTGTCATTGATTAGTTATTCCAGTTGAAGCTGATGTATCTCGTTATGATACTGTTGATGATTGTGCCCAGTCAAGCGGCGACACCGTCAACGTTGGTGCAGCCCCTAGCACAGATCGGCCTTGGTGAGACACGTGGTCTTTTGTCAGCAAGTAAGCTGATTGAGAAGACGGAAGACGATGAGCGTCCTGCTCCGTAAGCAAAAAAGCATGCTCATTTTCGTTATTCACATTTGTCCATCTCAAATATTTTGCCACAATAATTGAATGAAGTCGATGGCCAAAGAAACCATGGAGCTTAGTGGGTAAGTAGGTTAATAAAGAGTCGATTGCTACCATACGGAACAGCTGCAGAAAGGAGTAGCAACGAGAATGAGACCGTTCGTCGTCACGTGCGCGACAACAGCAGAGGTTCGATCAACTGCTCGAGAGTGTTTCCAGGTGTCCTACAATTCTTGAAGAGCTTCCGTTATCTCCGTTGCCATGAAGACACTCCTGCTGTCCAGTCTTGCGTTGCTCAAAATGTACTCCAGGAGCTGTATTTTGAGGAGAGTGATCTTTTGAGACGACCACAGGACGGCACGGTCGTAGCTGCGATCATTTTTTGTGAGATGTGACCGTCTTCCCACGCTATTTGTTGCTCATATGCGACTTTCATGTGAGGCGGCGTACTATCTCTTATATAGCGGACTAGCCATCAACATTGTAAGAGCTAGTTCTCCATGGCAATCTACGCAGCGATAGTGCCATGTCGCAATCATTAGCGACACAAATTACTGCGCCCCCTTGAACTTGGCCAAACTGAATTAGCAGCGTCTTCTTCTTTTTCAAAATACATCGACAGAGCCATAAGGAAAGCAAGCATCTTTTGACAGCATGATCTAGTCCACCACGTTCACTCTAGAGCAAGAAAGTAGGTGATTCCATAGTTGTTTTCCATGCCATAGTCCTATTGCTGTGACTAAATAAATATTTCCGCGTACAGCATATAGTCAAAAGTATAATCTCCAGTGCTTCAGTACCGTTCGATGTGTCATCATTGCTTCACCAAACTCGGCAGCTTTATTGCCGAGCCGCATATGGTAACGACCGATTCATAACGTTTCATAAATTTTCTCATAACTCAGATTAGCTGCTACATCAGAGCGAGCGTTATCCATCGACCGCTGATCAACTTCTGCGTCACCGCGGATCCACAAACAAGTCATATATATTTGCATTGTAAAGGTGGTTGTGACATCCATGTTGCAGAGGTAGATGAACGTAGACTAACACACCAAACGAACAAGCTTTTGGGGGTATTGTAGAAAGCCAAGAATGTGATAGTACAGACTGGTGGAAGCGTTATGTGGATTCTGGCCCATAAGTACTCAGATGCCGCATTCACGCCTCCGTCAACTTTGTGATAAGGCTTTAATATGGGCGACTTTATGGAAGGTAAAGGAGCACGCACTTTGGGATGAACGATTCCTAAGCACTTGCACCTTTGGCAGAAAAAAGCTTGTATGTGGGATGGTGCTGAGGCAACGGAAGTTAAAGGCGTGTAATTACATGTCACGCCGGCCTGCAGAAGCTAAAGCCTCATTGGAAAATGCGGATCGCGAGACTAAAGCACTCAGCCAAATGGTGTTATTCCGAGCATGTTAATCGAAGACGCGCAAAGCTGTACTAGTCATTATGGACAGATATCTCATTTTTGACAGTGCACATGTTGACGAGTGAGTACCGTAGTAAGAGTTATGTGTTATGGCTAAAACGACAAGCTGGTAGACAAAGATGGAACTCAGCACATCTGATACATAGTGTGTCATTTTGACTGACAAGGGCAGACAATATGTTGACGGAGCAGAAAGCCGTGGTACAAGACGCATGGGAATGATCACGTCCTCGTCAGTTGTAAGACCTCTCAATTCAATTTTGGATCGAACACACCACTCGCTTGTTGAAATGACAAAGACAGTATGTACTAACCTGCTTCTTAGACGAATGCACTATAGAAAGCCGTTTGACAGGGTGGATAAGTATAACAGGAGCAGAGGGTTTTCGTTTGAAAATGTTGCTTGGAGTGCAGCCTGACATGCAACGTCTTCGATGTCTCACTCGTAATCAAAATGAAGACCCTGTCCTGTTGCCAATATTGCCAAAATGGGCTGTATTTCACTTCACGCACTTAGATTACTCTGTGCCCAGCATGTGCATTCGTCGCAAGCGCCAAGTGCCGGTTCCAGCAATTCGAGATGACAAAGCTGGCGTAACTTGGGTATTGATTGACATATTGCCAGGGAAATTAGCAACATGTGTGCACATATAAGTCGTTTCTTCATTATCTTTTTGTTAGTGCGTCCTTCTTGTCCTGGCGTTTGCCCTCTCCATCTTTACCGTTTCATGCCCATCACGCTGCCTTGCAAAAGATGTCAAAGGAGACCTTAGTCTGAGCTTCTTAATGATTCTTTCAGCCAGGTTTGTTTTTCCTTCTCTGTAGGTGTCAAAACTTCCGCCAATTGTCGCCTGCATCCTCATCATGAATTTTGAGAGTTAGGACGCGCTTAGCCACCTCCGTTGCAGCTTTCAGCTATCTTGTACTCTAGTCACCATATATTCTGACATAACGTCCACAGCAGCACTTACCGCAAGCTTCCCTTCTTTCCTGCTTGCCTATCTTGCCAACTGTCAGTAATGACAGTAGCCCGTCAAGCCTCCTCTCCTGCCGATAATACTCGGTGCTAACGGAAGTCGAGTGCCTCTTTCATGTTGTGCTGCTACCATTTAGTGATACGTACTTCATCTAAAACCGGTTGTGCCACCTTTTTACTTTCTGCTTAGGCAATGATCCTATTGCTCGGTGGTGACAGCCACAGCCTTGCGCTAGCAACCACTGCCTCTTGCTCAACCGCTACAGCAAACAAGCACCGATTTTCTCCTTCTCTTCTGCGTAGTGCTGATTTCAAGTTATCAATTCGTGCAGATCGATCGTGTGGCACGGGCGCCTGTAAGGCTCTCAACGCAACAGCCAACGCCATTCATTCCTCTATCAGACTCCTTACAACTTCACGCTGAGCAGCAGCACGAACGGTTTTCGTATTGGCATAACTTCTGCTGTCAACACCCAATACGTTTAGACGCCACGCGCGTATTCCAGCAATCATTTCTAAGGCTCCCAGTGGCGAAGTCATTTTTTGTGTTTCTCCGCGGTAACTTTCAAGCCAATTCGCTCGATCTGTAGAGCAGTCTCAGATGATGATCTCAACGTGACACTAGTTATTTATCATATCTCTTTGAAAGGTTAAGTTTTTAGTCTGCGTTTTCTTCAACGAATCACGCGATCTTGATTTGTCATTCAACAAGCGTGCATAGTACGCGTGCAGCTTTACACATGTCATTTCACTGTTATGCTTTAGCTGCACAGCAAATTGCTTATGCTGCACAACCGTCTCCAATGCGAGCTTCTCTGCCAAGCTTCGACTCTGCTTCCAATCAATATCGTCTTCAGCTTTTGTCAAGCACCTTTGATGGCCAAGACGTCAACTTCGAAGCGAAAGAAAGTCACTAAATGGTAAAGCAGCTTCATCTGTCTACTGCTGTCACTTCGTCGTCAAAAATGCGCCTTCACCTCAGTTTTTTTACACGAATCTGCAGATCATCATTCCTACCACTTCTAGGCTCTGTTAAAGTCAAATTGGATGCTAACTCATATCGTATTGTACACAACATAACAATCAAGCGACAGCCAACACCTTGTACCACTTGCTAACATGGCTACACTAACTTCAACAACCTGTTGTTTGTTGCCTGTTGTGTGGTCACACCACTTCCAGCTTTCACCTACCCCACAGCCTCATTATTAACCAATGGCAGCGCTCAATGTGAATATAGGCGTCCTAGGGCACGTCGACAGCGGCAAGACGAGCCTCGTGCGCGCGTTGAGCACGCAACTGTCCACCGCATCGTTGGACAAAGACCCGCAGAGCCAGCAGCGCGGCATCACATTGGACTTGGGCTTCTCCAGCTTCTATCTTGAACCATGTGAGGGACCATCACTCCAAGTCACACTAGTCGACTGTCCCGGCCATGCATCTCTTTTCCGAACGATTTTGGGAGGTGTAGCCATTATCGACATTGTGTTGCTAGTTGTAGACTGTCGCAAAGGTCTCCAAGCGCAGACAATTGAGAGTTTACTCCTGGCGTCACTAGTGGCACAAAAGAGAGTGATCGTAGTTCTGACCAAGACGGATTTGTTGTCTTCTATAGACTCGGAAAAATCGGCAGTGATTGCTGCAGTCACGAGCGAGATACGAGCATTTTTGGCTACGTACTTATATTTGAATCAAGATGTTTCTGTTTCAGTGGTTCCTGTGGCCGTGGGGAACGGGAAAAAGGCCCAAGGGGTCTTTGAACTTCTTGAGGTACTACGGACCAATTTGAAGGCTCCAGAACGTGATACTTCTGGGGCTTTTTGTCTCGCAGTAGACCACTGCTTTGCTGTGTCAGGGAGTGGCACAGTGTTAACTGGCACCGTGCTGTCTGGAGCTCTTTCAACGGGTGATGAGCTAGAAGTATTGCCAATTGGAATAAAAGCCAAAGTGAAGATGTTGCAGGTGTTCAAACAAGATGTGGAGAGATGTGCCCAAGGTGATCGAGTTGGAGTTTTGGTAAACGGACTGGATCCGACACTTGTGGAGCGAGCATTAGCGGTATCTCCACCCGGAAGCTTGGCTCCAGTTACACAAGTGGTTGTCCCAGTGACACGTGTGCCGTTCTTTCGAGGCGCAGCTTGCAAGAGTGGAGCTAAATGTCATGCTACAGTTGGTCTCTCGACTGTGATTGCTACTGCCACATTTTTCACGCGACTAGGAGAGCGACGAGATGGCGATGGACACGCAAAAGAAGAGTTTAATCCATCAGCGCTGTATGAGTACTTGTCAGATCTCGATTTTAAGAACACTAGTTCAGGTAGCGAGAGCAAAATTGGCAAAGCTCCAGTTTTTGCGTTGCTTCAATTTGAACGCGCGGTCTTCTGCCCTCCTGCAGCGCTTGTAGTGTGCTCACGCCTTGATCTCGACGCAAAGCGATATCCATGTCGTTTGGCTTTTTATGGCGCTGTGCAGAGCGTCGTGGGGTCAAATGACGAGGAGTTGAAGACGCTGTCTTTTGTACACCGCAGTGTGGTGGGCCTTGCTGACATGCAAATCGGTCGAGTGAAGCGTAAGGATGGCTTCGTGGACAAAGTGATTAATTCCAGAAATGGCAATAACGAAAATGAGCGCGAGGTTATCGGTCGCGATATGTTTACAAAAGATGTAAAGTGGAGCGTGTATCAAAACTCAGTGGTGTTGTTCGAGCAAACACGAGCGCTGGGGACTATTCTCGGGCCTTTTGGCAAGGCGGGTAAGTTCCGCATAGCCTTGTTACATAATGAAGCTTCGTGTTCAAAACAGCACGTGGGTCCTGCTCGGGGGGAAAAGTTTGTTCTGCGCTTTCTCAAGCTGATCACTCTGAAGCCACCGAAGCTCAAAGGAAAGTCGACCACGCAACGTATTCTTACAAAGAGCACGTGGCGATCTACTGCCAAGACTAGCGCGCCCTCCTTTATCCAGGAAATCCTTTTGCTATACCCGGAAGCATTCAAGGCTGAACAATTAACGTCATCTATTGAGGCCGTGACACCGGACCTTGTTAGTCGCACTATCACCGATGCGTCTACTCGACAAGTCGATGAAGGAAATAGAAACACTGAGCTGTCTGTTGTTGCTCGTAGCGGAAGAATTGAACGATTGAAGGGCGAGACGACTGCGGAAGGAAGAAATCCATTTGCAATTGTTTCAGGGTTATTCAGCACCGAGCAGGAAGCAAAAGATGCTGTCGGATTCCGAGTGCGATGTGTTAATGGTGACCAAGATAATTTAAGTGAAGGCAAGATTGAAAAACCTTTCGGCAAGGCTGGTAAGGTCCGCGTAGACTTTCAAGAATGTGGAGGCACAAAAGGCCAAGTTGGGGATGCAATCGAGTTGTGCTGACGAACACTCATTCGATCTTTTTCTTAAGCGGCGAAAGCGCATAGCTGAGCACCGACAAGAAATCATATTTTCATGGGCTACACGCGACCTTTGGCCATAGAGCGCGTCAAATGCCAAGCCACGAGACTTATTGTAACTTGATGTTGGAACGAATTCGCATGAAAAGCAAATCACACTCACAAACAAGATTACTCGGTCCTGATCCCCATTATATCGCAAAAGATGAATGAAATGAAGATGCTAATGCTGCACAGTGATGTGATTGAATTAGCCACGAACATACGCTCGAGCGAGGAAAACAGCGCCGTTTGAGTAGGAGAGGACTTAAGTGTAAAAAGAGAGGAAGGACAAAGATGAGCGAAAAGGGAAGATGAAGCGAGCTACACTATGAGTAAGAGGCGGACCAGAAATGACAATACCCATATCCTCACGGGCAACACTCGGCGGATGCTATTGTATCGTCGGCACTATCGTCAAGCTCGCAAGATGGCGGCGGTGCTGGCTCAACGCGTTGCTTGCCAGATTATCGTCCGGATGATCATTCTGAGTATCTCCTCAGTTGGACCTCTTTTGTTGAAGAGCCCGAAGCATCTTGCATTACTTTGCTATCCCAGCAACTTCTCATTCTACTTTACTCTACTTTTTATCATCCCAAGCCTGCTGCTTGCATCAACAGCCTGCTCCAACCGCATCCAGGACGACGTGGACTGGTTCAAAACGCTGGTCAAGCTCGTGTTGAATGACAGCAGCGGAATGGCCCATACGCGTCCAGATCCGCACCTGCCGGAAATAATCGTCGTAAATCTCAGCTGCGCACACTGGATGGAAATTTTCGCCCGCGTTTTCCGCAAGCTCATTTAGGTGCTCAAGGCCGAATGGCTGATTGATCAGCACGCAACATCGTCTTGGGTCCGATACACCGTCTCCAGAAGTCAATGTAGCATGCACTGCATTGATGGTAGCGGCTGTCGTTGGGTAATACAGCAGCCGAGGAAGTTTTTCGGGTTTGTTGTTCCTTCTTGTTGTAGCTCCCTCACCATTTTTTGACTCTTTGTCCTTGCTCTGCATCGCAGGCTTATCCGCTTCCTGCGGCTGTGTAGTAGTGTTGCCCGACACAGTACTAGCACTGCTATTCTTTTCTGTCTTGCGCGAATCTCCGCTTGTCGTTTGCGTGATATCGAGATTCGAATCGCGTTTCCCTCGTTCTTGTTCGCGCTGTTTCCGATCCAATTCCTCTGCTTCAGCCTTTGCTTTCGCTTCAGCAGCAATCTCGGCTCGCTCACGCTCTTCAAACTCCACAGCCTCTGCCGGGGTAAGGACAGCATATCCATGATGTTCGAGGAACAGTTTTAACGGCAAGAAGTTGTGCGGCGTCACATCCAGTACCAGCGTCTTTCGGCCGTCCACAAAGCGTCCGCACCATTTCAGCACTTCTAGCAGCAGGGGTGCTTTCGAGTCGATGAGAACATTGACTTCCTGCTTGAGTCGCGTTCGATCACGCAACGTGACGAATGATTCTCCACCAAGATCACACGGCTGGCGAGAATCGCCCAGCAGCACACAGAGACTTCGAAATGGTCGCTTAAGCGCCAGCGCTGCTTGCCGCTCTACAAGGCGGTAGGCTTGAGATGCATCTTCGACCGAGAGCTCTTCGTCTCTCGGCGAAGGTGCCTTGGGCATCACACGCAGCTCGAATGCTCGATCCTTTAGTGTAGCATCTGCCTCGATACACAGGATATACTTGCCCGTGGTTGTACGCAACAAAAATGATTCGTCCACATCCAGGCCTGTCCACGAATGCCGGAAGCCGTATTGGTCCTTGGGTACACACCACACGCATGGCACTCGTCCATTCAGCGACCACAATGCCACCAAGTGACGATGCTTCTTCGGTTCCTCAAGCACAGGCAGGATATGTGCTCCATATCGTGTCATCGACACTTCCGTCACATCGCTACCTTTTCCAGCAAGACGAATAATGCGTTCGGTGATACCCTGTAATGGTGGTTCCAGTCCACTGTACACATTCTCCGAGTACCCCAATGCCGCTTTACCGCTTGCTCTGACAATGTTCAGTAGTTGTGTCACCACCATAAAGCCCGCCAGCATGGCTCGTGCAGTAAACACATTCATGACTTTTAGCTGCAATGCTGCATCGGCACTTGACGTTGCCGGGTCAAAGACCTTCAAGAGCTGCATCGGGTCTAGACCAAGTGATTGTGCCACTAGCTCTGGTGCTCGAGTCTCCCAGATGCAACTGGCAAGAAAGTTGTGGGTTGCATATTTGTACACAAAGAGCAGAGAGTCGAGCGTCATGGGCTGCATGGGGTCCAGCAGTAGAAAAGCCTCGTACCCTGAGAAGCCAAAGACGCCACTAGAACATATGCCCAATAGCACCAGTCTAGCAGGCTGCACGATGCTCTGTATGGATACACGTGCGATGCGACGCAGGACCTGAGCTTCTCTTGACAACGTCATGGCATGATGGTTGATTACAGAACGGCCAGGAAATTCCTGCTCGGGTTTCCATACGACGTCGCCCAGTCGCTGCTGGTTGGCGGCGTGTTTCAACTCTTCCGTTTTGCTAGACGACGAGAAATGGTACGTCAATTGGAGTGAGGGCATCTTAAGCCTCAGGAACGATACGTTGGGATTCTTTACCCCGGAGCGACTGAGCCACACGTACCGCAGAGAGCGCAACATGCTATCTAAGTGTCTTACGTTGAAGCTTAGGAGGGGACAGATTGAGTAGATGCGATGCTTCAAACGAAACGAAGAGATAGATATTGCCTGGAGATGTGACATTGACAAAAGTCGATACGATACGGCACGGCACGGATTCAATAAACCGGAATTGCAACTGTAGTCTCCATCATTGTGTTGCAAACGTCTCCCCTTTTGCTGAGTAATTGGTTGTCAGTCTCATGTCAACGAACTTGTTTTTCCCTAGGACACATGTCCCGCGTTAAGCCGCTTTTGTTGTAGCAATGCTTTCTCTTTTGCACAACTGTTCATGCTTTCAAAAAGGTTTTCAAAACACGTGGGCTCCCCTGCAGCCAAATTACGTGTCGTTGTTAAACATGTCCGCGATGCACTTGCGCATGGACTACTGCTAATGCTCCCTTGGCACAGTCTTCGGCTAAAAATTGAGCGTGGGCATTTCAAATGTCATAAACGACTTTGGTCAAACCGTTCATGATGTCGTCCCTGCGTTGACTTCTCGCCAAACATTGAGGAAGAACGCAGGGAACAAGATTCTATCTCTTTCCCTGTTTTTTTTCTTGAATAACTTGACTTGGCAGCTGTCAGAGTGCCTCCTGTTGGCTTTGGACGTGTCGCTCGAGCCTTCTATCTAAGTTTTTCGCGTATCGTCGTTAAACTAGTCATTTGTGTTGCACATCAGAACCTCGTAAGCTCATATCTGGTGTCATATTCGCTACTGTTTGCAGCTTTGCAACTCGTACTAGTGCGAATATGATCGACGCGAACCGATGATTCATAACGGTTGAGCATCCCCTAAAGGTTAAGCTTGGACCTGGGCGAGTACAACCACTGTTGAAATCGGAAACTTGGGCGAACTTGGACGAAGCTTAGGCGAGGCAAAGAGAGTTCCCCTGGCAAAGACTAAAGAGAAGATACTTGATCATTGAGAAGGAAGATTCGAAGTGATTGATTCATACGGAGCTTACTCTACCTACTACATGATGTATATGTGAATCACATATAGATCATGTGGGTGTATCAATCAACCTACTCAACTAAATGACTCTTGAGGTATAACTCTGTCGTAACATCTAAGCCTTGTAGTTTGGATTGAACCGGCACCCCTGACATGCTCGCCTTATTGACAAAGCCTTCCGACATATTTGTTAAGTTCAAAATGAGCCACGTCCTGCAAGCCCGTACCATTCATCTTTAGCCCTTTTCAAACTCGATTGTCTAAGTGTCAGCGTGACCTCAAAGAAGTTGCTGAAATAGAGGTTCATGAGAGGCGGAAGTGCAGATCATGTTGAAAGCGAACAGTCAAGGTTTCAAGCGTGTACGATCAGCTGGTAGGCAGAATATCGCTGTCGATTTGATGAAGATACGCAGAGGCAAAATCACGCTTGAAGAAACACATGCAGGTCGTATTCGTACTGCCACTCAAGATATCAGCTCCAAGGTTCGCGTAAACATGCAGCGTCAAGCGAATAGCAGCACTGGACGCGTGAATGCAAGCTGCAGAGTGTTTATCTAGCAGACTTTAATCGCAACACAATATCATGCATCTTAATGGGATCAAGCCATGATTTGCATCTGGTCCGTCATGCCATTGAGAAGGATAGTTGTCCACCAGCCTCATCACTCTGCATCTTACGGCAAACACACCGTGCTCAAGTTTTACAAGAATGTCTACCACGTTCAGTGGAGGCCAGTTCTTCTACGTGAAGACGCTAATTTTCTTCTGCGCATTGCTCGCATATTCAGGTTCAAGCGTGGCTGCCGCAGGCCCAAGCAGTGTCATACACAATGCACACGGTTTGGACAAGTTAAATGCGGCTTCTAGCTCGGTCTCTTCCATCAAACGCCATTTGAGGTCAAGCGAAGACACGGAAGCGGGTGACTGTTTCATCTCGAGAAGACTCGGTATAAGTCTGAATGAAAATGTGTCCAAAGTAGTCTCAGACTTTCAAGAGTGGTGGCGGCGGCTGTGGCAGAAATCCTCGGACGGCACGTATAAGGACCTGAAGCTTCACAAGACAGAAGGTGGACCATTTAAAAGCTCAAAGATTTTCGATTGGGTTGCTTACGTCAAGGCATTATACCGGAAATCCCTGGCTGGCGCATATGAAGCAATGTTTTCGACCTTGGCACGTCGATACAAGGACGCTGATCTGGCCAAAATTCTCATGGAGGGAGAAAATAGTGAAAGTACGAGATCCATTGCTACGGAATTGCTAGGTGTCCAGGTCCAGCGCTGGATAAAGAAGGGCAAATCTTCTGAGCAAGTTTTTCGCCTTTTGAAGCTCGACACGACAGCAGGTGGACCATTTGAAAGCCCAGTCTTTTTGCAGTGGGTCGCTTTCGTCCAGCTTAGATACAACAAATACCCGGGTGACGCGACTGATTTAATGTTGTTGACCCTGGCAGGTCAATATAAGACCGATGCTGCTCTGGCTAGAGTCTTAGTGGCGAAAAAAAGATCGAACGTATGGAATCCATCGCTTCAGAACTGCTAACCGCTCAAGCCTGGCGCTGGATAGACGCTGGAAGATCTGAAACACATGTTTTCAAAAGTTTGGAGCTCGACAAGACAGGGGACAAACTATTTGAAAACCCACTCTTTACGCAGTGGGTCAATTTCGTCAATTTAAGGTTTTCACACCTGGATGACGCAATTATTGCAATGTCCACGACACTAAGAACTGTTTACACTACGGAAGAAGAACTTACCAAGGTTCTAAATGCGGGAATGAAGATACCTGCTACGAAAGACATTGCTTCAAAACTGCAAGAGATCCAGCCCCCAAAGCAAGACAATGGGATCGAAAAGTTTGATTTTCATAGTTTTGGATTTGTACCACAAGACAGGTAGAAAGCCTTTGTTCCTAAACACTTGGTTGAACTACTTTGCTCGGAAAAAGTAACCCGTATGTCTTCAAACACGTTCAAGGCTGAGTTTGGCGACGCAGAGGTTGCAAAGATGGATAAGGTGGCGATCAACAAGAGCACTTCAAGAGAACTAGTGCACAATTTACAAGAGGAAAGATTCAAGCAGTGGCTGGATGGTATCATCAAGCCAAAGCAAGTCACGAAAATGTTTTTTTGGAAGGAGGTTACTTCGACCAAGAGCTGATTACGAGAATTGCGGCTGAATATACGTATTTTGTTGCTGCTTTAAAGTACCTCTTACGCACTTTAAAAGGTACTTTTTGAAGGAAGTATTTCGGTATTACGATAGACGTTTAGGAAAAATCGATTTTTTATTGGCGAAACCATTTTTTATGACTGAAATATTGTGATTGGTCGATAAAAATATAAAAGGCTTCTTCCTCACTGGATTTAATCCGTTTTACGGTGCGAACCAAAGCGACATAATTTAACAATTTTAAAGTGGGACAATATTGAAATGGAGCTCCATGTACGTGCGTGTTCAGCGCGTAACTTGCTGGACAAACAGACTTTTGGCAAACAAGATCCTTATTGTAAACTCACGCTACGTGATCGAAGTACTAGAACACGAGTACATGACAATGGACGTACGTAACAACGTCATTTTCTCTCTCTCTCTTTCTGTCTTGTCCTTCTTGCTCCAATTTCTAATACCTTCTCTCTCTCTCTCTGTTCATTTCTCTGTCATGTATTGATCTGTAGACAAGACGCCCGTGTGGAATGAAGTTTTTGTCTTTTCGGTCGTGGATCCACAGCTCGACCAGCTCGTTGTCGAAGTAAAAGACAAGAACTTTACGGCTAGCACCCTTATAGGTGACTGTCGTCTACCCGTGAGCATGTTTCTCAATGGTAGTGTTACGGACCAATGGTACGCACTTAATAATGGCTCCAAGTCTGCAGGGGAGATCAATCTGCGCGTGCAATTTAAGAGCCCAAATATGCAGCACACGGCGGCAGCTTCTGTGGCTTCCGTTAAGAAGGCGTCTGAACGATTCGTGGCCCAGGCCCAGGCCTACCCGTATCCGCAGCAGTCGAGCAACCCAAACTCGCAGCAGTACCCGGTCCCTGGTGCCTATGCCTATCCGGCGTCGGCCAGCGCTGCTGTGCCTGCCGCTTCAGCGCCTCAGCCGTACTCATCTCAGCAGTACCCGACTCAGCAATATCCACCTCAGCAATATCCACCTCAGCAGTACCCGACTCAGCAGTACCCGACTCAGCAGTACCCGCCTCAGCAGTACCCGCCTCAGCAGTACCCGCCTCAGCAGTACCCACCTCAGCAATACCCGCCTCAGCAATGCCCGTCTCAGCAGTACCCGCCACAGCAATCACCCCAGCCGTACTACCAGCAGCAACCTCCTCCTCCCCCATATTCACAACCTCCCCCGGCGTACGGCTACCCGTCTCTGCCTCCAGCTAATGTGGCATACGCAGCTGGACCTCCGGTGATGGTTGTACCGGAAGGACCTCCATACGGATACCGTAAGGATTACGATTCTCGAGGTGGTAGTGGCTTCGGTGGCTTTGGGGGTGGTAACCGTGGGGGTGGCATGAGCACCGGACAGATGGCTATGGGTGTTGGTGCTGGTGTTCTTGGTGGTATGCTGCTAGGTGAAGCTCTTGATGACGTGTTTGATTAAAAACCCGGGTGTCCATGTTGCTCGCTCCATTCCGCCCAGCAACACTGAAGAAGCGGACGAGAAATGAGGTAACATTGGAATGAATCTGGTTGCATATTATGTACGATAATGATGCAGTTTTGAATATCCATTACTAATCATGATAATGTCGCTTACTTTCAACGATCACCGTGTCAATTACGAAGCAGTAGTTGTAACTGAGCGTCATGACTGAACATTTTGCACGCCTGAACTTTACGTACTAGTTAAGGTTCGAAAAGAGTGATATGTTTGTGTAGAGTACATGAATCGGAGGGATGAGGAGGGTTGACATTCAATTTAGATACTTTATTCAAGACGTCGACAACTGTACTTAAGCGGTTTGAGGGGGCGTGAATTATTTCTCCCTCACTCATCCAAAAGCTCAGTATCTCAAACGTCACTTTTCCTCTTCTTTGAATCAATTTTAAACAATGGTCTGTGTATCTATTCTCTCTCTCTCTCTCTCTCTCATTTGCTTTATCCCTGATATGCTGATATTTGTATGTCTTCTTTATCGTAGTCTTCCGGTGTTGGTGTCGATGACGAAGTCATTACGCAATTCAATGATTTCAAGCTAAAACGTGCCCCACATGACTATCGTTATTTCATTTACAAGATTGTGGATGATTCGGAGATTGTGATTGAAGCTACGGGTCCTAGTAGTGAATCGTATCAGGATATGGCTGACAAGTTGGCACAGATTACGAATGACTGCCGATACGCTCTTGTGGACTTGGATTTGACGACGAAAGATGGGCGTCCTACCAGCAAGATTGTTTTTCTTTCGTGGTACGACTCTGAATTAGCAATTGCAGCTACTTACGCTCTATTGGTATTGATAATATTGCAATGTCGAATTGTATCTTTTTTTGGTCAACTGTAGGTCGCCCGACACGGCTCGGATCAAGTCGAAGATGCTTTATGCGTCCTCTAAAGAGGCGATCAAGCGCGTTCTGATGGGTGTGGGTATTCATCTGACGGCCACTGATGCTTCGGAACTTTCCCTTGAGTCTATTCAGGATGGTGTGGCCAAGTTCTTGTAGAGTTGAGGGTGATCCCAGATGCGTTTTGGTAGATTTGATTCAATTCCCTCCTCTTGTCCCTTTTCTCAAGGGATGTTCGAGTAATCCCAGGCATTTGCATTTCCAGCGCTTCAAGTTTTTCGTTTCGACCATTTTACTGCAGTCGATTTGTCTCTAACATCGCGTTTTTGTTAAGATCATAGCTACAGGCAGCAATTCATATGGCTTTCTTCCAGCCATTACGACAGCACAACAACGTAACAACAAGGTTTGTAGCAGTAGCAGTCACACGAGATTGTAGCACTAGTGTTAGATTGTAGCCGTACCGGTATATGGTCACCCTACCGGTATATGGTCACCGTACCGGTATATTGTGACCGTATCGGTATATTGTAGCCGTTTTTCGCAGGCACTATTCCTGTCACAAAAGAGGGGATTGCTCATAATCCAATATGAAGTCGCGTCTTAGCAGCGTCGTACTTTATTCCGTGGCTACGCTGCCCTTACCATCTTCTGCGGGGCTTGTGGACTTTATTGATGCTGTGTCCATGTCCATGACCGCTACAATTGTCAGTATTTTTCTCTTATTGATTACAAGTCTATTTCTTCTGTCCGTGTATCTACTTCCTGACTGGTTATTGCGCTGTCTCGAATGGAATTCACATTCTTCCGTCCTTTGGAGCGCACGTACGTCATCCCGTGTATGTTCGCTAACTATCGATGACGCACCGTCATCATCTACACCCGCGATCCTCGATATCCTTGGCAAATATAACGTCAAAGCCACGTTTTTCATCATCTCGGACCATATTCCAGGCAACGAGGAAGTGCTACGACGTATTGTACAAGAGGGACATGTGCTGGCCAATCACCTTACAGAGGATCGAGCTAGTATTCTTGATGAGCTTCATGTGTTTGAGAAGAAGCTGCAGGAATGTGACCGAGCCATTAACAAGTTCCAACCGACAGAGAGGGAGATGTCGCTGCAGGAGACACTGCAGCCACGGCGTGAAGAGAAGAAGATGAATACTGTGCAACTAGTAGCAGATGTTACGGACAAGATGATAGAAGCTACTGGATCTAGAAGCAAGTGGATGCGTCCTGCATCTGGCTGGTTTACTACACCCATGAGAAAAATTACTGCACGTCATGGCTATCGCATCTGTCTGGGCAGTGTGTACCCACACGACGCACAGATTCGATCTGAGACTATCAACTCGATGCATTTGCAAACACGCACGACCTGCGGATCTGTGATTATTGTGCATGATCGATCGTGGACAATTGGTGTTTTGAAAACAGCTTTACCTGTGCTTACGAGCAAGTTTACGTTCGTGTCTTTGGACAAGCTGGTGTCGTACCATGAAGGCAAATCAACAAAAAATGATGAAGCTGGCAAATGATTCGGTACACAGCAATGTGTACAGCTAGCCCGATAAATGTGCTGAGCGGGCTGCGTCTCAAGTTCTAGCGTCGCTTTGGGCTGCAGCAGCACTTGTTATGGAATACAGTATGTGCTAAGCTAGCATTAATTCACAGATAAGCTGCATAATCAAGCATCAGTGAGGTTGACATCGCCTTTGTTTGATGTGGACGAAACATTGGTGAAGAAATTGCGGCAACCGAGCTCGTCCACGTCCGTTTCGACAGCATAGTTCATTGTTTTGAAATGAAAACAAGCGCCAGACGAGTTTTTGTCATTCACAGAGGCTCGACTTGAACTTGTGACGTCCTCACTTGATCTGCAGGTGCAAAGCTTTTCTTGATATGAAAGCGCACTGTCTTATCACGGACAACTGAAGTGGAGCAAGGATTTCTACTTTTCTCGACAGTCACTTGCACATTTTTCGCAACCAAATGGCTCAGCTAACGGGAGCAGTCACTGACAGATACAAGTCCACGATGACCTTTGATTCTTTGGCTAATGAGAACGATCATGATGATGAATTCCTGTTAATATGATAGCATTATCCATGCTTTTTTGCTTACATTCATGACGGGTAAAACTATCAACACAATTCACAGACATTGATTAGAGCTTTCGACTTGACAGATGCGACTTGGTCAACTTGAGGCAGCATGGTGTGCAATGGTTGGACTGAAGCTGCTGGACACTTTGAAATCGGTGGAATCCATCGTGGAGCTGGACCAAAAACCATTTGATGGGGATGCCTCTTTCCCTGGTGCCAATAGCACGTATCACATAACGCATAGCGTACGCAATTTCGACAGGACCAAAAGTCTGCGCGTGTAATGAGGAGGCTGCATTTACGGCAAAATACATTCAGCTGAACCACTTGCTCGTTAAAATAGTGATGCAGCATCATCATGGTCGAATGTTTTGCACGACGCAACGAGTCGAATTGGTAGCCAGCGTATGAACATAGCTGGTGGAACATAAAGCGGCTACCAAACAAGCGCGGGACTTGAGAAGGCACTAATAATGTCTCAGGGTGACAGCCCTTTGGTCGTCCTTCTTCGGTAACACTAGTACCGTAATCTTCCATTGTCTCGTCGTCATTCACTACGTCCAAATCCACCACCAGCAAATCTTGTTTCAGCCGTTGAACAGCGAACTGGCATTTAGAAAACATTTCGCGCATCTTCGCATTCACTCTAAGAGGTGACGCACTTGAAACTTCTTCCTTGATACACGTAAATCTGTCGCAAGATGAAACGTTGCCACCATCATGAGCGATTGAGCTATTCTTGCCACAAGCAGCAAACTTCTTGTTTTCCCTGGATCGCTTCTGTTTCTTGTTTCGGGACATAATGCGCCCAAGAATTCGATCTAGTTCAGATGGGATAATGTCACCGTCAAAGATTGGTGGAAGTTGCTTCGCTGGCCATACAAGCTCATCGGAATTTACGGACTCCACAGTTGTGCCGCGTGTCGACACCCCCACTTCATTTTTTTCCTTCACTGACACGAAAGAAGCCGGCGGCTTCGGATCACCATCAGCAGTAGAAACACAGACGCTATCGCTAAAATATCGATCATAGAGTGTAGTCCAGTCTTTGACAATTCCACGTTCTTTCGCCTTCATAAGTAGCTTGTTATACCAATGGCGCAAATGCTCCGAACTGGGTGTCTTCTGAAATGCTGGACGACACCAAAACACGTAACTTATCCGTTTCTGCGGCGGGCATGACCAAATATGCACACGGGAGAAACCGTGCCGCCGCACGTAGTCGAAGTAAGCCAGCAAAATCAGGTGGTATGCCGCCGTCCGTGCACTTGCGGGCTTCAGATATCGAACGCTATCTAAGTAAGCAATGTACACGGCGCGTCGATTCGCCTCCAGTTCACAACCGTCGCCGAACTCTTGCGCGTAGATCGTAAAGAGACAAACTTCCATGCCTTCGTGCTTCTGGAAAAGGTAAAGACCACGCGAGAGATAACTGATGTGAGGAGGTAATCGCTGCGAACTAATGTCAGTGCCAGGGCGCTGCTGAGCTAGCAGCTGCGAATTCTCATCGAATGCCCGCACCACTCCCTCCGGAACGACCATGCGTTCACCTGGAAACGACAATGCCCGAACGTATAATGTTCGAGCAGCTTCATACTCACCGGCTTCGTTTAGCCCATGACGCAAAAAATTCTGGATAAATGTGCTTAATTCACAGCTCGGAATATTAATACACGAACTGTTTTGAGCGTTCTCATCGCGATCGTCGACCAAAATGTTGCGCTTGATTGGCTCAGGTGATGATGTAACACGCTCGCGTCGGCATCGACAAAGGGGGCACACGTATGGATTGACTTTTATGGACAAGCTTCCCGACGCCGTGTTCAAAGTCTTCTGAGATTTATATGCACCGATCACAGGATTATAAAGTCCACACACCTGGTGTAGCCACCGGCTACACTCGCCGCACTTTACCCAGGGTTCTACACTAGGCTCGATCTTCTTTTTGATGACACAGTCCAGCAACGCATTCGCGTTATCACTATGTGCTCGATCGGTGGAACTGCGATCCTTCGCCATACGAGCTTTACACTTTTGACACCAAATACGAGTGCCGTCATCCGAAATAAAATAGACTGAGCCTATACGCATTTCAGTGCTACAGCCGGCTGAGCAATGCAGGTTCGGCTGAGCAACGTCCAAGCACTGTTGGTGGCACACAATGCAGGTATTCCCACGGCACACTTTACACACGTGCTGCGCGCGTTGTCGCTTCGCCTGTCTGTTTTGCTCAGCTTTCACGGATTCGTTAAAACGATTCAATAAGATTTCAGCGTCCACGTGGATGTAATGCGATTCCGGGTTGAAAAGCATCGCGTTCTCAAACACCAATCGGACGTCTAAAGCAAAATCTTCTAGCTCGAGATATTCTCCAGCAGCAAGATTGCGTTTAATGGTACCAAGATCCATTGGGTGCTCCACGATAGTTGTGTATGTAGGTAGTTTTAGAGCTACTGGATCCACAGGCGTATTAAACACACCGTGCCGATTCCGCGGGTCTGACATGAGCTTCAACAAAATATCTGTCACTTTTTCAAAACTTGTGAAGCGGCCCTCCCGACGAAGAGATGCAATGTGTTGCGCTATCTCATCTGCTGTCATCTGAAGCATCGGGTTGACTTCTACAGGACACGACAAGAGTGTTTTTCCACTTAATTCCTGTTCTCCATGATGATCAGGTGCCCGCCATCCAATAGGCAAGCTTCGATTTTCACCAAGTGTCCAACAGTCGAATGGCAGAGGTTCCAAGTTAGGTTTTTGACTAATACTCTGGCCACTTGGGCCCTTAGCTTGGCGCGGCGCTACAGACGTCATACCTATCTCGCCATTTCGACGCCGATGTTTGCGCGGCAAAAACGCGGCAGGTGTCTTGCTAGAAGCCATCCCATTGCTGCATGGTGGACCAAGTGGCCGTTTTTGCACTTCGCCCCGAGGAGATTTCGTTTGTGCCGTCTTCGTGCTCTTTTTGGGACTCTTCAACCTAGACTGCATGCCTTCCCCAGCTAATCTACTTGGTAGAGCCATCGCAGTCTCTTGAGGTGTTGAGCGTGAATACAAAGCTTCTTGTTTGGTAGTAGCCTCCACGTTGTTATTGGCAACACACACGTTATGGCGATGCAACCGCTTCCGCGCAAACAGAAAAGGCCGCACCGTGATCGTGATCGGACGCGGCAGCAAATCTGGTCGACGCATGGGGCCAGACCTCCAACGATGTAGAGGCAAGGGACAACTAAAGACAATTTTGGTCCATTCAGATTGCACGAGACGCTCATGAGCCAGCCCAGCCTTTACCGCCGCACTAAGTTTACACCAGAGTAAATACTCAATAAACCTGGATAAAAACTTATTTCTTGCACCCACTCCAGTCGAAATAAGTTCTTAGCAACAAATACAGCACAAGGCACACATTACAACGTCAAGATAACAACACCATCTTCCCCATAATCACTACAAACAGCACGTACCAACAATCAGTCGAAGCATTTTGGCACTAGGTGTCTCTCGATCTCCATAAAACAGTAAAAATGCTGCATCTTCTTCCCCAAGCCGTCGCTTCCGTACTTTTGACACAACATGTTGGTCCTTAGCGACCTTTTGCGTCGTAGCAACTTGCCAATTCGTCTTCTTCTTCTTCTTCTCCATATCAACCACACTTCCAGCTTTTGTCACTGTACCCATCTCTTCTGCATCTTCTCCTTCTCCTTCTCCTTCTTCTTCCAATACTTTTAATTTCCTCTTGACTCGTACAATTTTCTCCTCCTCCTCTTCTTCTTCTTCTTCCTCTGTACTACTGTCAATAATCAAAATTTCTACCTCATTTGTCGTCGTCTTCTTCTTCGTACACTCCAAACCCTGTCGAATCCGTTTCAATCGTATCTCTTTTTCTTCTTCTTCTCCTTTCTCTTCTTCTCCTTTCTCTTCTTCTTCACTACTAATACTGATATAAACTTGACCATCTTCAACTTGTTCATGCCAATTTACATTCAATGATCGCTTCAAAACGTCTCGACTCGTCGTCTCTCGCTTACGACCACACGCCAAGAGGCGACTTGCAGCCTCTTGGACCTCCATCGCTTCACTTTCAAGGTGATTTTTCATTGGTTAACACGATGCACGTCATCGATTGGTTGAAAATCACACAACTTCGAGCACGTTTCTAAACACGTTAGAAATGGCTACAGCTACAGTCGGGGTCGACATGGCTACAGTTCGTCGACATGGTCATTGATGTGCATTGTTCTCGTTGGCAGTCGTTTCCCGTCTTTATCACACGGGGTCTCAGTTGCTCGTCCCAAAACGAGTGACGACATTCTGATGGGCTCCAATGTCTTTCTATTCATGCAATTTTTACTTCTCTCTCTTGCATCAGTTTGCATTTAGTTCCATGCACATTACTACCGTCTCAAAACGTGACCTTCCAATGGAGGTTCAAAATGGTTTTCGAGCGGTAACTAGTCGTTCGAATTCCAATGCAACAAGTGTCGTGCCTTGGCCATTGGCTTCGTCATCATCATCATCATATCCCTCCTCCTCCTCCTCCTATCATTGACTTCAACGGCAGGATCACCAACAACTGTAACAACTTGCACGTCTTTAACTTCGGGACATGTACCAAGTTTTCCATCAAAACGGCTCAATTGGACACGTCGACTTGTGATTACAAAACAACCGGCCTCAGAGTTTTATAAAGATGAAGGGGGGAAAGCCAATGCACTTGAAGTCGAGGTGACACTTGTAGAGTTTAATGAACGTGGAGAACCTGCTCGATCCAGTGACAAAGAGTTTATTGAGATTCCACTGCGGATTCTGCTGTTTTTTGAATCGGGAAAACGCGTAGATGATACAGATCAGGAAATCTTTCGTTTTGTCGGCAATGACTATGACTCGGTCGTCATTCGGACCTCGACGCGCAAAGCTTTGGTGCAATTCCGTCTCGAGAAAGTGAGCAGACGAAAAGATGGGCAACGATTCAAGCTACGCATTGAAGTTGACCAAGAGCAGTGCACTGCTAATGTTGCAGATCTTACTCCAGTCTTTACAAATGCGATCTGCGTCCTATCAAAGCGGAAACACCCAAGTTCATACAACTCGGAATCGTCGATCCGCGTAAAAGAGCCGTCTCCGAAGTTGTTGAAACGTGGTACGTTGTTCACATACATGCAGTGGTGTCGTCACGGATGATATTATCATGTAACGTGCGTTCATTTATTCCAGATTTGGCTGTGTTGGAAGATCGGTTGAATAGAAAGATTGATGGACTCTCGGCACAAGTTCACCATTTGAGTCAACTGGTCCAAAAGCAGGTTCATATGCCTTGGGTTGATGACCTGTGTTGCGAATAATTACTAACTGTGTTTTGCAATGCAGAATGAGCTCATCGTGAAGCATCACACACCTCCGGTTCCTGCAGGGACACATAGTGCTCCAAATGAGAATTCAATTCTTGAATGGCTGCTTCGGTCCAACACTACTGATGATGGCCCTTGGCCCAAACCACTCATGGAGCAGCAATTGTTGTCTAACACGGTCATGCCCTACTTCGAAGTCGACGATGAGCCGTACCACGGCACTGACGCAGATCTCACACCCGCGTTCGTTGCTCCTCCAGCAACGACTACTAAAAACACAACGCCATCGAACACGCGTACAAGTGAGACAACGACGCCTTCTCTACCATTTGGCGACATTTGAATGTGCTGCGTTTGTCGTAACTACCCAATTTTCACTTCCAACCGACTCGAAAATACAACTGGTGACCACCTTGTCACAAGGTCCACCTCCTATTCCATTTGTCCATTACTCTTTGGGTTGCTGCGGCACTTGCACTGGAGTGGTATCATTTCCGGTCTCTAAAAAGTGTCGGAACTCACCCACCACTTGAGCCAAATTGCCGGCCGTCTGGATCTGACGATGCAAATCCACGTTCTTGGGGCTTTTTTCCATGAGATTCAATATCTTTTCCTTCCGTCGAAGCTGCAGCATGATTCAACGAGTATTTACTATCAGTTGTCGCTTGACAAGTCTCACATTTCTTGCATTAAACCGTACAATTTCCTTGTAGAGCTCGTCACAGACCGAATTGAATTGCTCAAGTTTCTTGACCACTTGATCGTCCACATTTATCGCTTCTTCCCCTTCTGTATTGCTACATCAATAGTACAATATTAAACTATTGCTATTATTGCAATATAACACTAGAAATACCCACGGAAATTGTTCCTCCGACTGCACAAGTGTGAGACACTCGGATACGAGCTCCTACAAATGCACACAACATCGTCAATTGATCGTCTTTCGAGCGGAAACGCGCGCAGTTTCTAGTACACACATCAAACTTGGTGCACACATCCTCTACACGCAATGCAAAGGGTTTATTCGGATCCTTTGCCGCCTCACTCGTTAGCATCACATTCGCCATAATCACTACTTCTTGTACAGGAGGTCTAAATCTCGATTCTTTGTTTCAATTGGTTGAAAAGCATACGACGAATTTCATCCAATCCTCTTCATTTCCCCCTTTTCCAAACCAAACTAACGTAACGTACGTAAATATGGCCGGCCAGCGGAAGCTCTTGAGTGAGATTGACCGTACCCTCAAGAAAGTAAGTGAAGGGGTGGATGTGTTTAATGAAATATGGGACAAAGTCTATGCTGCAACCGCACAGAATCAAAAGGAGAAACATGAAGCCGATCTAAAGAAAGAGATTAAGAAATTACAACGATTTCGGGATCAGATTAAGACGTGGATCAGTAATTCAGATGTCAAAGACAAGCGTCCATTGGTTGAAACTCGTAAATTAATTGAACAAAAAATGGAAGAATTTAAAGTGTGCGAAAAAGAGACGAAAACCAAAGCCTATAGTAAAGAAGGATTGGCTCAAGTGGAACGCTTGGATCCAGAGCAACAAGCGAGACAAGAATCTCATGCGTGGATTCGAGATTGTTTGAATCAATTTAATGTACAAATTGAAGCACTGGAGAGTGATCTGGAACGATTACAATCCGTGAAAGGTCGGAATCGAAACAAGATGGAAATTCTCGAGAAGGAAAAATTGTTGTCACGACACAAGTGGCACATTTTGAAATTGGAACAGATTAATCGACTGTTGGATAATTCAGCACTCGAACCTGAACAAGTAGATGAATTAAAAGAAGATGTGGAGTATTATCTCGAAGCAAATCAAGAAGCTGATTTTATGGAGACTTATGGAGATGATGATATCTATGAAATGCTTGATCTGGATACACTTGGTGCAGCTGCACAAGTGGCATTACCAACTGAACAAGATGTTGGAATTGAGGATGCTAGCTCGGCAGCTTTAGTGTCGTCGTCTACTGCTGCTACTATTGCAGTCGTGTCGCCAACACCGACGGCTTCGACGGGACGTGGGAAGACGCCACGTAAAAGTGCGTCATCGTCAGTGATTACAGGAATTGGCCGTGCTAGTTCGGTTAAGCCTAGTGATCTTAAAATGTCGACACCCAGTCGATCCAGTAGCGTTACCAAAAGCGATTCATCGCCATGCAATAGCCTCAAAACAGAGATTGGTAAAGGACGTACTACCCCGCTGCGTACAAAGAGTGGATCTTCTTCATCAGAAAAGGGATTGAGTAAAGCACCGACTCCAGTGTCATCTTCTCCTGCAATTGGAGAGCAGCGAACACCCGCTCGTAAGGTGACGCCACCGACGCCGCAGCGCTCACCGTCACCTAGTATCGGTAGAGGGCAGTTTGGTTCGTCATCATCTGCTTCACCGGCAGCAGTCAGACCTCCGTCAGGCCCAGCACCATCACCCCCGCATTCCAATTCGTCGTTGCCGCCACCAGTCCCTGTTCCATCACCAACTGCTGCTGTACACGCTGTAGGCACCGTGTCAGCACCTTCATCAGGATCTGGATCTGCAGCATCCACGGGGGCACTAGCAGTTAAATCTCAGCCCATGGAGGAATTACCTCAACTTACGGATGAGCAGAAGCAGGTGTTGCGGCTAATCGACGAAAGCTTTAACTTTACACCCGAGAGCCGTGATTCTAAAAAAGCTAATCGCTACGTTCCACGCAACTTGTATCCAACACCAGCGTCGTTCCCGACAACACCGTCCACGTTGTTCTCGAGTGCCCCCATCTTTGAGAAGCTGGATGTGGACACGCTCTTCTTCATCTTCTACTACCAGCAGGGTTCGTATCAGCAGTACCTGGCAGCTCGTGAACTCAAGCGACGGACATGGGGCTACCACAAGAAGTACAAGACATGGTTCAAGCGCCACGAGGAGCCACAAGTAACAGGCGAAGACTACGAGCAGGGCACCTTTGTCTATTTCGACTACGAGACCGGGTGGTGCCAACGCATTAAGACGGAGTTCACCTTCGAGTATAGTTTTCTTGAAGACGAGCTGCAGTAAACTCGGTGGCTCCCACTCTCGCCAGTAAAGTAACTCGTGCCTTCTTCTTTCTAGACTACATGTCGTTGTCCAACACCTCTCTCTCTCTCTCTCTCTCTCTCTCTCTCCTCATTGCTAGCAATTGTCTACGCATTCTCTCTTTTGTCTTCAGCACAAATCCGTCTCAATGTCCTCGACAACCGACTACGCTATTTCACTGGCCGATGTAGAGGCTGCTGCTAAGCGGATCAGTGGCTTCGTGCATCGCACGCCTGTGCTCACGAGTCATTCACTTGATGCTATGGCTACTGCTGCAGGGAACGGAGACTCAAAGTGTTTGTTCTTCAAGGTATCCACTAACTGATTCAATCATTTCTACTGGAAGCACGTGGTGGCTAATTGAGTGTTGTGAGCAGTGTGAAAACCTTCAAAAGGTAGGAGCATTCAAATATCGCGGTGCGTTGAATGCCGTCAAGAAATTTCTACAGGAGAAGAAGGAGAAGAGGGAGGAGAGAGACACGATATTCGTTACCCATTCGAGTGGAAATCACGCTCAAGCATTAGCTCTAGCAGCAAGAGATGCTGATTGCAAAGCTGTGATCATCATGGTACGAATGTTCGTGATACGTTTGCTCGATTGATGTAGAAGTACTGACGCTCGGGATCAGCCGAACAATGCACCAAGTGTAAAGCAAAATGCCGTTCAAAGCTACGGTGCTCAAGTGGTGCTGTGTGCACCAACCAACGAAGCTCGTCAACAAGCTGCCGACGAGATGGTAGAAGCTACTGGTGCTCACTTTGTGCATTCGTCCAATGATCCGGACGTCATGAGCGGTCAAGGTACAGTCGCACTGGAGCTATTGGACCAAGTGAAGCATGAGTATGGCGTGACGCTGGACGCTATCATTGTGCCTATTGGAGGTGCTGGTCTTTGCTCGGGTGTTGCCATGGCTGCAAAGGTATGTCTGATTGAGAAATAAGCTGGGGGTGATGAAGCTACATGTTGGAGCTGCTTGTTGCTGCTTGTTGCTGACTGTGATGGCATTGAACGCAGTCTGTCCAGCCTGGTATCAAAGTTTTTGCAGTGGAGCCCACTGGAGCAGCTGACGCCTACAATTGCTTTCAAAAGCGTCAGCTTATGGGTCATACTAGTCCTGTCAACACGGTGGCTGATGGCCTTCGGACGACACTGGGTATTGAAACGCTGGCGTTGGATGAATGCGAGACCACACCGACTAACGAACGTCCTTGCGATTGCTTGAACCAGGCGACAACAATTGGCCCATCGTGCGTGACTTTGTGGACGATATCTTGCTTGTTTCAGACGACGAGATTGTGTCGGCCATGAAGTTGATCTGGGAGCGTATGAAGCTGGTAGGAATTGGAGCTGGACATTCATCGATCAAAGACCTGCGGTAGGAAATGACTCACTTGGGCTAATGCGTGACAGGTTGTGGAACCTAGTGGTGCAGTAGCAACGGCGGCTGTCCTTGCAAACAAGCTGTCAGCAGGGATTAATAATGTGGGCATCGTGTTCTCAGGTGGTAACGTGGACCTCGAAAAACTGCCATGGTGAGATCACCGGAATCTCACTTGGAACTGACAGAGGAGAAGATGGTGGTCATACAGAATTGCATCGCACGCGAGAATGGAAGACAATGAACGTAAATATGTAGTAAAAACGTCTTGTTGGGTCTTCATTTTGCATGCACCATCACCTAAAGCTTGACAAGTCACCACTTTACCATTGTAGCGAAGCAGTGTTCATACAACATAACAAATTGAGATATCAAGTCCCAAGACGTCGAACAGAACATCACGCACCCAATAGAGCAGCTACCATCTTCAAAAAGCTGTATCACGTACTGATGTTGATGTTTGCATCTCGTCTTAGATCCATCAATTCTGGTAACTGCATTTTTAGTCGAGCAAAGCACCATGTGGCAAAATTCCATTATCAACGCAGGTCGGTCTGCTACGAGTGATACGAATGCACACACGTACTCGAAATAGAATTCCAATGACTTCCTCTTTGTTCGCACGCACACACACCCACACTTGTTCCGAGTGAGTCCTCTAATTGCTGAACAGGTAGTTGAGCGCAAAGTAAGTAGCGACAGCCCACACCCATCGTGGAATTCCTAACCCATTGCCTTTATTCTCTACTTGAGGCTCTGGAATTGCAATATCACGAAGTTCTTCAAGTGCAGCAGCTCTTTCATCGGGTGTGAGGGCAGCACCTAACGAAACAACCGGATGTTTTTCCATTTTCAAGCGTCTCCTCGCAGCAGCAGCAATTGTCTCGTCCTTCACAACCTCCGGGCGGCGACGGGAAGACGAGGCAACTTCTCCTTGCAATTGACGCATGCTCAGCAAAAGAGCCTGCTCATATTCAGCCCAGTACATACCAATTGGTAACATTCTGTCAACATTGTACCATTATGTAATGGTCCATAATAACTACGACGTACCTGATTACTTTTAAGTAACTCGACACTTAATTTCAAATTCTCTTGAGCCACGTCATAGTGAAAATATCCACCAATTGCACGACATCCGTTCATAAAAAGTGGGAACGCCGTATGCATGATTGCAACAAAGTCGTGGATCGTCATCATGGGAAAGAAAAAGGACGGCAAACGAGCACCACCATAGATGAAATTAAGCTCCAGTACAAAACAGAGGACACCAGCAGCCAAAGACCACGCACGTGCGTCACGGGCCGTTTCACTGAGCGTCATGATGAACGTCAGCACCGCCCACATGGCGTAATACGTTAGCGTGCCCGCGAGCGTCTCAATTTGGATGACCCATAGGTCCTTTTCCACTGCATTTTCACCGTATACATCGTATAGTGGACGCTTGTTCGCATCTCCCAGAATCTGATATATTCACAACGAGTTGCATAAGCCAGATGTGTATCTATATATCAGTATTGTTTATTCGCCCACGATCTCAAAAGTAAAACCGTTTAAACGTACGTCAAAGGCCAATCGAAGACGATTAAATTCTTCCGTGGCAGTAGGGGATGGGTTTTTATCCGGATGAAGTTCTACGGAACGTTGACGGAACGCGCGCTTGATGTCCGCAAATGACGCGTCACGCCCGATACCCACCATATAATAGAAATTCTCTTTTTGGTCATAGACGTCCATACCCTTTCGAAAAAAATCATCATGATAGAAAGGATATTAATGAACGAGTTCTTATATACATAGACACAATATGGACAGTTCGCACGATTGTGATGGCAGCAATAGCGACGAGAGCAGAAACGGCGTAGATCAAGCCACGACGCTTTGAGTAGCGGCCAGGTTTTAGAATCCAAGAGATAGTGGGTGACACAATAAACATCTGCATGAAAACACCCAGGGACGAGTCCGACGTGGTCATGACGGACACTTTTTCGACTTTGTCGACTATACAGTATGTGGTTGATAAAAGAGCTAGTGACTTAATACAGCGAGGAGATGGAGCAGCGTGTATGAAGTATGCGATTGGTTCATTTACTACCAATAGTACACCGAGAATCGTGTCACTGTCTAAAAAAGATGGATTTGTCTCAATTGAGTGACATAATTTTTAAATTTACAAAAACGAAAGTATCAATAGAATCTTACAAACGAACATTACAATATAATTCATACTAGCTAAATTAATATTTGTGTATAATGCATTCCAAGAATAGTGCACGACATCCCATAGAGGCGGTAGTTTTGTACCATAAACAGCCGTCATGCTCATGATCTGGATACGATATTCGATGACGCATGCAAAACTTGCCTATTCACCGCGTTTACAATCTCACATTCATGTTCAACTGTGTATACGTCACACGCAATCCAATGACGTCAAGTTGTGTCATTGTCGTTAATTACAATACCACAAGAAAGGATCGGAGCAATAGGATAGACAACAACGACGACGATAGTCGTGATAATTACATGGAAAGTAGCAACTGGAGGTGCAAATCATGTCAATCAAGCCCCCGACTTTATTTCGCCATGACTTAGGCAGTGATGAAAATATGTTGCTGGCAATGCGTGCTTACCAGTCAGCAGCAAGCGTTGACAAAAACGTCGAGGATGTGGCGATCCGCTTCGACACCTCAAGCTGCTGGATGGCCAGGTGTATGATAGAACTTGATGGATGGGGTGTTGCTAGGATAGGATAGTAGCATCGCAGTACACACGCCAGTGGATATTTCGCCTTATCTTTTCATAAGTCCCAGCACTTTCCACCTTGGCGTCATTACAGCAAAAACTGACAGAAAGTATTGACATGAACCAGTACAGTAGTATATGATCTGTAAGGTCTTTCGTTTCGAAGAACTGGCGTGCTACCGTTTCACATCGTATACTTCTGATTAAATGAAGTAGAAATCTTACATTACAATATTCTACATCTTCAACCTAACTCATTATTTATGTATACTGCATGCAAATGATGCAACGACATCCGCAGAGACAGCAGATTACCTCCACACAGTCATCATGCTCATGATCTGGAATATGGATCATGAACTTGCCTTTCCGCCCATTGTTTAGAAGACTCCCATCCTTGTTATCATCAACGTTACACACGGCAATCCCACGTCATTGTCGCCACGTCATTGTCGTCCACTTTCAACGACACAAAGAGTGCCAGTGTACACAATACCGACGACGATGGTCGGAACTAAATTGCCGGTTTTTACGTCACCAGGACCCATAATATGGGTTCTTTTTAGCTGATTCGAATCATTTTTTGGACTAAATTCAGTCGCTTTGATTGGATGCACTCTTCAGTTGCTGAACAGTGAAGATGCCGAACAAAGACGGACCAAATATCCGTGACGCACTGGACGAGATAAAAGCACCTCGCCATCTTCCCTCACTTTTCAATTTGCCTCCTTGCACTCACTACTAAAAAACCTCAATCAATACCCCCAACTAAAATTCAACCTCTTACATTAAATGGAAAAAATAGACACTAGCTCCAGTATGTCTCAGCTACATCAACACAAGACACATGAGCTTTTAGTAGCTGCTCCAAAAGTAGCACGGACGAACCAACAGAGTTTATTCCAGAACATGTGGATTGGTGCAACTGCCGGTATGGCCGGTATCGTCACCGTGTACCCCGTTGACGTCATCAAGACACGCATGCAGAACAGCCGCGTAGCTACAAGCGCCATCCAGACACTAACTACGATCCTTCGTACAGAAGGAGTTGGCTCCTTTTACAAGGGCTTGGGGCCTCAACTTTTGGGTACAATTCCAGACAAGGCCGTGTCTTTAGCGACGCGTGAATTTGTCAAGGGTTTCTTTGAAAAACCCAATGAGTTTAAGGCTTCTTTTACCTCTGCTGCTGTCTCTGGGGTCTTGCAATCGATTGTTATGAATCCAGTTGAAGTTGTCAAGGTTCGAATGCAATTAGACAGCACTTTAAAGCCACTGGGAGTCATTCGGGACCTTGGACGACAAGGTCTTTATCGTGGTTACTCGGCTTGTCTTGCTCGTGACGTCATGTTTGCTTCGACATACTTTACACTCTATGATCTGGCCAAGACACAGCTTGGTGTTCATGATGGAACTTCTCTTGGTTGGTCAATGCTTGCAGCTTCAACAGCTGGCATTCCTGCTGCATTCTTATCAACACCTTTGGATCTACTCAAGACACGCATGCAATCACGTGACGCTACGGTCAAGGGCTTTATGAACACGTACAGACAAGTGACAGCACAGGGTGGCTCTAGTGCACTCTTTTCTGGATGGGGACCACGTGTGAGCCGCATTGCACCTCAATTTGGCATTGTGCTCGTGTCATTTGACTGGCTGTCGCACCGATTCAACCCGGCGACGGAACCGGAACCTACAGACGCTGATGCGTTTGCTGACTACTGAACATAAGAGAGATGAAATTGTTTGCTGCTTGGACAGATGCCCATTAAAATGATACCATATCTCCGTCTATGTTTAAAGTTATGAGAAAAAAGAGTCCACAGGCCAAAGTGTTCGTTGGTAAACACAAGGGCCTCTACTGATGACAATTCGTGTCGTCATCGCTGCAAGACTTCTGCGTCATGGGGACCAGGTACTTTTCAATTCGTTGTGATAACTAGTAACGAGTAGAACTATAATCTACTGGAGATTAATGTGTCGTCTTGTGTTTTCTAGCTAGCTCCATGGCTTCATTTTGTTTGCTTACTTGTCCACAGCCAACCACGAAAGCTCCTGTTTGTCCAGCGTCTTTGCCAATGCCTTTGCGTCCAGAAACACTTCAATATTGGCTCTCAGTGCCACTTGTGCAGTAGCATTGCGCACAGTGACCGAAGCGTCAGCTGATTCCAATGCAGCCTTTACGTCTTCGTACTTCATCGAAGCCACGTAAGCTGTCAACTGGTCCACCGGCACAGTCGCTTCGTGCTTAGCGAGCACTTCGGTGGGAGCAAAGAGCACAGCAGGTCGAGCGACGACGACCTTTATGCTCGAGTCTGCAAACTGAGCTTCCTCCGACACAATCGGTACGCTGTGCGCAGGCTGCAGCGACAGTGGAGCAGGAGTCGTACCCAAAGTAGAGGCGATCATGGGCAGAAATGAACGGATGGCCGTCGAGATTGGGCCATTCTCACCGCCCTTCTCCTCAAAGTACACGTGAATCTTGTCCTGTACCACCAGACCAGCCTTCTTACGCAGCTTCTGTACACGGGTGATCACCTCACGTGCGCATCCCTGCATCTTCAGCTGCTCGTCCTCACGTGTATCAATGATCACCATGAGGTTGCCCTCGGGCGACACATCGGCCTCGAAGATCTTCGTGTCACCCTTGAACTCACGCTTTACTAGCAAATCGTCACCAGTCAGATCGTGACCATCAATGGTCACGCTTTCGTTCAAGACGTAAGCAGCGACATCGTCGTGTGTCATCTGCGCAATCTGCTTCTTCACACTCGAGAGAGCCTTGCCTAGACGACGACCAAGTGCACGACTATTGGCTTCGGCCTTCAGCACGCACCACTCCTTCTCGTCTGTCGAGAACTCAAGGTCACGCATGTTTAGCTCATCGTGCAGGTACGTTTCCAGACGACGAAGACCGTTCAGCACCTTCTGGTTGCTCGACACCACGATGACCTTCTTCACCGGATTTTTCAGTGAAATCGCACGGCGCTCGCGCACAACACGACCCATTTCGACAACGCTTTGCAGGTTCTGCATGAGCTTCTCCACCTCCTCATCCACGCGGCTGGCATCAAAGTCTGGCAGCATGAGAAAGTGTACACTGGGAGACACGCCATCGGCGTCCTCAGCTAGGTCCTTACCAGCACCATTCACAACGTTCGGGTGGAACTGACGCAAGAACTGGTACATGTACTCCGTAAAGAACGGCGTGAAGGGAGCCATAAGCTTGGCAAGGTTGTACTCCACCTCGTACAGCGCTGAGAGGGCCACGGCGGCTTCAGCGCTGCTGGCACTGCCTTTAAGGCGAAGGCGATTAAGACGCACGTACCAGTTTGTAAGCTGGCCGATAAAGCTCACCAGACGCGGCACCACCGTGTACAGACGGTAAGCCTTCATCTCTTCATGCACAAACTTGATGAGGTTGTGCAGGGCAGCAATGATCCACGCGTCCATCACGTTCGTTGAAGCTAGAGCCGCTGCACGGTCGGGCACAAATGCAACACCCGTTTCCAGCTGCAGACGAGTAGCCTGTTGTGCAAAGAATCGAGCCGAGTTAAACCACGGCAGGAAGATCTCGCGAACAACACCAAGCACACCCGAGGCCTGGAACTTCAGAGGTTCGGCACGCACCACAGGCGAGTTGATTAGGTAAAGACGAAGGGCATCAGCACCGTACTTCTGCAGGATCTCATCGGGGTCCGTAAAGTTCTTGAGACTCTTACTCATCTTGCGGCCATCTTCAGCCAGCACAAGACCGTTGACAATCAGGTTTTTGAAGGCCGGCTTGTCGAACAGTGCCGTCGACAGCACCATGAGGGTGTAGAACCAACCACGAGTCTGGTCGAGACCCTCAGCCACGAAATCAGCCGGGAAGGTGGCCTCAAATTTCTCCTTGTTCTCGAATGGGTAATGCTGCTGCGCGTAAGGCATGGAGCCACTTTCAAACCAGCAGTCAAAAACCTCGGGCACACGGCGAAGCACACCCTTACCCTGTTTCGACGGAATCGTCAGGTGGTCAATGAATTCGCGGTGCAAGTCCGTCACTTTCTCACCCGTCAACTCCTCAAGCTCGGCAATCGATCCCACACACACCACCTCTTCGTAGTCGTCGCTCACCCATAACGGCAGCGGTGTGCCCCAGAAGCGGCCGCGCGAAACATTCCAGTCTTTACCGTCCACGAGCCAGTTGTGGAAGCGTTTCTCCTGCACAAAGCTCGGCACCCAGTGCGTGAGCTTGTTGTTGGCTACAATGCGATCGCGGATTCGTTCCACGTTGACGAACCAACCAGGGATAGCACGGTAAATTAACGGAGTGCCTGAACGGTAGCAGAATGGGTAGCTATGCACCTCCGTACCCTTGGACACGAGACGGCCGCGGTTCTTCAGGTCCTGACAAATAACGTCATCCGCCTTTTTCACGTGCAGGCCCTTGACGAGCGGCACCGCGTCCGTAAAGATACCGTTATCGTCAAGCGGGTCCGGCAATGTAAACTTGTCAGCCACGCCTTCACGTACGCAGACGCGGTAATCGTCTTCACCAAAGGTTGGAGCTTGGTGCACGATACCAGTACCGCCAGAATCAGACACATAGTTGTCCGAGAGCACGCGGAAAGCATTCGGCCAGTCCTTGAACGAGTCAAAGAGCGGTACATACTTCTTGCCGACAAGTGTCGCTCCCTTGAACTTTTCCAATATCTCAAACTCACCTCCCTTGTAGCCCTTCTTGGTCATCTTTGGGTAGACTTGGCACAGACGAGCTTCACTCAAAATATAGATCTTGTCAGTCTTTAGATCCTTGATCTTGACGTAGTCAAAAGCTTCGTTAACACACAGTGCCAAGTTAGAAGGTAGTGTCCAGGGAGTCGTCGTCCATGCCAATAGAGCAATCTCTGGGTCCTCGACAAGAGGAAAGTTGACAATCACCGACGGATCGGGTGTATCACGGTAGTCCAAATTAGCTTCAAAGTTCGAAAGCGATGTAGTACAAGCCGTTGAATAAGGAAGGATCTTATAGCCACGGTAGACAAGATCCTTTTCATAAATTGTCCGAAAGACGTTCCAGACTGACTCCATGTACCAGGGCTCCATCGTCTTGTAGTCGTTCTTGCAATCAATCCAGCGACCAATGCGTTGAACCACTCGTTCCCATTCACTTGTATAACGTTGTACAATACTGCGACATTCAGCATTGTATTTGTCAATACCCATTTCAAAAACCTGTTCCTTTGTCGTAACGCCTAATTTTTTATTTATCTCGTTTTCTACGGGAAGCCCATGACAATCCCACCCAAATCGACGTTCTACATAATGACCCGTTTGATGAGCATAACGTGTGACAGTGTCCTTGATAGTACCTGCTAAAATATGACCATGATGTGGCAATCCTGTGGCAAAAGGTGGACCATCGTAAAAAGTAAAAGGTGGACGATCTTTTGAGAGTTTCAATGATTGTTGAAAAGCGTCTGCTTTGTCCCAAAGGTCTAGAATTTTTATTTCTTCATCGGGGAATGAAATGCGTTCAGGTAAAGAACGAGACGCAGCAAAAGTTTGTACCATTATGATGTAAATCAGGTCCAAAGAGCTCCAATACGAAAATGTCGTCTCTATGACTGGCTGAGATTTAGCTCGAAAGAGTCGTAATTGTACCGTATATGGGGTACATGTCAAAAGTAGGACGAGTTTTTATCCGGATAGCGAGCTACATACGTTGTTTTAGGCTGATTTGATTTGTTACTTAAGTAAATTAAACGCCTCGCTTACAAAAGAATTTATGTTTTTTGTTAAGTAAAAGGTTCAATATACATTCGGGGAAATCAGAAGGTTTTTTGTAAACCAATGTGTCGCTTATTGTAGCCATCTGGTATCCTGACAACGCCGATGAACCACAAAGATTGACTTACAAGAACCGTCTCATTATTTAAAAAAAAAAGAAAAAAGACCGTTACCTCTTGACTGTCTGTCGCTTACCTCCTACTGCTCGATTCTTCCAACATCGAAAGCCTTCAATCGCCATTTTATTTATTTTTTTACTAGCAACTCGAAAAGTCAAAAGCCTGTCCTTGCCCTTTTTCTCTCTCTTAATAAAAAAACCACTACCAACTCCCCATCAAAGAGAAAAGTTCAATTCCGTCAAGCAGAACCTCGATTCGTTCCCTCTGTATTTCTAAATTTGACTCTCTCCAAGCACAAGAAAATCAAAAGCGTTTTTAATGGGACTTCGTGATTCGACTCGAACGCTTTTACGTAAACTCCGAGGACGTGATGTGAAACAGGAAGAGGCTCAACAGCTTGAGCCTGTGGCTCTAGCAGGTGCCAGTAAACGCTCAACGACCCGTTCGGAACTTTGTAGTACATTTGCTACGACGGCTATGAGTCGTGAAGAACTGGAAGGTCGACGAAAAGCTGTTAGTGAAGGCAGTGCCCATTGGAAACAGTGTGGAATGTGCACTCGTAGTTTTGTAGCTGGTACTAGTCGCTATGCGGGCTTTTGTTCGCTCGACTGCAAGTCTGCGGCGTTCTATACTCAATCAGCACGCGTCTCGAGGACGTTATCGTGATGACTACGTTCAGGACACAAATAAACTTGCAAGTGGAAAGAGATGCGGGGCTGAAACAAGAACAGAATCTAACTATCTATCCGTCCCTGTCGTCGTAATCTCGCTCTATTGTGGGAGTTCCTACTTGCATCTACGTCTTAAGACTACTATAACATCTAAAAAAGTATGAAACACAGAGTCTTCCTTCACATTAGTCCGTCTCGTACATTATTCTCATTTGCTAACCTACTGTCGGTAAGGTCCAGGCCACACATTGCGTTCTGCATCGTGCTCTGCATTCATTTCCAGGTCACTGTCGTCTCCTGACTCTGCGTCATGGATGATAACAACCTCTTGATCTTCTTCGTCATCTTCACTGCTGCGATTATCATCGCCATCATTACTCTCACCTTCTTCACTATTGTCTTCACCTACAGCATCTTCTTCATTGATTTCGTCCTCATTTACAAATGGGCTCCGACAGGTTGGACATACAATGTTGCTACATGATCGACACCATCACCTAAAACGTTATGACCCAGTACGAAATATCATAGCAACACCATGTTTTTGCTCGTACTGATGCTTGACGTATGTTTTAAAGCAGCTCGAGTGCAAGACGTGACCACATGGTAGCACATTTATTTTCTCTAACGAATCAAAAGTCACCTGCAGGATTATCACCCAAAACATCACATCAAAAGTCAACTCCATCACTAGTGACAATTCTCCAAAACTCACATCAAGACAAATGGGACATTCACGATGCATCGATCCTTCCAGACACTTGTGTTTGTTCTCGAGTGAGTGTGGATAACACCCACAACATTTAATACAATGGTAATAGTTCTCCCGACCTCCGACACTAATTGCATCATCAAATATAAAGTCATATAGTATCAAAGTCAGTAAAAAACTACATATTATCATCCCAGTTAATAAAAAAAATAGACAACAACATACCGGCAGATACCGCATTCCTCACAGTGGAAAACTTTCTTCTCTATCCCTTTACCGTCGAATAAATTACACACGGCACAAAAATACGCGGCCATCATTTCGTGACAATTAATGCACTTTTGAGCACACTATACAAAAAACAACATCAAAAATTTACAATAAGAAGACGTATTTAATTGACAAAAACCCCAAAAAGTAAATGAGAATGTTTACTAATTGTTCAGTTAAACACAAGTCACAGCGCATTTGTTTTATGATAAAGCGGTCAATCCGATGCTGTTCTCCAAAAGCTTCGTCATGACATAATCGACAGCTCACCCATATCTTGCAACACTCGGCTAATACATGGCAACGTCGAACGTAGTGTGGACATTTGCCTAAAAGTTCCGTCATTATTGAACCACCGTCGCCAATCAACTGAAAAAGGGAAGATTATTGGTATAGAATAGGTACAATTCTGAAGAGGCAGTACCCAAAATTTGGTTAGTAGAAGGAGCGCATAAATGAGACAGCTTTGCTATACATTAAGCAAGTATCATATCGCTCTGACCTGAGAAAAGGCTAGGAACATTGTTCTTAGCCTTGTTCCTGGAACATTCCTCCGAGTAACTTTGTATTCAGTCTCTTTTCTTGACACTTACAACGTGACATGGTCACAGCATTCGTGGGTCTCGGTCAGAGATAATGAGCTTCATGATAGTGGACACACTATTTTTGCAGCAAGGCAGACAACTTGCAAATGACCGTGTGACCCTAATAGATCGAAGAAAAAGCGAAGTTTATCGACTTTCAACCATTAATCAAAATAACACACAGAATCTGTCGTGGAGTCGAAGCGTTGGCCGCGAGGCTTTACAGTTTGACATCTCTTGCATGTGTTGATGTTCTTGGCGACTTAGATGTACATAGAGAGGTCTGTAGAACGTTTAGAAGATCGTTTATATTGCCTTTTTTATTACTGGAAGGCACGTCGTATGCCTTCGATTGTTATGCCCCTAGTCGATTGTACAACAATGCAATCATCAATCAACAGCTTGTCAGAAATGGTCAGCGCATTAGTACTATTACAACTGATATCTCTATATATATAGTATTATCCCAGCTGATTTCTATATATATAGCACAAAAACTACTTACCCAATGTGACTTTACCTACCTGAATCTACTTATATTAGAATAAAAAACTAGATATATAATCACGAATAATTTTTGCAAAAATTATTGCGCTCCATTATATAGTGTACGATGGTAATATCTAACAATTTTATCGGATTTTTCTAATTATATAAGAACTGTATGAGATGGTCGTTAATTATCGATTAAAGACTACAGTTGATATGCTTATTTCTTAAGAAAGCACCAATACAAACGTCTGTACCATAATTTGCAATTATCCAATGCCTGGCCGTCCTCGCGTCGTGCGTCTACGTGCATCTGATGCAATTTCTGAGGCCACAAGACCTTTAATACGTCGGGAAGCCGTTAGTTACGCTCGAAAACTGGAAATTGTGGTGCATTACGAAACACACAATAATCTGGACGAGACCATGTCTCTCTTTTTCCCGAACATATCAACGTCCCAACGTCGTGTTAAAAAGCAGCTGATTATGCGCTGGCGACGTGAACGGAATAAAATTGCAGCTATTTGTGAGGCCGGAGGTGGCCGGAAGACCAACGACCGTAAGGTCGGTATGGGTGCCACGTTGTCGGTCGAGGCCGAGCGACGTATTGTCGACTGGATGCAGGAGGAACATGCAGCTGGCTACGTTGTGTCAGCCAAGAGACTTACAGAACGAGCGATGGAAGCGGTAAAGGAGGATCATTTATATCCGGAATGTTTTAAAGCCTCTTGGACATGGAGACAGTCGTTTCTTCGACGACATGGATTTACACAGAAGGCTCAATGGGGACAGAGTATGTCCCAGGACACATGAGGAGGTTTTGTATGGGAGAAAGAGAGAGATTGAAGAGATCATTTATACAAAATGTGAGTGAGTGAGTGGAAGGATGAGATATTGAGGATGGTGGTACTAGATATTAGCATCATGGTCAAGAAATGGCTGTCTACCAGCAGGATTAATACACGACACGACATGTAATTTACACCACGTATGAATGCTGACATAAAAATCCGTCTTTATCACTAAAATGACTAAATATTGTATTAAATACATCTGCAAGCTAGAAGAATTATCGCTATAATTATCACTTTATCACGAAATGTAGATTTTATCCAAGGTAAATCAATGAGCTATTCCTTTTTGTGATGGACCAATATGAACAACGTGGGACTAAAAAAAACAAAATTGGTCAATCTTTCGACGCGTCTTGAGAAATGCAATTAGAAACGTATCGTACTTGTACCGGTTCTTATACCAGTAAAACCGATTCTAACTTTTTGTGAGGTGCTCAGGCGACGACGACACTTGACACTTTCAATAGGACAAACGACATGAGTTGGCGTGCGCAGATCTCCCGAAGCATTCAGGAGCTTCGTTTTGTCGCCTGTGATACTTCACAAAGCAGTGCTGGCTTACGGTACGTCTTGTGCTTGTCTTGTACTCTGTTTCGTCTTCTTTCGTTCCACCCTGACGTTTTTTTTTCCATGTGTAGCGCTTTTTTCCACAAGAATTACGAGGAACTAAAGATGTTGAACCCATTTACACCATTTGTCTACCGTGAAGCAGAAGAAATGGAGCCATTTGTGTACGCACGCTTTGATTGGGGCGTCGAGGAGAAAGTACCAGTGCCTAACATGACCGACAAGGAGGTCCTTTTAGTACTCAAGGACCTTGTGGATCACGGTCTGACGCTGCCGAAATCACCCGAGAGTGACATTCTAGTGGCTGCCCCTATTATTGAGGCCGATAAAGGTGAGGATGCTTACGAACCTATTAATCTCACGTGGGATGGCAAGACGGTGCGTCGTAATCCAGATTTTGACATTCCGCTGGAGGAGGCTCTCAAGCCTAAAGAGACAGATTAAGTGAAGAAAAAGAAGGTGAATGTACCTTGTAGCTCGACAGTTGGTTGCAGCTGCAGGGATACAAGAATGTGATTCACGTCCATGTGGAAAATCTAAAACAACAGGATGAACAAATGCAGTCACTACCTCACTTGCTTGAGGCGTTGTATGCTTGTCCAGATGAACACACGTGTTTCGATAGCTATCACACGTGTCTGCCATACGCGGGATAGTTAGCACGACACCGCACATATTTTAGCTACTGTGTCGCAAAACTTATCCAATCTGCTGGGACAAGTTTAAGGTGAGGGAGGCACAGAGCCTACTACCGTCAGGCCCGGGGATGTGTGTAAATTCTGCTCGATCAGCTGAGCTTCCAACTGAGGAGGTAATTCTTCGCCCTCTTGGATGTCGGCCAACTCCGGAGCTCCGTGATCACCGCGAATTGCACGCATCACACGCTCTTGCTCGTCATTGTGGTGCTCGAGGTCGTCCAGGTGGAGGCTGTACGTCTCGATCAGACCCTGACGAATCCGGAACGGGAGGTAACTTGCAAGAGGCTCTGTCAGCAGCATTGCATCTAGCTCAAGAGGCACACTTTCCTAGCAGCATCGTACATTATAAAGCAAAATCGCATGCACAACAATTAGCTTGAGTCCTTTTCAGAAGCGAATAAACTAGTCGTACCAGGAAGGAAGCAATAGCGGTCAACCAGATGGCTAACCCCCACGCAGCATGGGAAATCGTTCCGAAGACGCTTGCCCAGGACAGTTCCATGACGTGGCGGAAGCGGAAAATGTAATAAATATACTTTGCCGTGCCTACGCCAATGTATCCGAAGCCCAACAGCAGCAACCCTTTTCAATCAAAACAACAGTAGCCAGCATCAGCAGCGACCTCCGTCATGACAACCATCCTATATTGCATCCACAGGCGGCAGACTCACCTGCACCACTTAGTTGTGCTCCGCGGTGGTGCTCCTGCGCATACATTGCGACTCCGACGGCAGACGACAGGACACCGTTTCTCGCCCAGTTCAAGTACGAGTTTTCATTGCTGAATCGAAGCGCCTATAATCACAGCAACAACAAACCCATAGTGCGCACCATCCAGCCAACACACCAACAGAAATAAATCAATGCGTAAGCACGATGCACCGGCAGCTAGCTGTCAACACCCATTAGCTCCACGAATTTCTCACCAGGGAGTTCCGTAATTGAAGATTCGCCTCCGCTTCTGCAGCTACAATGGCTTTCTTGGCTTCCATCTCTGCCGCCTTCTTGGTCGCCTTCATAGCTACAAGTAACACAAAAGAGATCTCAACGAATCAGCGTCACCACTCCGTAATTAAACTATAGAAGGACGTCACCATTGCTCTGCTTAAACTTGAGTAACCGATCGACCTGATACTTGCCAAGAAGCATAGAAATTCTCGACCGGGACTTCACGAAACGACAGCGTTTGCTTTTAAAAGCCGTAGATGCCGATCCGACTCCTGACGCAATCGTTGTCGATGGCCCAGCAGCGTTCTTGGTCGTATTTACAGCCACTGAAGGTGGTATAGTACCCGCCTTGGATCGTAGACCCATTACACCACGAGATAAAGGACTGGGGGATGGCCAAACGGCTCGTAATCCCTGCAAAGCGACGCGCTTCCAGCACATCATGCTTGATGTGCGATAAAGTCGCTAGTGTACACCAATGTTACATCAATGAATCAACTTGGCACAATCATTGGAGACACTCATTACACAACCATTACATCAATTAGTTGAAATGGTACAATCATTTCAATTAGCTCAAAAAACAACAATGGCATCAGGACGTGCTAATTTCACGACGGAATTCTTACTTCAGGAGCTCCTAGCGGCTCTCGGTGCACCTCTTGTTCCTTCTAATACGTATAATCTACATGCTGATAGTTTCTCGGAGAGTTTAAGTGAAGAAACCGAGTCTCAAAGTGCTCTGGAAGCTACAAAAAGAGGGAACAAGTCGCGTGTCATGTTGGTACGACGTACAAATAGCTCACAACAGACGGTAACGCTCGTTGACCGCAAGTTTGAAGTGGAATCGTTTATACCGAACAACGTGATTGTGGGATTGCAGAAAGAACGGCGCTTTTACACGCTCGGGAGGCTACGGGGTAGTGTCGTGAGGGTGACCAAGTACCATTTTGCTACGTTGACGCGTTGTTTGGCGACTTGCAAAGGGAATAAAGAGACATCAGTGTCTGTTCCTAATGTGAATAAGAACGAGGCTCGAGTTTATCTATGGGTGGATGCTCTGGCGATCGTAGAAGACAATGATCTGGCGATCAAGGCGCTGCCATCGGTATACACACATCCATTGGTGGTCGAACGATTGCAGATGCTGAGTGATGCAGAGCTGGAGAAACAGTTGATGATTAATCAAGGGCTGTTACCTCTTGAGGTTGGCAGGTTTGATGATGACCGGCCGTTGTTGGACGAAGACTGTGTGATACCGAAGGAGCAGGAGCAGGAACTGGAAGAGAAAGATGAGTGGGGGTTACCTACGCCTATTGAAAGACAAATGACGGACTCGGAGCTGATTGAAGAGAATGGATCGGTGCCAATGCCGGAATCTCAAGCGATGCGTGATTCTACATCACCGGATAAGTTTCTGTCAACGCAGGAGTCAATGATTTTGTCGGGGAATTTGTCTACGATGTCGACAACTCTGTCGGCAAATTTGTCGTCAACTTTGAGTGAAGAGATGAGTGTGACGCCTTCGCTTGGTAACCAAGGGTACTTGTTTCAGCAAGAGAACATTCGAGAGACATTTGTGATCGGCAGTGACTCGGAAAGTAGCGATACAGACCATGAACATATTAGTGCTCAAAAAGCAAAAAAGTCGGTACCTAGTGCGCTGAGTTCTCACAAACAAGTGGATTCCAGCAGGACGCATTCACCAGCCCACTCCAGTGTAGCACCGGCGATTCTAAAGACGACGCAAAGCTCATGGGCAACTGTCGACCTTACTGACGATTCGCCTGAAAAGGCACCAATGGCAATACCTGCCTCTAAGAAACATGCAATCGACGACCAGGAAGCTAAGACTGAAGATGCCGATTTACAAAACGAAGCAGATGGAAATACCGTACCGCCGTCGTCAGCATACACGCCACCAAGGACTCATTCCCCAACCGAGAAGCAAAATTCATCAACGGGCTGGGCCACGAGCTTCCTTCGTTTGGTCGGCATAGGCACTTCCGCAGCCAAAGCATCACTCCCACACACTCAGTCTTCCGACGAAGAGGCAGGTGACTTGGCTGAAAATGAAAAGAATGCTACTCAGATTCTGGATCGAACGGAGGAAGAGAAAAAGGCCGAGCCCGCTAAACCCGAGGATCTCATTTTGTCTCAGGCAACTGTAGTCCTGCAGTATGATGCTGATAATGACGATGACGATCATGCTTTTGAGTACGAAGGCATGATGTCGGACGATATAGTGTCTCCTAGATCAGCAGAGCATGGTGGAGTCCCAACTCAGGAAGCAGACTCGACGGGTGATCTTGTTTTAGCTAAGGAGGGGGCTGAAGTCGTGCCTACTCCGAAGAAAAGGCCGGTGTCAAAGAAAGAGACAACTTCGACAGGCTTCAGAACACCCTCTCCTTTTGCACAAACAGCGACACCAAGGACGGAGAAACGAACTGAGCCAGCTGATCGCCAAAGTGCGGCATCGATGAGTAATTTGAAGGAAGATCTGGAAGTGGTAGCGCCTGATAGCAGCCAACCTGCTTTGCCTCTCAGCCCCATTAGCTCGAGTCGTACCGGGTTCTCAGCTGCCGAATTTCAAGGTGTGAAGCGGCGTCGTCAACAAATTAATGCCGAGTCCCACTCGCCTTCAATCATTGCTCAAGCAGAGCTTGCTGTGTCACAGCCGCGAGTGCAAATGAATGGCAAAAGATCACGCTCTGAAACGCAGAAACATCGACGAGAGATTCTTTCGACGCAAGCACATCGTACGGCTGGATCTCTGTCTCCTCAGTTCGAGCAACCAGTTTTTATTCCTCGACGACCACTTCAACCTGTTTATGGAAATGGAGGCACCGACAGCTATTCACTCAATGCATTGAGCAGGTCACTTGGTTCGCGTATACATGATCTGGCCAGTGAAGAAAACCAGACACGTACATCACGACAACCTCGTCGCGCTTGGAAGCGGTACGAAAAACTTTTTCCGCCGCTGAATATGACACATTTGAAGCAAAGGATGGCAGAGAACAAGGCCAAAGGCCAATAATGAGGACTCTACTGCAGTTGTGATATGTGGATTATCTTCTACTTAATTTTTTACTAGTATTACAGCTACGTGCGAGATGTGTCGATATTACGGGGATCTGTGGCGGTAATCCGAACGTGCCTGAACCGTTGAAACAGCAGCGTGAGGAGATCCTCGAGTATTTAGCGAAGTGGCTTGGTACTTCTGGTGAAGAAAAGGTAGCGATGAATGCCGTCCAAAAAGCAGGTGCTTTTCTTTGGATGCATAAGGAGCAAGAGCTTGCAGGACTGCACAGATCGTCGCCATTCGTGTCGCATTCCTTGCGTTGGTGGTAGTACTACATTCTGGTCTTGTTCGCGACGCTCCTGCACGAGTTTTGAGCACGGCAGCAGATAAAGGCGAAACTATCTTGGAAGTTTCTTGATTTGTATTGATTAGAAATGGTGGTAGCAACAACGCCAACGTCCATGACTCGATCACTTGGTATCTCGCTCCTTTCTTGTAAAAAAGGACCCACAACTTTCCTATACACACAACATTGAGAGGTCTCGCTGACTAGCGTGGTAATCGATAGCCACTTCAAATTATCTACGTCTGCACCTTGGGCTTAGCTGTCGCAGGAAGCGTGGTCTCGACCATCATCTCCCTTGTTGAGATGTAAGCGTAAGTTGCGCCACCGATCGATACAACGACGATGCCAATGGCTTTCTGCACCGTGATGACATCGTTATTAATGAGAATGGACATCACGATCACAACCACCTGTTTCATATTGCCGCATACACACAGTGTCACAGGTGATGTGACCTTGTTGGCCATAAAGCTCGTGATATTCAACATGAAGCTGATAATGCCGGTCAAAAGGAACCAGAAACTAGCCGACGGTACGGCTTCCCACTTGTTTAGTAGAGTGTTTACTTCCCCCGTCAAAAACATCGTGACCAGACACCAACAAGCTGACAATGGTGCCTGATGCAAGATCAAGTCTACCGGATGCAGCTTCAAGTCTCCACTCAAAAACTATAACTCATCCACAACAACCAATCCACAAGCACAGTCAGTCAAGATAATGAGCATATCACCTCCTAAATGTATCATATAAATGCCGCACCTTGTTGGATAGTACGGCTTTCAAGCCTGCAAAAAGCACAGCGACGACTGTAATAATAAACCCCAGGACCGTGCATGAATTATCTCCCGTACATGCCAAGTAGACACCAAATGCTACTGGAATGAGCGCTAATTTACGCTTGAGCGAGTACCGTTTGCCTAAAATGAGCATACTCAGTACAATCACAACTGCTGGAACAAGTGCTCGCATGACTTGATTCAACGAGACGGACACAAGTCCTAAACTCCAATTTCCAGTAATGATATTACTGACAAAAATGATGGAAAATGAAATTAAAAGATGATGTTGTCGAGACGTGAGCTTTTGACGTTCAATGCCTTGAGACAAGTGAATGTATAGAAATGCACCCAATGTATTGCACATCATATGTACAAATGTAAGGGTCACGGGCAATTGCAATATTTGCAACGCTTTTTTGTTCCAGAATGTGACACTAATGTTTTGGAAAAACCACATTGTAAGCCAGAATATTACAATAGATGGGCTCACGTATGACGTGGTTACTGTTTTTTGAAACTTGATATTGTCCGTAGTCGTACTTTTCTTGAAAGTGACAATATTATTGTCCATTTCGTTCGGTAATTGTATTGTCTCGGTCGTAGAATCGTCCTCGTCTGTCTCATGAGGAACGTTGAATGACACGTGACTGGTTTTTAAGAGATTCGCATCATTTAATTGACTACGAACTCGAGTGGTGAGTGTCTTTGGGTCCATTAATGTAATGCTGGACAAGATTGGAAATATATTGTGGTATTGTAATATTGTGTTTAAAAGACCCAGTTTTTTTTTTAAAACGAAACGATGATATTTGATAGGTTTATTGATACAGTAGCGAATGTAAGCGACTTAGAATAGAGCTTTGTGCATCAGCTCGTTTTTTTAGGTCTTGATGACGCTGACATGAATATTTGGAATTGTTTGCAAACGCTTGACGGCGAGTTCTACCATACGCTTGAAACCGGCACCTAACACCAGATTGATTAAGTTACTGAGATGATTGTCAAAAACTTATCGATTTAAAGGTCGTACCTGTAACTGTCATCCCCGATACAGTCTGGAAACCGGATAATAACTCACAAAGTGGACCAAGAATTACAAGATGAATCCTTTGTGTATCTTGCATCTCCTGCATCATCACATTCATGTCAGTTAATGAATAAGAGCTGGACAGTTCAATAGCAAGACAAAGTACCCACTAGCGAGCTCTTTTCAACATGATCAAGCTCACGTAACAGCTCGTAGATACTCCGACATTGTCGAAAATGAATCTGGTGAAGACACTTGGCAGCTATCTCTGTCGTCATGGCTGCAGCAGGATTTGAAACAGCCACTGCCAGTTTCTTTGTCACGAACTTTGGATCACGCACCAGGAACAATACTTTTTTTCCTCCTCTTGTCACTTGTAAAGCAGCCTCTACGCATTCCTGCAAAGGATCATAACAAAAACAATTGCAATACAGTCAGTTGCTCGAGTTTTATACGACAAAGTATCACCAAAAACACTCGACAAACGTTGATATCGCATGTTTCAGCTCTATAATTTGAATGTCCTATCACAGAACTAGTATATCATATTGCAATATAATGTCAGAAACTTTACTTTTTGCTTAATGCTGTATTGCAATATATTGCAATATATCACATGCACGACCTTGTAGCTTTTTCCTGACGCGCTAACGTTGACATCATAACAAACGATGCCGTGCAAATTGCAGCCACTTGTTGTCGTTGTATCTTCATTTCTTGGCAGTATATACTCGATGCAAAGAGCTGCTCGGCCGTCATGTTCTCCATCGACTCATCGAGCTCCTCCTTACGCAATAATCTTTTTAACATTGGCATTGTATTCGAGAATGATGGTCAATCATCATAAAACACAGGGTAAAAGATCCCCCATAGTAGTGACCTCGAAGCTCGATTCCAGAGTGATGGTCGATCATCACAAACACGAGGGACGATCCCCACTTGAGTGACCTCGAAGCCCGACACTTCCCGACGTCGACTTGGCCATGTCTTTGCCTCCTTTGGAAGGCTCTCGTGGGCGTCTGGATACGTTATTGGACGCTTCAACCTCTTGTACTACTCGTGATGGATCCTCTGATGCTGTCAACGTCGAGTTTTCCGCGTCAAACGACGCTAATCTCTCGTTTTCGTCATCTGTAGCAACCCCCGAACAGTTCCTCCCGCCCATGTCGTTCCTACGCCGCGTACCATCCACTCCAAGCGCCAATCGCAGTCAAAATAATGACCGAAATCAACGCAAAGAGATTGAGCGCAATGAGCTGTTGGAAATGATCCTCGAGTCGATTGCAAACGTCCCTAAAGCTGTGGAAAGAATCCATACAAATGAGAAGTTACGACAGGCGCTACATGACGAAATGGGCGAAGAAAACACGCTATTGCATCAACTTTTTGATTCTAGAGAGCAATTGCCGCATCCGAAAGGATTTATATGCGGTAGGAAGCTGTCAGAGGACGAGATAAGGCGTCGGGACCTTGTGGAAGACGGAGATGACAGTGGTTTCTTGTCGGAGCATCCATTGATGTCACTTGATAGCTACAAAAATAGCCAGGAGGACGAAAATGACCAAGATAGTGGAGACATTAGCAGTGACTTTGACTCGGAGTACGAGAACGACCTGACTGAAGCAGTGAACCAGCTGTGTATGACGGATGAAACACTTACGACAATGGACAATATGATATCGGAGCCAATTGCAATTGCGTGCACGAGTATTACGAGTGGTATGTCGGCAAGGATGTCAACTTCACCACAATCGTCGTTTGGAATGGGAGCTTCACCTGGAGCAACGTCGATGGACGGGGAACCAGTGTCAGCGTTATGGCCTCGACAGCCGGATCAGTTTGCATTTACACAAGAGGAAGACAACAATGCTTGCGCGGAAGATGAAGTGTACAGTGAATTGGCGAGTTCTGTGTGCGAAGATGACACATTCCAGGATGATGTGGATGGAAATGAAGAGGACGTCGAAGAAGACGATCTGGATAATGAGACCGAGGAAAAGCTATTCCAAATGGACGAAGATGATGACGTTGCCGATGATGGTAAAGGTAGCGAGAAAGAGATGGAAAATGGCATCTTGCGCTTGATTCACGAGGAAACGCTAGCGGATGCATTTGTTGTAGGCTCTCCGATTCAAGGCCAGGTAACGACGTTCCAAAATGATCTTGATGGAAAAACGAAGAAGAAGGCGGACACCGTTCAAACTGTTGATATCAAACAAGGCGACGATGTGTGCGACGATGCTGCAGCGAGCGAAAGCTCAGAGAGTGAAGACGGCGAGCCGAAAGAATACGAAGTGTATAAACTCCGTATAATTCGAGAAAAAAATCGTACTGGGTTTGAGCCTAATCAAGACTGGCGTCCCCGTGCTGGCAGTGTGATTGGAAATCGTTACAAGGTGAACAGTGATCAAAAGAGTTGTGGTAAGATCACTGTAGAGTATAGAGTGTTAATATCTGTGTGTCTTTTTGCAGGTGGAAATGGCAATTGGAGAAGCAGTCTTCAGCCGAACGTACAAGTGCATCGACACAACGACTGATGAGGTAGTATGCTTGAAGATCATCAAAAACAACAAGGAATACTTTGATCAGGGTGTTGACGAGATACGCGTACTGGAGTATATCGATCACAACTGTAAAGTGGACGAGAGGCATCTTATTCGGCTTTTGGACGCGTTCTACTTTCGCGAGCACCTGATAATTGTGACTGAGGTTCGTTGGTAACCGAGTATTGTGTTCTTCTCTCCAGTACTCATCTCACTTGGTTTTCTGTGCAGCTACTTCGGGACAACCTCTACGAATTTTCACGTTTGCTTTTACAACGTGGTGTGATGAACTACTTCAGCATTCCTCGTCTAAAAAAGATAGCAATTGAGGTGCTGGAGGCGCTGGACACGTTACACTCGCTGGGAGTTGTGCACTGCGATCTCAAGCCAGAGAATATTCTGATCCAAAACTTTAGTGCGTGCACTATTAAGGTGATCGACTTTGGGTCGGCGTGTTTTACGACGGATGAGCTCACGTCTTACGTCCAGTCGCGTTCGTATCGTGCCCCAGAGGTTTGTTTTTGATGAAAAATATTGCTGTAGGTTTCTCTCTCTCTCTCTCTCTCTCTCTGACCCATTCTTTGTCTCCATTTTATCAGGTAATCCTCGGACTCTTGTACGGCACAAAAATTGATCTATGGTCGCTCGGGTGTGTTATTGCTGAAATGTACACGGGTGAAGTGCTCTTCCGTAACGACTCGGAGCAAACTCTATTGGCTCGGATCCTAGCGACAATTGGTGCGTTTGCAGCTCTATTCTATCGTGTACTATCAAGTAACTCAATTTGTCATGTATCTAATTGTCTCTAGGTCCTATTCCTGCGTCTCTTTTGGCTGATAACGACGGATTACAACACCAATTGATTGACACGGGATTGTTCACCGTGGATCACTTGGGTAATGGCATGTTGAGTGCGAATCTCGATCTACCTCTTCTCGAACAAGCTGTGGATACGAAAGATGCAGAATTTCTCGAGTTTTTGCGTGCATTATTGCAAATTGATCCAACATATCGAGTCTCGGCAAAAGAGGCATTAACCCATCCATGGCTTCAACATGGTGTTTTTGCGGAAAATTGCCTTTGATGTGTCCTACATCAAGTTGAGGTGTTCCAAAGGCGTCCACCCAGTTGAAAAAGTACAGGACGGATGTCATTTTCACGTGATAACAATATCATGACGGTGGGTGATATTGCATGAAGAAATGAATGAGAATTGGCTCATTGTCGTGTATTTTTAGCATAGAGAGCGAAAAAAATGTGGCTGGAGAGAAAGTGGTTGTGTTTTTGGATCAGGGATTGAATATTTGCTGAACATTTGAATGGTTTTGGTCTGTGAGGCATTGTTAGAGCCAGGAAATGGAAAACCAAGTGGAAGCTTTGCATTTAGATGGAGATTTGAAGAGGATGACGGAGAAACGATGGAGTCGTAGCGATACTATCTTGTCGATTGGTAATGAAGTGGAAGATGGCGATGATCAGGAGCTGAAGAGAATCACTACAAGTGATGGAAGAGGTTTCAATACTAGTGACAAGTGGGCGGCCTTTTATCCAAATCAAAAAGTCACGGTCGTCACGAGTATCGGACAGCCACCAATTCCTCCAGACGGTGAGAACGGTTTTGTGACGCAATTGAAGAAAAAAAGAGGTGAATGAAGAAATGGTGCTTTGTAGGGTACGTCCCATTGCGGCATGGACATCGTCGTGAAGTGCAGAATCCGGAGAATTGTATGTTGTTTGAACACGACGTGGCAAACGGGTGAGTTGATTGTGGTGGTTGTGGCTATTTGATCGTTGTCGTAGGTTTGATATGCGTATTTTTCTTGTAGTTTCTCGGTGGATACATTGCTGTGGAGTGAAAAGTTGTTGGAGGAGCGCATTATGCAGTTAACAGCATGGACTCGACGATCTCCTTTGCCGCGTCGCCAGAAACTGGAACGCATTAACCGCATGGTGAACCAGTCTTAACACTTCCAATACTAAGAGTTGCTGAAAGCAAAACTTGTTGTTGGTTTGTCTTGCCAGACGCGTTGCCTTGTCTACAAGTGAAGCATCAATAATCAGTCCTTCCGTGTATGCTCGCATCACTTTTCTTGGCAAAACATGCAAGTCTCCGAGCAAAAAAATGATTCTCTTGAACATACTTGCTGAAAATATCCATGAGCTGTCTGATCCCATCGCATATAGGCTCAGCCACAACTTTTCGTTGCTCTCAAACCACAATGATAAGAGTCGTTTGAAGCCGTTAAAAACACGCACACGCGTTTCAAGTTGCTGTCCTCCTAGCGTCACTTAGACCCCAGCACTCACGTCACAGCTGGACAAGCAGCCGCAACACAAGACCAATAGCTCTGCTTCGTCCTACTCTTTTCTAAAAAGAAATCTCTTCCTCTCTCTCTTCCGTCTCGTTTTTCTCATTTATTTCTTGCCATTTATCACCCCGTCGTCGTCGTTTCTTGCGTAAAACATCGGCATAAAATGAATGTGCAAATAGTCCAGACAAGAGGCCAACAAGACCAGCAGAATGGACACTTTTCGCGTAACGCATTGCTACCAAAGCTGCAATAGCACCACCCGAGAACTTGACACTGTCTTCCATACTGGGGATATACACTCGGAAATAACTCGAGGTGGAGGTTACAAACGACGTGACACTTGACGTGAAAGTCCATGGATGATCCATGGGACATGGCGACGACTCGGACAACGTCTCTCCTGCTGCGGGTTCTTGCTGTTCCTCCATAATGATCGTAAATTCAATGTAAACTTAATGAATGCCTCTTATAATAAACTTATATATAGAGCATTCACCGGATAAAGTATACAGAATACATCACGTTGCTACTTCCGTCCGCATTTTACGAGAAATGGAAAAAGTATACGTTACACTCGGACAACATCGTTATAACCATGGTTACATATTGGGTTATGCTATTCCTAATCTAGAGCTTCGACGACTCATTGTACACAAGCAACGACGTACCTTTCGCATCTCCTCGGCACGGTTTTCATCGTAGAATGGTGGAAAGCCACACAAGAGAATGTACGTGATAACACCAAGACTCCAGACATCACATTTGCTGTCGTACGGCAAATTTCGGACACTTTCCGGTGCATCGTAACCCCGTGTACCACACATTGTCAACAGGTTGGTCTCCTTTGAAGTGATCAACTTGGCAAACCCAAAGTCGACAATTTTGATCGTCGAGTTTGCCGTCTTGTCGGTGTACAGGAGATTTTCAGGTTTCAAGTCGCGATGAGTGACACCTTTCGAGTGGCAATAGTGCAGCACTTTGGCCACGAGGGACTTGCACTACTTTTTTGGCTTTGGCTTCGGTGTAATATGCCTTGGCAATGATCCGGTCAAAGAGTTTACCACCTTCAGCATACTCCATTACTAAAAAAACACATGGGGCCATTCCCGTCATAGACGTCCCATAGCTTGATAATATTCGGATGACACAACTGGAAAGAGACCAAGAACAAAAAGTTAGACGAAGTTATCACGAAACCACGTGCTTCTACGTGTAGAACTCGAGATCCCCATACGTCTTGTAAGATGTTGATCTCCTGAACCAAGTTGCTGCGTTCCTTAGGATCAAGTGTTTTTTTGTTAATGCATTTCACGGCAAGCCGTTCTCCTGTTTCTCGGTTAGTGCATTCTTTCACAATGAAAAAATTGCCCTCACCGATGATGCGTCCACTGCGGTACTTTGCATTGAAATCTGCACGAGCTTGGTCCACCATGATCCGTGCGTGTGACGAAACGAGGTAATTCACGAGTGTCCGTCGTCTATGGATTGTCAAATGCCGCCAAGAAAGCGAAGGTTCCTCGCTAAGACCTACGGGGATCGGGGTCTAAAAATAAAGCTTGACCTCTTTAGTACAAAGTGTCCAAGCCCTTGAAACCGATAATGGGCTGTAAGTCGGTTTTTTTTTTTAACATGTACACACTGCAACATGTTGCAATGTTCATTTCATACAGCAACAAAAATGAATAAAACTCAGACCTACGCCTTCCTCTCACATCATAATGCTCGATCTCTCTCTCTTGATGTCCTCTCCGCGCTCGTCACTGTCCTACACAAACAACCCATGGTCGTCAGCTAATCAATGGCTTGGAAAGTTAGCACAACAGGCTTGGGCACGTTGCGTAGATGCATCGTCGATCGCTCGAACCCCAGCTGACGAACGTCCTTGTCGCCGATTAAGATCAGGATATCACCCACGGCCACACGTCTCAGACCGGCACACGTGCTCTTGCCTGTGCGCTTGGTGATAAGGATCACAGAGCCTTGCTCCGATTGAGCCTCACGCACCGTAAAGCCAAACGGACCATCCGTCCATTGAATCTGGTAGTACGCTTTTGGATCGATCTCGAAGAAATTGTCCTCCTCCCCTAGAGCCGCTGTCTGAGGCTGCCGATATGATTGCTGGACAGACCAATGTTGATTGAGCTGCTGTGGCGGTGTTTGATGGAACGACTCTTGTTTGTGTAGTGGCTCTTGCTGGTACGGTGAAGGTGGCAGCTGTTGTTGGTAAGACTGTTGCTGCTGCTGCTGCGGTTGAGACTCATAACCACTGTTCACATGGTCCTGTCCCGAAGCATTCTGGCCAAAGATTAAGTCATCCGCTATTTGCACAGGCTGATGCTGCAACTTGTGCCTACCTAGGCGCTGGGAATGAGACACTGTGAATGAGTTGTTGCTGCGCGCGCTTCGGTATCCCAGTAAACCAACTCCAGCCTCCTTCTCATTAACAGCAGAGTTACTTCGTGAAGACGAGTAACTTCGAGCAAATGCAGGTATCAGCGGTGAGCTAGCTCTACCCGCAGAAAGCGTCGGGGACGAAGCTCGCTTCGGCTGCGTCGGACTATCGGTAATACTCATCGCTGCTGTTTGCGCATTCAGTAGCGACGAGTTTTCTATAGATTTAAAGAATGTATTTGCCTTGCTTCTGTTCGCAAGAGGTCGACGGAATCGAATTACCGCTGGCTTGGGTACATTCATAATGTACTGCATGGTCTCATGGAAGCCATAGTCCTTGGCTGATCTGTCATTCACGAGAACAATCTCATCGTTTTCCTGCACTTGAGTAAGTTGTTTTGACGTCCCTTTTCCTGTAAAGGATCGTACATACGGCAACCCTTGAGCCGACGTACCAACAACGAGTCCAAGGGATCCATACTCCCACAAAAAATCATATTCTCCTTCCCCCAATTCCGGTAATGGTGTCTGCAATTCATCAGTCAATGGTTGTCGAAACCGAAGCGTTAGAGGCTTGGGTAACTCTTTAATAATGTTAATAACCGCTGCAAGGGACCGATCACTTGTTGGCATGTCATTCACGTAAACCAATTCATCTCCAATCTGTACATCTTGTTCAAGTGCTGGAGTGTCTGCTTTACTGGTAAACCGTTTCACGACTGGTAATTTACTGTTTAAATCAGTCGTCAAGACAATTCCCAATGGTCCTGATTCCCATAGATAAGTATATTCATTTGGAGCAAGATCTGGAACATCTTTGGCTGCCGTTCCGTAGGGCGAAAGCTGGAGCGTTAAACGTACAGGTTTTTGTACCGAACGGAGTAATTTTGTCGCTTTATTTACTCCTAAACGATACACTTTTTCATCTCCAATAGCAATTAAGATATCACCTGGTACAACGTCTTGTAGACCAGTAGAAATACTAGTGCTATTGCTATTGCTATTGTTTGTGGTAGTGGTGGTTCGACGAGCAAGACACAAGACTGTACCCCGATCGGATTGAACAGGTATTACTGTAAAGCCAAACGAGGCATTATCTTGCCATTCAACGACATACATTTTACGCTCATCAAGATGCAAATCGAGACTTGGTGACGGCGTGTCTGTCATTTTGTATGTACTGTACGATATGAGACTGTAAGGGACCGACCTGAAGAACTTGTGAAAGATAAAGTGGAGAGAAAAAGTAACTTACTTGATATTGTATGGGATGATAACTGTGAAAAGTAATACGAATGGGTTGTGTACTTGATAGTGTAATTGTTCAAGTAGAATAACTAAATACAGTACCAAAGTCAGTCCAACATTGTACCCATTGATGAGTCAGAACTGTTTCACAAAAATCTACGAGAGAAATTCACAATTTTGCTCAATGACGTCGCCACATTTTGGGATAGCAGTTACCGGTACAGGACACTGGTACACAAAATACTCGCTTCTTTTTATCTATTAACCCTTACTCTTAATAATGACTGTAATTTTCACCCCAGTTCCAATATTTCTCTAAACAAGAATAATGCCGCCTATGCTGTTTGCATGGCTCATTATCCTCAGTGCCGCTCTATTGACTCTGGAGATTCAACGTCGACTTCTTCTTGCTCGTTTTCTTGGAGCTATTATTATGCTTTTGATATGGCTATTATTATTATCTTCCGAGCTACAGCTCAAGGCCATGAGCTGTGCCATTGTTTACCACGGATTAGCAGAAGGTTCACGGCAATGGCAGCGGAATTTTCCGTGTATATTTGAGCATCGAAAGGACCGGAAACTGGTTCTCTGGCTGTTGTTTTGGGCTCGGGTGTTTATTTGGGGCGCTTCCATTGGTGGGGTCACTGTCTTTGCAGCGTTTTCAAGACATCAAGACGAAGTACTCAAATATTCGCTCTCTTCTTGGCAAGAAGCTCTCGTTCTTGCCGTATACTATGAGATAGTAGAGGTGTTAGTGATGCTGTACTTTGCCGACAATGAACTGCTTTATTTGTGGCACAAACGGCTTGGTCATTGGCTCGCAGCATTGTTTGTGGGGTATCTGGAAACTTCTGGACGATTGGATGCAGTACTACGAGGTCCGTTGCTCGTTGGCATGTCACCATTGGCTCTTATTGGTGTACTGCTGATAGTCATGTGGCTATCGATGGAGATTCCATGGGATCAGATTGCAGAATGGAGTAGTCGGAGTTTGATTAAAGACAAAGAGCACGACGAGATGGAGGAACCTGAACGGACTAGAGCAGAAAGAAACTTTGAAAGCGAGTCTTGCAGCAAGGTTCGGTACAGCACAGAGCTATTTATGGATAAGAGCAGCAGACAAGGATCTCGATTTCCGACCGTGACAAAATGAGACTTGAAGCTGACAGATGAGATACAATGCTCGCCTTTTTTGTCTGGAAGCTGCGTCGCTCTCAAGCATATTACTATGTATTCTTTGAATGGCTTTATTATTTATTCATTATTTTTAATTCAGAATTTATTGCCTTTAAATTTTATGTTAATGGATATGCTCTAATATAGAGTAGCTCTATAATATAAAAATGACTTTTCGTTGACTCAGACTCAGATATTTTGCTCTATTTCATTTCATCCAATCATAACGTTTAACTACAAACCCGTTGATTTTGTGGTGGACATTGGTTTCCAGCACAAACACTTATAACCATGGCCAAGGTACGTACACTTTTCCTTGGCGTAGCATGTAAAAAGGAGACGTCGTGAGCTATTACTGCGATATCAACATAATCATTGGCATCTGTACTAGCTAATGACGTTTTTTTCACAAAAATGCACGCACAAATCGTCGAGTTACAAGACGAACAAAAATGTCATTAAACGTTCGTACTAACAATGTAAATTTCTCCCAGGGAAAAGCCAAGAACGTCATAATAAAGATGTTGAGTGCAGCAGGCACTGGGTACGTCATTCTTATGGTTTTTGTAGTATCGTAAAGTCACTTCTTGACTCTTTGTAATGGGTTTTACAGGTTTTTCTACACGACGACCAAGAATCCACGCAATGTGACGAGAAAACTTTCGCTTCGCAAGGTACAAATGGAACTACCTCTTAATCGGGTGAAGAGCTTGAGCTGTCGAGGCTGATGACGTGTTGTTGTTTTTGATGCTGCAGTATGATCCAGTTGTCCGGCAGCACGTGATTTTTAACGAGACAAAAATCAAGAAGGGATAAGTGCTAGAATAAAGCCGTCCTGTACGTCTTTGTTCGAGTACAATCCATTGCTTGCTGAGAGTGTCCGTTATGATCACGTTTAGAAATCATGTGGCCGGTTGTGCTGGTCGCTTCTTACCAGTAATGGCCATTATACACCCAGATTGCGAATTTAGACTCGCATTTTTGCACTTGATCGGCTACAACAGACGTCGGCCTTTGATTGTAGATGTATTGCTCACGTCTGACGCCACATTGACGTCAATGTCATCAATTGCAGGAAGTCCAACACGGTCCGGCACATTCGCGTTAATCAGATCGGACGTTGCTGATGACTCGGGGCTTTCACTAAAGAACTCGTGCTCGAGCGCCTTGCGTGCTGAAATGCGTTGCTTTGGGTCTAGCTTCAACAATTGAGCTAAAAGGTCGACACCTGCAGGTGACAGCATTGAAAACTGCTCCCTCAGTGGCGTCGGATTTGTGTCCTTGAACCGAAGATAAAATGGCAACTGAGCTGCTTCTTCCCATCCATTCTCATGTGGAGATCCCAAAATAGCAAAGATCTTGCTCAGCTGGTCAATGTCTGAGGATCCATCAGCTAATGGGCGACGCAACAGCATCTCGGCAAAGATACAGCCCACGGACCACATGTCGACCTCAACTCCATATCTTTCTTCACCAAAGAAAATCTCGGGTGCTCGATAAGCTCTTGTGACTACTTGCACCGACCTCTTGGGTTTCTTCTTCTCAAATGCTGCCTCTGTCTCTTCTTCCTCTTCCTCGCTTGCCTTCTCAATCATCGTCGCCATCCCAAAATCCGTGATCTTGGCACAATGTTGCGTCTTGGATAGCAACAGATTGTTTGGTTTCAAATCACGATGTAAAATTCCTCTCGAATGAAGCTCCTGGACACCAAGCAGCAACATTTTCAAATAAGCCTTCACTTGTGCCACCTTTAGCGTCTCTGTCCCACGAATTAGTGTCTCTAGATCACTGTCCATGTATTCCAGCACCAAATAGAGTTTCTCATGGTGTTCTATCACCTCCAATAGCTAGAATAAAGCACCATATAAAAGTCCATACATAACCCTATTTATCCCCTTTATTCCGTGCCACTTCAATTCATTGCAATCATTTCGTGACGCACCTGTACGACGTGAAGAGCGCCTTGACATTTCGTAAGAAGAGCGGCTTCGTGGCGTCCAGCGTTTAGTGGCCCTAGTACTTTTTTAATAGCTACACGAACGTGAGACTCGACGTGGTATCCGAGGTATACGGTGCCATAAGTGCCGTGTCCAATCTCTCCGTGTCTCTCGTATACGCCCAGACACTTCCGTCCGTTGCTGCCCATTCGACGCTTTATTGTTATCGAAAGTAAAATACTACTGCAGCAACTAATACCTTGTCTAAACTGACAGATCCCACGTGTATTCGAATAGACAGGTTCTACTGACTTATGGTCGTTCGAAGTCGGTATTTTATCCAATCCGATGCAAGATGGGACGTAGCCGGAAGGCATCGACATGAAAACCGGTATGATCGGTCGGTGGCTCAAGCCAGCGACATCAGGGGCAGGGGCTTTGACCCATTTCGTGTCGATGGTCTGAGAATAATGAACTCGTTTGAAAAAAGAGCGAGAAAGAGACCGACAAAAGAGAGAAAGCGAGTCATTTTTCGTTTCTTGGTGAGAAAAGTGTAGCTGTTTAAGTACCTCATTCCCACAGGAGAGATGAAGTATACAAAACCCAAGAGTGTACGATGGTCCACTGTGACTGTGTACGAGTTTGGCGTGACGTTGGGCGGTAGTGCCGTGCCTCGTCGAGGAGGTCCATCCATTGGCCTTGCACGTAAACCGCAGCATGTGTGGAGTACGACGCTGGAAAAGGTGCGACGCTGTGGAGACTTGGCTCTTACACGGCCGGACGTTAACGCTGACGACGCTGAGCAAAAGGAGAGTGTGGACGGCATGGAACGACGCAAACATCGGGTACATCGAGCCAGGAGAGTGCGCTGGCTCAAACCACTGGAACGTATTACGATGCTGACCAAGGCTGGCTGCAGTGAGGAGCGCATCTATCGCATGATGATGGAGAGCTCGGACATTGCCATGTCCCGGAGGTTGTGTGTCTCGCTGCAACGTCAGGTGGCTGCGTGAAAGGACGGCAGACTATGATGGGGAACTGCACAAGACGAGGAAGAAGACGACGATTGTTACAACGTATGGGTCTCTATACTAGTAGATGCTGCAGCATGCCCAATAGATTAAAGCGAGTGGAAGATGGAGGACAATGAATGACTATTTACAGCCTACAATGACGACATGATTTTGTCTTGGACGGAAGCAAAAGGGCATCATTAACAATGTACTTTTTTGTAGCAAGATGTCCATGGACATGTCATTCTTCATTCACATTGTCCTGTCCAGCTAAACGTCTCCGAGAGCTTGACTTATCTCCTGTCTTTTGCACTGCGGTGTCTTTCAATCAAGTACATGAAGCTTCTCCCCCAGCAGACCAAGCCCTCGCGACTGGACGATGCTTAACATCTCCATGCAATCGATACGATTCTCGCTCTACCCCGTCTTCTCTAACATCACACTACATCACAATACGTTCCAGCAAATAGATCCAGCGCACGCATCTTTCTCGACATTATCGAGCAGCACAGTAGCAACAGCCACCATCTCGTATTGCTGCCACTGGATCCGCCATCGGTCCGCCGCGTACACTGTAAGGAGTGTACCAGCGTACGCTCGTGATCGCCATGTCGCGATGACGGCGGGATAGAGCAAAATGGAGGAAATACTCACACGACACCGACTGCTGCTTGCAACTCGACTGCATGCGGCGTTTCGCTGACTCGCCACGACCTCCTTCGTCACCATCAAGCGGGAGGTTTCGGCGGATTGCATTTGTCCGCTTACAAACACCAAGTGAATCTCCATCGTCCGCTCGCCCTTTTTTCGTCCAGACTCCAGCGGACGTATCGCGTAATCTGAAATTAACGGCGCACATAAAAGTTACAGTCAAGTAGCAAATAGCCCCTTGGCATTCTGCACGGCACAACGTCTTAGCTTCTGAAGGTGCGTCATCGACGGAGAAATGCATCCAATGACAATGGTGACGAATTTACTGGACTAATGACGGTGAAAGATGCTAGTTTATACATGTAGTTTGTATTGATAGCCATGCCTATGTATACTGGTAATATAGATCAAATAACTTAGCCCTTCCTCTCTACGATCAACGCCAGTGTTATGCCAACGCTTTTCCAAATGACGCGCTGTATATACAAAGCGATCCAATGCCCATTCATTCTCGTTGGTGGTCGCTTGTTTAGTTGCATTGGTCGTTTTTACACGTAGTTGACCGGGATCATATGTGGGCGATTGAGGAAAGAAGAGGAACACGGACGCTCGAGTACGGAGCGAGACGATTTCATCTGCAGGTGTCGCCGCTGCTTCTTGGCTTCTTTCCGCTCGGCAAAGTCCTCGATGAGTGTCCTCCGACGCGAGCGATTGATGATGTTCGTTTCCCGCGAGAACCGCAGGATCATGCCCTCGCTCACGCCGGCGGTCTGCAGTAACTGCACACGCTCATCGGGTGTGAAGCGGTGTACGCCCTCAACGCACTCTGCCATTTGCCCCACTTTAGTAGTCCACGTAAACTCGGGCTTGTCGCTCAGACCAATGGAGGGACCGCCCTTGCCGGGTACTGAGCTGCCGCCCAATCCAACGCCAAACTCGTGGATAGTGATGGTAGACCAGCGTAGACGTTTTTTCTTGGTCTTCTTAGGAGAGACCTCACACTCACTAAGGACAGACGAGGTGCGTTGACGTTTCCTGTGTCTTTCAGGTGAAGAGGGGGTAGAGGAGGAGGAGGTGGAGGAGGCAGTGGATTCATTCCAGGTAGTAAAGCTCTTGGACGTCTTTAAACGTGTCTGGAGATGCTGTTGAGTGTTAGAGACGTCTGTCCCTTTATAAGTGTCGACTGTATCCTTTGGTGTCATGATTGATCAATGGATGAGGGTCAAGTGAGATGTATGTATTGAATAAAGGAGACTTGTTGTCTACCTTCGACTTGCTTTGAGTTGTGCTACTGCTGGTTATTTCGATTATGGTTGTGGGGGTTTCCGTGTCACTGTATCTGAAGCAGTGGACGATGGGCGGACGCGGCCTGTCTGACACACATAGCTCTGCAATGTTCACGAGCCACTTCAGATGTAACCCATTCCCCTATTCACCGTCCGCTCCGCTCCGATTACATGACCAGTGCACCTCCATCCACCGCGCTTTCGTCCGATGACTCACTACAATACCCTTGTAGTGAATCATTGGGTGTTTATGAGAGATTGACGCCCATACTCGAATATTTTCCAGGTGGTATGTATAACTTTCTTTATATACCGTACCGGTTCAAGATCGTTGGTCGTTTCGCTTTTCAAGCCGGAACAGTACATGTATTTCCAGCTGCGAGTGTTGCAAGTCAGTTTTGTGTGCAGACTTTCTACTAACGAATGGCGCAGACGCTTTAAGAGGCACGCGAGGGACGACATATCGAGTACTCGCTATTGCTGCTGTTTGAGCATTTTGACGACGCGCTATCTGTCCATTGCAATGTTGTGGTGCCTCGAACTGTCTTTTCGAGGTCCGATCGTAAGGTCGGTGAATGATTCCACGCACGACACACATCCGCCTGTAAGCGGTTAATTACAAACAAGTGTGACATTGCACCGCTATCTCCCCGACACATACACCGAAACGTACACCGGGTCCCATTATACTATTATCGTTTGTTGTGGCTGCCGTACACAAGACCATCCGTAGCTGATATTTACACTCTCTACCGGACTAGAGCACCTGACCTACTCACTGTCGCGGATCAGTACCAGTAACAGGAGGGGATGTCGCGCATCGTTGTAGTTACCGACGCGAACGAAAGCAGAGAACGTTCTCATCCACATGATACCGTTGTCGATCGTAAATAAAGTATCCGATCTTGAACCGTAGCACAGTAAATAGAGTTCGGCTTCGGCGCAAGTAACGACAACAGTCTTCTCACGCTCCAAAAACGAGCAAACATTCTAAGCATGTACCTACGTGTATGTGTGTTATTGCATACAACTGATTGACGTTTCGTACATTCCTCTAAAGTTCGTGTCGCGTGTGACGTGTGCATATTTGATTAATGTAGCGAAAAATTGAAGTTCATGCTGCACCTAACCAGCTTCCATCGGAATGGGCTTCATGCAACCGATGAGTCTTTTAACCCGAGGTGCACGCCCATGAGAAGGCAATATACTCCATCCATCGATTAGATTAAACAACCTTGGACCTTATCCTCGGGGTACGAAGGGTTTGCCACGAGCAGCTTCAATAACATGCGACGTGTGCAAGCCTAACGTTTGTAAGGGGACGCAGAGGAAGATTACAAAGAAACAATCTGAGCGTCTGCGGTGAGCGGGCGGACAGTATGTTTCGAGCGGCCATTATGTTTAAAAATGGATACAGAAAATAGTACATGTATTTGTAGGCGGTTGGGTTACGAAGATGTTGTTCTTTTACGTGCACAGCACGTGATAAACCTTCCACGCCATTCCAAACAAAGCTTGTACGAGTGATCTTTACGCTATGATCGAGGTATACCGTAGTGACCATGTGCAAATGTAAATGAAACACGCTTGAAGCCGTTTCGTAGTGCAGCATAGAGAGCTGACAAGAGAAATATGTCTGGACTTATTCAACTGATTCACTACCAAGGCATCGATCGAGACTTGTCTGACCGGTCTGCCGTGATCAGTAGCCGTAATCATTGCTGCAGTAGGTGTCGTCCCTTCTGCTAGCACACGCGACGCTGCATGGCGGGGTAAACCACGCATCTGAAAGGTAGTGCAAGTACTTGAGGATCTGAAGGGCTGGGGCTGCGAAGTCCATGCTGATTCTATCCAGCATGTCTCGTCCTTTGAAGCGTTCTTACTATTGCCTTCTGCGGTGTGCACCTGATTGTAATAATTGCAAATGCTCGCACGAATACTTCGTAGCAGAGCTAGTCTTACATTGCACTTTGAGCGATCCATTGAATAACAATCGTAAGAGTCTCAACTACGTTAGCACTTTGAACATGGAAGCACAGACATACTGTACTAACTTCCCTTCTAACCGTGCTTCCGTTGTTGTGCCCTGTTTGCTCGACTTTCCTTTGTTACTAGTAGTGTTTCTTTCAGCTGGTAGTACGTATAGCATCTCGTTTCGTACAGATCTTACCTTGAATGAGTTAAGCCCGTCAAAACACGTTGGCCCAGGAAAGAATGAAGGCAAGTGATCCAGTAGGAAGGTGCTGCTTACAAACAATTATATATATACAGCTAGCTACACATAGTTGACTGGGATCATGCGTGGCCGTCGCATATAGACCGAGCACGGATGCCCCATCATCGCCTGATCTGCGCTCCTCTTGCGAAACACCTTCTTGGACGTCTCCTCTTCTTCCTCCTCGGACTCGTCCAAGTCACTGTCACTCCAGCTAACCTTTGACCGACGTCGAGAGCCCAAGATGATGTTGGCCTCACGTGCATGACGCGTGATGATGCCATCTGGAATACCAGCGGCTTGCAGCAGACGGACGCGCTGGTTGGGCGAAAAACGATGCACGCCCTCAACACACTCGGCCATCTCACCCACTCTCGTTGTCCACGTGAACTCGGGTGTATCTGCAAGACCAATAGACGGGCCGCCCTTATTGGAAACGGCGCTACCGCCCAACCCTACACCAAACTCATGAACAGTGATGGTTGACCACCTCACGCTCTTTGTAAGCTTCGTGGACGTCAACTGATTGACGTTCAAGCTACAGTCGTTGCTGCCATTCTCTTCTTCAATGCACGATGGTTCCAGCAAGTTGATTACGATATGGTCGAGATAAACAGGTTCTGTACCGTTAGATGCCTCAGCAATGCAGTCGTGTGTTGATGTGATGGTCCTTGTTGTCAAGTGCTGACAGTGGTTGTGGCTATCATCTCGTGGTTTACTACTCAAAGAACGCATTACTCGTTGATCTGGTGATGGAGATTATAAGTACGACTCACTTGAGCTGCTGCTGGTGGAATGACGGAATGAAGCAAGTGTCTTTGGTTTGCGTGGTAGTGGACCGGGCTCTCCCTCCACTGTGCGTCCACTACTCGTCCGCTACTTGAGGCTCGAGCTCGCACTAAGTACGCATGTTTTGTAGCTCTAGTTTGTTATACTGAAAAGGCGCAGGTCATTGAGCGATGTAAACCGGTACAGTGTGCCAACTGTCTGACGCCACAACAATCGGTACAAGTATCGTACGTACGTAGAAGGGTGGTACTGCAAAACATGGCACGAGTTGGATGATATACAGAGAAGAACAGCTGGTTGTAAACGACACAGATTACTAATACTTACGCTCCACTTAAATCTCTGCTCACTATGCGTTTATAAGCCCTGCTCTGCAGCTATCCATAGCACAATTGAACTCTTTATTCTTGGTCGTCGTGGGTCAAGCATTGGTCACGCACATTTTATAATATAAGCAAGCACGTTTTGATACGTCCGCTATGTATACGTGCCTGTAAGAATTAATCTGATTGGGATTGGCTAGTCAGACTGACACAAAACATGAACAGAAACGAGTCATGCACTGCTCACCCTGGTGTGTCGGCATTTAGCGACGTGGCTATAAGACTTCACGTAGCGTTGACGATAATGGTCAATATATATAAAACAATTATACGATGACAAACATGTCGGACGCGTTGTGCTCAGCAAAGTGACCTGCTAAACAGTCGTTAATTGTCTACCTGCTATCCTCGATCGTGACTGTTCGTCAGCACCTGTCAGATTTAATGTTTTCACAAAATGGCTACCCCTCATGAGCAGGCTACCGTCACTAAACGCAAATGCGACCACGACGACCAAGATGAAAAGCTCATTTGTGCTATCGATATCTGCAGACTAGGAAATCAAATGCATAGTAAGTAGAGATCTGAGTGGCGTGTAAGTAGTAAAAAAGTAATCTACGTCGTTTATCCCGGCTGTTTTTCTTTGATAACCGTTCAATTTGTGCTATGTTGAGTACCATCCATAACGTACGTACCATATTTGTACCAATTCCAGCCAATCCCAATTCAATTAATTTTCACAGGCACGTCTACCGAGCGAACGAGGACATTACATCAAAACGTAATGTCCTTTGTTATAAAATGTGCACAACCAGTGCTTGAAGTCAGAGTGATGGTCACCGCACTCTCGTATGAAGTCAAGAAAACGAAAAAGCTGCAAACATGGAGGAAGATTGTTTCCCTGAAACGCAGCACGAGAAGCTGCCGATACACAAATACCAGCTGTCCAAGGAGATTATGTTTATGGTCTCAGCTTTCGTCGTGTTATTCGCATCTGGTGGCCTCATTTTAGAGTAATTTTGCAGCTTCTGATACCTGTTAAAGGGACTAATTCTTTATCGTATGTGTCTGTAGATTTGGTCCAGTGTATTCAAAGCTCGTGAAAGAACAGCAGTGGGTCGAATTGTGTATTTCAGAGGAACAAAAGAAGAAAGGGGGCGTTTTCTGTGCGGAGCAGGAGATTCAGCTGCAGTTTGTCTTCTCGACGGGATTTCTGTGTCTCAGTGCGGCCAACGCCTTCTTTGGGGTATTTCTTGATGGCGTGGGGCCTCGTGCTACGATTGTGCTGGGACTTTTACTGTCGGCGTGTGGGAATTTTGCACTAGCATTGGGTGATTCTCATTCGGAGACTGCCATGGGGATTGTTGCAGGGTATTCACTAATAGGAGCGGGTGGAATGGGCGCATATCTGGCGGCGTTCCAGATCCTACAGCTCTATGAAGTCCAAGGAGTGGTTTGCAGCACGCTCTCTAGCTTGTTCAATTGCTCGGGGTATGTGTACATGCTGCTGGGGGCCGATGGAATCACTAGGTCAGCATTCTTTCGCATCTATGGGTAAGAGCTTAAGTAGTGCTGTTGTTACAATATGTGTCGGTGACGGATTAACGTTGTTGGTGGTTTTGTTGTTGTGTTTGTTTGTGTAGGATTATGACGAGTGTGTGTGCGCTTATCTGCTATTTGCTGTTCCCGACGAGAAATATTACGAGACCGCACGACTTTCTTGCTATCCCACTTTGTCGCATTGAAATGCCCCGAATCAATGTAAGGCGTCTCGCGTACATTTCGTCGGACATTATGTGCTAAATGCTTTCGTGGGCTGATTGTCCAGGCTCCGACTGGTCTGGTAGACAGCTTGCGAGAAGAGCTCAAACGGCAAGACTTGTGGTTCTTTGCACTCTTGTTCGGCTGGGTATCGCTCATTTTCGCGTTCGCTGGCGGTGCAATTCCAAGTTTGCTCACCAATCTCGCTGGTGATGATACTGGTGCCGCGTCACTCTATACGAATATTCTTTATCCCATTCTTGCGAATGGCACATTTTGTTACTCCGCTGTAGTCGGCTACGTTATCTACCACCATGGATTCAAAGTGATCTTCGGGGCCTGCATTGCTCTCGTCCAGCTTTTTATCGCTCTCCTTATGGTACCTGTGCTTCAAGTGCAACTTGTTATGTTTGTCGTCTACGCGATGGCCCAGACCTGTCTGTATGCGCTGCAATTTGCCTATATCAGTAAGTTTTGGTCAAATGACGGAATACTGGTGTTGTTGGCTTGTTTCTCACATCTTCGGTGAATATCTGTAGTCATGTGTTTTCCTGCTGAGCTCTACGGTACACTCCAAGCGTTTCTTGCCGCGGTCTCGTTTTCTTTTGGATTTGTTGAATTATGTCATCAACCCGTGGACTCAGCTATATTTTGACGGTGACTACACTGTAGTACTCGCACTACTGGGGCTTCCGACAGTTGTATTTTATGCTTTTATGTACGTGGTTCAAGGGTGCGAGCATCACTTCATGCTACACAAAGCAAGAGCAGAGTTCGCCGAAAGGAACCACTCTCTTTCTGAAGAGAATGCCAGGCTTTTGTAGACAAGACAAACTCTCAGTTGAATTTGTGGCTCTTGAGTACAAAACATATTTCATACATGCCGGCGGTCTGGTCCTCATCAAGGTCTTACCGGGCTCATAGGGCTGCAATTTTGAATACGCTGAAGCCATAATCCATACCTTTGCTCTTGAGAGTCCCGACTTGCATTTGCGTTTAGTGACGGTAGCCTGCTCATGAGGGGTAGCCATTTTGTGAAAACATTAAATCTGACAGGTGCTGACGAACAGTCACGATCGAGGATAGCAGGTAGACAATTAACGACTGTTTAGCAGGTCACTTTGCTGAGCACAACGCGTCCGACATGTTTGTCATCGTATGATTGTTTTATATATATTGACCATTATCGTCAACGCTACGTGAAGTCTTATAGCCACGTCGCTAAATGCCGACACACCAGGGTGAGCAGTGCATGACTCGTTTCTGTTCATGTTTTGTGTCAGTCTGACTAGCCAATCCCAATCAGATTAATTCTTACAGGCACGTATACATAGCGGACGTATCAAAACGTGCTTGCTTATATTATAAAATGTGCGTGACCAATGCTTGACCCACGACGACCAAGAATAAAGAGTTCAATTGTGCTATGGATAGCTGCAGAGCAGGGCTTATAAACGCATAGTGAGCAGAGATTTAAGTGGAGCGTAAGTATTAGTAATCTGTGTCGTTTACAACCAGCTGTTCTTCTCTGTATATCATCCAACTCGTGCCATGTTTTGCAGTACCACCCTTCTACGTACGTACGATACTTGTACCGATTGTTGTGGCGTCAGACAGTTGGCACACTGTACCGGTTTACATCGCTCAATGACCTGCGCCTTTTCAGTATAACAAACTAGAGCTACAAAACATGCGTACTTAGTGCGAGCTCGAGCCTCAAGTAGCGGACGAGTAGTGGACGCACAGTGGAGGGAGAGCCCGGTCCACTACCACGCAAACCAAAGACACTTGCTTCATTCCGTCATTCCACCAGCAGCAGCTCAAGTGAGTCGTACTTATAATCTCCATCACCAGATCAACGAGTAATGCGTTCTTTGAGTAGTAAACCACGAGCTGATAGCCACAACCACTGTCAGCACTTGACAACAAGGACCATCACATCAACACACGACTGCATTGCTGAGGCATCTAACGGTACAGAACCTGTTTATCTCGACCATATCGTAATCAACTTGCTGGAACCATCGTGCATTGAAGAAGAGAATGGCAGCAACGACTGTAGCTTGAACGTCAATCAGTTGACGTCCACGAAGCTTACAAAGAGCGTGAGGTGGTCAACCATCACTGTTCATGAGTTTGGTGTAGGGTTGGGCGGTAGCGCCGTTTCCAATAAGGGCGGCCCGTCTATTGGTCTTGCAGATACACCCGAGTTCACGTGGACAACGAGAGTGGGTGAGATGGCCGAGTGTGTTGAGGGCGTGCATCGTTTTTCGCCCAACCAGCGCGTCCGTCTGCTGCAAGCCGCTGGTATTCCAGATGGCATCATCACGCGTCATGCACGTGAGGCCAACATCATCTTGGGCTCTCGACGTCGGTCAAAGGTTAGCTGGAGTGACAGTGACTTGGACGAGTCCGAGGAGGAAGAAGAGGAGACGTCCAAGAAGGTGTTTCGCAAGAGGAGCGCAGATCAGGCGATGATGGGGCATCCGTGCTCGGTCTATATGCGACGGCCACGCATGATCCCAGTCAACTATGTGTAGCTAGCTGTATATATATAATTGTTTGTAAGCAGCACCTTCCTACTGGATCACTTGCCTTCATTCTTTCCTGGGCCAACGTGTTTTGACGGGCTTAACTCATTCAAGGTAAGATCTGTACGAAACGAGATGCTATACGTACTACCAGCTGAAAGAAACACTACTAGTAAAAGAAAAGAAATTGAGCAAACAGGGTACAACAACGGAAACACGGCTAGCAGGGAAGTTAGTGCAGTATGTCTGTGCTTCCATGTTCAAAGTGCATACTCTTACAATTTCTACTCAACTGATCAATGAAACTGCTGACTATATTCCTTCTCTTGCCAAGCAAATGGATGTCGTGCGACTGAAAGGCGTTTGCAACAACCATCAAGTACTGTACTTGCATAAGACCGTTGCCAATTGAATTCAATTATACATTGACACAATGTATACGTCGATCACTGTCCATTTTGTGCGGCAGACGCCTACATGTGGACCACATGTAAGGTTATGGCGCGCTTTCCAATCATACTGGCGCCACTGCGGACACGGGAAGCTAAATTTGTCACAGCGCCGTCTCTTTTTTATTATTTTCTCGAGAGAATGCGAAGCCAACATCAACATTATTCAGGTGCAACGCGTCTTCTTTGTTCGCATTCCACCTCCTCCCGTCCGCTTACAAACGCTAGGATTGCACACGTCGCATGATAGGTGAATGTACCTTTGCGTAACGCTGTAAAAAATTTGAACCACAGCTCGAGATGCTTGACGCTTGACACTCTGCAGGATCAAAGACCGACGCCGGCTGACCTTATCGCAAGAAAAGAATGAGCGCTGTGGCAAAAACAATTCTTGATGAGACTGCCATTCATGGGTAGACAATAATGGCTCTTGGATCTATAATGACATTCAACAATTACAAGCAGTACTCTGTGCATGAAACATATCTTGCTTCTTTCATTTCAAAGGATATTAATCCTATACCTTTTACTATCTTACAAAAGCTGTAGCTGCATGAGCACGGGATGTGATCGAATGTAATAACACTTTGGTACCGTTGCTATCGTTGCAGCTACGCACTATACAAACTAGTCGACGACTTGCATAAGAATATAAAAAAGTATCTGCATTTACAGCCAACTTCTACGTCAAATGAAACTCACCCGAATGATTTTTATCATCATACACATGATAACCTCATCATTCCAGTGAGCCTTGGTGAGTTAGTGTCAGCTCTTTCCATCCATCATCACCATTTAACTCACTTCAACATGCAACTGCAACCCTACTATCGGACTAAACATTTCCTCAACGTAATCGACCAACCGGGTACATTGTACCACTCCTTCTAACCCCTTTCGATACTACATGGAGATCCCTGGAATCGCGATGACTAAGATTGTAAAGCTTGGTACATTCGATCTAGCGCTTTGTATTGGTTATCTATCCTCTGTACTGTTCGTGGGTCTTTTCTTTACCTATCGAGAGCAACGGGAGCGTGAAAAGCTTCGTCTAATACGTCTACACCATCAATCTTTAATGGATGCTGGAGCACGAGATCTAAAGCGTTTTGATGCCTCTCACCGCCTTAAACCCGTCAAAAAGGATCACGTACTGGAGGAATATTATCTTGGTGGACGTCGTATGCCGTGGTATGCACTAGCAGTGGCTGATGTGAGCTCGTACATTGATATCTCGGGTACAATGATCAACACGGCACTGGTGTATGCATTGGGTGTCAAGGGCATGTTCATTGAGATCCGCGGCGGTTTGTGTCTCTTTCTAGCTTTTCAATTGGCTTATACAGGCAAGCTGTCACGTCGCTGCCCAGTCAAGACGAGAGGGGAGTGGTGAGGTTTTGGAGACGGACAGGTTATCCAAATGAGTAGAATCTCTTTAACGCTTTGGTTTGGCATTGGCTGTATTTGTAGGATAAAATTCCGGTTTGGTACTTGTCTTGATGCTGTCTTGCTTCGGACAATGATTGCCATCACGTCCTTGACCAGTGGCATTCTTGCGACCACGTACTTTGCTGTGGGTGGAGGTGAGAAACCTTTTCACAATCCATCTTAAATTAGGAGCTCTTTGTTCGCTCACGCAGCTTGTATATTGTAAATGACAGGACGATTTTTTACGGAGTTTGTAAAACTACCAGAGTGGGGCGGACTACCATCTGAGTTTTGGGCAGCGGCTATATTGATGGCCGTGGCGATGTTGTATACCGTCGCGTCCGGATTCTCAGCTGTTGTGTACACTGATGTGTACCAGAGTGTCTTCATCTTCATATCCTTCATCGTGGTCGCGGTAATGGGTTTTATGGTACACCTTCCGGATCAGTTCTCGGTATTCCTCCCGGAAAGGACGGGCCGTGCCGAGCCCGGGTACATTGAGGTAAACACTACACGAAGCGCGTGGGTGTCGGCTGTGCCGCCAAGCTCCTTGGGATTACCCGACGAGGCCTCTTATTCCATGTACAACTCTTTCGGCCTCATCTTGGTCTCATATTCATTTATACAAGTGATGCGATCGGCGTCTGGACCTGGTGGTTCTGGACTTCAAACCGTGCTTGCAACCAAGTCGGAGCGCGATGTGCGATCGCAGACATTTTTGGCTATGATGTTCTTGAGTTTGCGCTGGGCCTTCAGTGGTGGCATTGCCGTGATGGGTATCCACTATTCAATGCAACATACTGGGATGGTGATTGACCCCGAGCGTGTGGTGCCGATTGTGATTGACAAGGTATTGCCCGTCGGAGCAAAAGGGTTTGTATTGGCATCTCTATTAGCTGCAGCCCTTACTACGTTCGACACAACCATCAACAGTTCGTCGTCATACTGGACCGTAGATATCTATCAGGCCCTCATCAACCCGGAAGCGTCTGAACGTCAATTATTGTGGCAAGCACGTCTATCATCGGTTTTCGTGATGCTGGCTGGTCTCTTCCTTTCGCTGGACGTAAGCACTATCAACCGTATTTGGGGCTTTATGACTATCGCTATGGCGGGTGGCCTCATTTGGCCCTTCTTCTTTTCATGGTATTGGGCCCGCTTTAATGCGTCCAGCTGTCTACTAGGGGTCGCTACGGGTTATGTCACTGCGATTGCTGTGTTCATGTACGTTTGCATTGGTGTCAACTTTTTGTTTGATAGTAGTGGTGACTCATCGCTCTTGTTGTCGCAGCTTCGCGCCTTTGCTTGAAGAATTCCAGGCTTTTGTTATCACCTCGTCGGTTTCTGGGATCACCTCCGTTGTTGTCTGCTTATTGACGCGACCGAAATCTGATAAGCTACTTCGGCGGTTCTATCGTTATGCTCGTCCACCGGGTGCCTGGCACAAGATCAAGGACATTTGCTTCACGCAGGAGGTGATTTCTGAAATTGATGCAGAAAATTATGCCGATTTGGCATGCACGGGGCTGATTGTCATTGCTCAATTGGCACTCTATGTTTTGGCAGTGAGTGTTGTGGCGAAGGCGTGGACCCAGAGCCTTGTCCTCACGATGGTTTTGGTCGTTATGCTGCCGCTCATTTATTTGAAGTGGTACGTGAAGCTCAAAGATCGCCCTGTTGGTTTTCACAAGGAGGAATCGAACGTGTCACTATTGGACTCTGCTTGAGACGCAGACAATTGTCCATGTCGATACACTAGGTGTGTATTTGAATGAGATATCTAGCTCTTCATTCGATAGCCATAGCATTCATTTACTTTACAATTGACCACAATATGATAATCGTGTGGTTCCTACCAAATACTGCATGTTTCATTCGAGTCGACACTATAAAGGTGGCAGATAGAATCATGCGTGACATGCGGTGCTGTCATCCTACTGATATTGGAAAAAGTATTTACGCGACAACGACTCAAGTGTATCTCTCTAGCTTGGCAGAGAGTGAAAATATCAGCTACGGTCAGGTCGGCCTCGTGTACAACCAACTAGTCTCACAACTCACTTCAACTAGAGTAATATGACGATGTGACGTCCACCCCTTCAAAGGTGAGTGTCGTGCGTGAAGACATTTTACCGCACCGATCTTACGACTAGACCCCAAAAAGCGACAGTTCGGAAAGGAGGGGGGTACTACAATATACTGAGCGAGCCAGTCAATTCAATGGATAGATAGCATGCAGTCAAAAGGCTGAGCAAGCACTCGCCATGTCGTTTCATGGCTGCCATTCGTTATGAGAAAGTCTGCACCCAGAACTGATTTGCAAAACTTTTAGATGTACTGTTCCGGCTTGAAAGCGAAACGACCAGTGAACTTGAACGAACCGGTACCGTGTCTCTAATGTAGGTTTATAATGCATGCTACTTGTCAATGGTGGCGAGATAATCAAGTATGGACATCATTCTCTTATGGTTCATTTACAATAGCAAAAACAACCTCGAGCCCTTGAGACGTCCGCTCGTCCGCTAGACATGTGGAGCTGGTCGGTGGCGCCAGAGCGGACGGTGAGTAGGGGACTGGTCCACTCATGGTGAACATTGCAGAGCTATGTGTGTCAGACAGGCCGCGTCCGCCCATCGTCCACTACTCCAAAGCCAGAAAACCAAACCATAATCAAAATAACCAGCAGTAGCACAACTCAAAGCAAGTCGAAGGTAGACAACAAGTCTCCTTTATTCAATACATACACCTCATTTGACCCTCATCCATTGATCAATCATGACACCAAAGGATACAGTCGACACTTATAAAGGGACAGACGTCCTTAACACTCAACAGCATCTCCAGACACGTTTAAAGACGTCCAAGAGCTTTACTACCTGGAATGAATCCACTGCCTCCTCCACCTCCTCCTCCTCTACCCCCTCTTCACCTGAAAGACACAGGAAACGTCAACGCACCTCGTCAGTCCTCAGTGAGTGTGAGGTCTCTCCTAAGAAGACCAAGAAAAAACGTCTACGCTGGTCTACCATCACTATCCACGAGTTTGGCGTTGGATTGGGCGGCAGCTCAGTACCCGGCAAGGGCGGTCCCTCCATTGGTCTGAGCGACAAGCCCGAGTTTACGTGGACTACTAAAGTAGGGCAAATGGCAGAGTGCGTTGAGGGCGTACACCGCTTCACACCCGATGAGCGTGTGCAGTTACTGCAAACCGCCGGCGTGAGCGAGGGCATGATCCTGCGGTTCTCGCGGGAAACGAACATCATCAATCGCTCGCGTCGGAGGACACTCATCGAGGACTTTGCCGAGCGGAAAGAAGCCAAGAAGCATCAGCGACACCTGCAGATGAAATCGTCTCGCTCCGTACTCGAGCGTCCGTGTTCCTCTTCTTTCCTCAATCGCCCACATATGATCCCGGTCAACTACGTGTAAAAGTGACCAATGCAACTAAACAAGCGACCACCAACGAGAATGGATGGGCATTGGATCGCTTTGTATATACAGCGCGTCCTTTGGAAAAGCGTTGGCATAACACTGGCGTTGATCGTAGAGAGGAAGGGCTAAGTTATTTGATCTATATTACCAGTATACATAGGCATGGCTATCAATACAAACTACATGTATGAACTAGCATCTTTCACCGTCATTAGTCCAGTAAATTGATCACCATTGTCATTGCATGCAAAGTATCCGGCTTAGTCTTTACCAGTGTATCACGCACTAGGCAGCAGCTGTTGGCTTCGGGGCTGTTAGTGTGAAGAATGTCAAGGACTTGTTTACTGAGTACATCGAGTATCCTCGTCACAGGCAAAGTCTCACGAATGTTCCTCGAACTTCAGTCTTTTTTGTGCGAGTAATCCAACTCTTCGTTTTCGCATGTCGCTTGAAACCGATTCTTTTTGGCGCCTTCAGCGATCTTCAACCGAGAGTAGGACATAAACGGTCCGGACACGGGGAGCCCAAAAGATGTTGCTTCCATCATTATGACTACAGCGGGTCCACTTTTAAAGAACATTACTTATCTTCTGGATGTTGGTATGGAGAGCAATCGTCTGTGATCATTTGCACAATAATTTATATCATACGAGTTGACCGACACATTGTCATGAATGCCAGCTGGGGAAATGGAAAATGGGGACAAATAGACCTCATGGAATAAGTTTTAGAGATAAGTATACAGTACTCCTACGTCTGGGCAAGAAAAAAGACAAGTCAACTATGGCTTGTTCGCAGCGTTTATGTCTGTCTAGAACATGCGATTACGCGATACGTCCATTGGCGTCTGGACGAAAAAAGAACAAGTGGAAAGTGACTCACTTGGCGTTTGTAAGCGGACACATGAGATCCGCCGAAACCTCCCGCTTGATGAGGTGGTGGCGAGTCAGCGGCACGTGAAGAGTGAGACATTGAAACGACGCATGCAGTCGAGTCGCAAGCGGCGGCTGGCATCTTGTGGGTAATTCCTCCATTTTGCTCTATCCCGTCATGGCGATTACGATGAGCGTACGCTGGTCCACTCCTTTCAGTGTACGCGGCGGACCGATGGCGGATCTAGTGGCAGCAAGACGAGAGGGCACAGGCTGGTGGCTGTTGCTACTGTGCTGCTCGATAATGTCGAGAAAGATGCGTGTGTTGGCTCAATCTGCTGGAACGTATTGTGATGTAGTTTGATGTTAGAGAAGACGGGGTAGAGCGAGAATCGTATCGATTGCATGGAGATGTTAAGCATCGCCCAGTCGCGATGGCTTGGTCTGCTGGGGGAGAAGCTTCATGTACTTGATTGAAAGACACCGCAGTGCAAAAGACAGGAGATAGGTCAAGCTCTCGGAGACGTTTAGCTGGACAGGACAATGTGAATGAAGAATGACATGTCCATGGACATCTTGCTACAAAAAAGTACATTGTTAATGATGCCCTTTTGCTTCCGTCCAAGACAAAATCATGTCGTCATTGTAGGCTGTAAATAGTCATTCATTGTCCTCCATCTTCCACTCGCTTTAATCTATTGGGCATGCTGCAGCATCTACTAGTATAGAGACCCATACGTTGTAACAATCGTCGTCTTCTTCCTCGTCTTGTGCAGTTCCCCATCATAGTCTGCCGTCCTTTCACGCAGCCACCTGACGTTGCAGCGAGACACACAACCTCCGGGACATGGCAATGTCCGAGCTCTCCATCATCATGCGATAGATGCGCTCCTCACTGCAGCCAGCCTTGGTCAGCATCGTAATACGTTCCAGTGGTTTGAGCCAGCGCACTCTCCTGGCTCGATGTACCCGATGTTTGCGTCGTTCCATGCCGTCCACACTCTCCTTTTGCTCAGCGTCGTCAGCATTAACGTCCGGCCGTGTAAGCGCCAAGTCTCCACAGCGTCGCACCTTTTCCAGCGTCGTACTCCACACATGCTGTGGTTTACGTGCAAGGCCAATGGATGGACCTCCTCGACGAGGCACGGCACTACCGCCCAACGTCACGCCAAACTCGTACACAGTCACAGTGGACCATCGTACACTCTTGGGTTTTGTATACTTCATCTGTGTGGGAATGAGGCGTCTGGGCAGCTAAACTTTTCGACCCAAGAAACGAAAAATGACTCGCTTTCAATTCCGTCTCTTTGTCGTTCTCTTTCTTGTTCCTTTTTAGGGCGACTTGTAAACCACCACATCATTTTCAAGACCTCGACACTAAACGGGTGCCACTCGACAGCCGCATATTTGGCGTACAAAACTACGTCCCAGGTCGCAACCGATTGGACAAAACGACGGAGGATTCAATCAAACGGTCTAAAAAGGTCCCTTGGCTTTTTTTCATCTACTGTAGAACACATCATTTTACGCATGGGATATTAAAGAACCAATATAGTAGTACTCTACCTCATACCACCCACTACTATTTTACACACTACTACTACTACTATTTCCACGTAACCGCATACTTTAAGACCCATCATGTCAACCCTCCCGTAAAACCCTCTTTGATACCCACTGATCCAAATCAGATATTTCGTTCGTATCCCCCAGTCAGTCATTCTCACTTATTCCTCCAACGTCTCACATGTCTCCTCTCTTCCATCACTTTTTCCTCTTTTTTCTCCTTCAATGCTGCAATATTCGTACCGTTAAGAGTAATAATGACACTAGTAATAATGATGACAATACCCTCTCTGAAGATGATGCAAATTCCTTGGTCGGGATTGCCGAAATGCTCAATTCTTCCAAGAATATCCAAGCAGGACCTGCTGTGCTTGCGATCTTAGCAATACTAGGGGGTAGTATCATTTGTATTGCAGGATATCGTCTCTTTCGTCCGACTGTCTTTTGCTGTGCATTTCTAATGGGGGGGCTCTTTGTTGCAAGCATTATTGAAACAGCTTTTGCCAGTATACAGTGGATGCCTCTTGCTTCATACATTGGGTTTGCAATTGGTGGCACTATTGCTGGAATTGTCGTGCTTTGGCTCTATAATGCCAGTATTTTTCTTGCTGGTGCCGTGGGTGGTATCATACTTGCCTCTACATTAAACGTACTGGTGGGGGCCAAGATTTATCCAGGAAATCCAGACGTGATTCTCGTGATTTTGGCTCTTGTATTGGGGATTTTGGGTGGTGTCTTGGCCCTGAAACTGGAAAAACCCGTCCTGATTACAACGACGGCAATATTTGGAGCCGCTCTGTGTGTGTGGGGAGTCGGATACTTTGCTGGCAATTATACAAACGGTGCCGGGTTGACCAAATTTCGAGTCGAGACAAACAAGGGTGAGTGGGAATACCGTATTCCCACCGCACGATGGGGATATTTGATTGGAATGCTGGTGCTCTTTATACTTGGAATGAGTGTCCAGATTTCAAAGACAGCACGTGGGTATGACCATAGTGGACAGACAGAGAGCCATAGCATGACCAAGACATCAGCTCATGCAGCTGTCTAAACCATCGACGTAGAGAAGTTGATGGGGCATGCAATTTGGGCATGTATCTTGATGATAAATACATACATCGGGCTCATGTGAAAAGCATTTGGTGTTGTTTGTATCGCTTCTTGTACTACAATGCACTTGGGTGAACGAGCGTTAGAATGTGAGTCGAGGTATATCGGTGCTGCGTGATGGAAAACACGTGAGGAAGAAAGTGTTGTGAAAGAGAGCGTGTGTGTCGTTTAAGAATGAGCTGCAGGTCTTGCAGACAAATTAGGGACTTTTCTCCTGAGTTCCTTCCTGCAAGCAGCCAAGTATCTAGCTCGAACTCATGAGCGATTGCTCCACCTTTAGCATCATTGTATGCAACCTGAACAAGACGAATAGAATGAGCCATATGAAAAGAGCGTATGATCTACACGATGTATAACGCGGTCATTTGCTAAAGCATGAACAACCACGGATCCTTGACACTTAGATGCATCAGCATTTGTAAACAAGACATGGAAATTGCAGGAAATACTTCAACGTAATGCATCCATCAACTTAGGTAGAAGAGGCTTGACCTTCGGCTGGTGCAGCTACGGCTTGCCTATTGTTCTGAATGGCTTCCATAACTTCGAAGAAACCATCCAACCCAAGCATCGATGCAAATTTGCTGTCAAGATCACGGAGCTCAATATGAGTGGATTCCCACTCGGCCAGTTGGAGAGAGCCTACATTTGCAGTCGATTCATGAACAGGTTGGTCGTCCACGCAGAGCTTTGGGAGAATGTGCTTCATTGCAGCAGCATAAATGTTACGATTTGTCAGGCTGTGACGATCAATCGCACTGTTCCACAGCAGAATGCTAGCCAGTATATGGCAGAAAGCCAACGCCGGCATCACCTTTTTCGTCGACTGGTCTTCAAGCCATGCCCAGTCCGCAAAAAATACGTATGGAAGCTTCTTTAGCGTATGATCCCAAAGGTGTGCCAGCAAGGTGCCGCCGAAATCATTCAAGCGAAAAGTACCAGACTGAGGACATTCGCTTGTCACCGTAAGCACGTTAAACATGAGAGCAAACAAGTACACTGATGGAGATGCGTTTACATTGCACGTCATCGCTGGTAATAGTGATCCATAATGAAGTTGTCGTGCCAGAATCCACATCACGGATTCTTGACGGCGACTCCACCCGTAAATGACATCGTCCTTGTCTCCATTGCTCGATAACCCTGCAGGATTAACTGACAGCTCTAGTTTCTCCAAAGCCAAGTCATCAATTGCACCAGTTCGTGTCGTTAAGTGTTCAACCAGTGCTTTCGCCCACGATAGATGAATTTCATTCACCATGTTGTCAAATTTGACACGCATGCTCTCAGCATTCAATGTGCCAGTTATACCGGACACCTTAGGGCCATTCTCTGCTGGCACAATGTGTCCATTTACGATCACAGCTTGGAGGATACACTGCGTCAAGTACACCGGAAAGCCTTGCAAAAAGACATATTGGCGCTGAAAACGGAGAACCCGAGGCATCTCTACACACTCGTTGGCCTTCAGCTGCGTAAAACAAGGAGTCCACTGGACATCGAGATCGGGAGCGCCGCCTAAGCAAAAGTACAGCCAACAGCCCGTTTGTAGGTCTTCTTCTTTCTGTACGACATCGGCCGAGTCTACATGGCCAGCACTTGTAGAATTTCCTGGTGCCACCATAACAACATCAGCAGGCTGCAACACTTCTTCATCCAAAACTACCTCCGGTGGGGCCCTGGCCGTCTCTCCTTCATCTTATCGTCATCGTCATCATCTTCATCATCGTCCTCTTCAATGACAATAACTTCGGGGGTCTTGCGAGGCTGTCGGTTGCGGCGACAAGGTACAATCGTCACCTCTTCTTGACTGTGCTCAGTCGCATCTTTTAGGGTGTCCCCGTGAACACCTTGCAAGGAATGTATTGTTTGCGAAGGCAGATTGGTTGTAGCATTCCCTCCATTGTTACTTCGGGGACCAGATCGACCGTCATGCTGACACTGACTACCATTTTGAGCAGGTGCAGCCGGTTTAGAATCGCTGTATAAAGAATGTTTTCCAGAAGCACGCCACGATAGACGGTGGGGTGGACTCCGACTACGGCTTCGAGCTTCCCTCCGCGGTGGCCACGAAATACGGCCCGGTGGTGGCGGCTCGTGCGGCGGTGTCAAAGTTTTGCGAGTAGCAGGAGCTGGTTCATAGCGTGAAGGTCTCTCTTGGCAGTTCCGAAAAGTTCCTGGCGTTGGTGGCTGCGGCCGCGTTGAAAATGATGGGAAATCGTGCCGGTAGCGCCAACCAGGTTCTCTACCATAGTCTTGAGGTGGTCTCGCTTGGACACGATCAGCTCTTACTTGCTGTACGTCATCTTCCAGTCGCTTGATCCTCTGATCCAATACGCAGTACTTGTTCTGCATGTCAAACATAACGTCTTTCAATCGACTAATTCCAGTAGCATGTAGACGTGAATCATGACTCAATGCGTCAAACAACTGCGTACTAAGCTCTTGTAGTTTCGCTTCAGTCTGCTGCTCCTGTTGGTTTCCACGAGCTTCTGTCGTCTTTGCCAATGATGTAAAATCCACAGCCACTGCTTGAAAATCGCGGTTGATACGTCGAAGTACGTCATGAATCCCATCAAGATCTGCTTGACGCACGAAATCCTGCGCGAGATGAGATGACGACATTTTCTGTGGCAAAGGAGCTGGTGTGGACATCATGGCGCGTGTAATCCCATCTTCCACTGTCTTTACAACTTCAAGTACTTTCGTATCCGTCTCAACCCCTCGTTTCTCCACATCCACGACTCGTTCCTTCAAAATCTCAACATTCATTCGCATCCGTTCGTGTTCATCTTGATGTTCTTTCTTAATCACTTCAACTTGTTGCTGTAATAGATACAGTTCCTGTCGTGTGACCAGTTGTCGGACTTGTTGACTCACGTGGGCCGTATCGTCTCGTAACGTTTGTTCCATGTGTTTTGTTTCGTTCGTTTGTTTCGTCACGACTTTCAGCAACAGTTTTTCCATCTGTTTTAGTTGCTTTTTCTGTGTGCGACACATGGCTGCGTACTCGTCTCGGATTGTTCGTAGTTCGTTCTCGTATTGTTCTTGGAATTCCGTCAATTGCGTCAATAAGAGCTCTTCCGTAATACTACTGTGCATATGTCGCTCGAGCTTCTTGTCCATTGTAATCAACATTTTGTTTAGTGTCTTGATCTCGGTCTTATATCGCGCTTCAGCTGCTTGAAATTGGCGCTTTGTCTCTTCTAATGCGTCGTCTTTAGCTTTATTAACCACTACCATGTATTCCTGTACTCGCTGCGCCTGTAAAGCACAACGTTCTGCCTTTTCCACTGCCGATTCCACTGTATGTTCAACTTTTTCCAATTCCATTCGGACGCGTGAGCCTTCACGTCGCACTTCGCGAAGGTCGATTGTCAAGACGCGATGCCAATTTTCAAGTGTTTGAAGCTGCGTATCGACAGAAGAAGAACACGAGAGCGACGATGGAGTACAAGATGAAGATGTTGACAGGGCTTTGGACTGACTTTTGCGCTTGCGTTTACGCTTATTGCTCGACTCGGGAGCTCGTGGAAGCGGCGGCATCGATGCCATCGTGAGACTGATGGGAATGAGCGGAATGTGTGGTGGACGTGAAATATGCGACGTGCGACGTGTGTCCAAGTTGAAGCTTCAGACGGAACGGATGGCTGCAGATCATGTAGCATAGAATATTTTTCCTTAGCTTGCGTGGGTTTGTTCGCGCAATGGCATGTGGACCTGACAATGACAAACAACTAGCTCTACCCAGCACCTTCTCCAATCCAGAAGAGTCGATGTTGTTCCAAAAGCTGCCGGTCGAATTGCTCTGCAGTGGGCTTTCCATTCTCTTCTACGAAGACGGGCACAGTCTACAATGTTAATACGCCGCCACTTCGTCCCATAAGTCGCCGACCATCCTCGCGCCAGCTGCTCTGGGCACGCAGGACGCCCGGTCGTCTGTACATATGTACTCGTACCTCCGTAATTACTGAGGCGGCCCGATAGGCTAGATGAGCGAGATGAATAGTGGGGGCTTTCGCAAAGCTGTGGGACAGGTTGATCAGTGACAGGGACATCTTTTGGTGTGAACATTCGCCAATTTTTGTCGCCCGAGCGTGCTGGGCTAGAGTTGCCTGATTTGGTGTTGTGAGGATGATAGGGATGTGCCTGATGACCTTCCATTTGACTCGGCATCTCCCAATCATAACTACGCTTGTAAGGCATTGGCGTGGCGGAAGTCGGTGTGTGTATGCTCATCCAACGATCCTCACTGCTTTTTCCCATTACCTCCAACGGACGCGAGGATGATTGTGCCATACTTGGCACCAGGTATTTCGTTCGTTCCTTAAGCCGATGAATATCCCTCAGAATTCCGCACATGCCTGATCGGATCTCGTCCACTTCCTCGTAAATGCGTTCTCTTTCGTTATCCTGCAGTTCACGAGTGTGTGCAATTTGCCGCGACAAATGATCCTCAAGATGCCGTCGAAAGGATTGATTTTCTTGCACGAGAGTCTGCTTCAACTGAAACATATCAGCATGGAGGTTGTCCAGCTGGAGTAATGTCAGATTTATTCGATCCGTTGTCTCCTGCTGCGAACGTCCTCCTGAACTCTTCACCGACCGATCATCAATGACGGCTGCCATGTGCTCGCACACCTCCTCTTTTAGCGATTCAACCTGTTGTAAGTTCTCTCTCATGCTCGCTGCTGTGCTCAAACCATCGTCGTTCTTCTCCTCCTCAAGGTTTGGTTCTTGACATGCACTCTCTGCAAGATCTCCAAGCCGAGCAATCAATCTATTCAGTTCCTGAGCACATTCTTGTTTAAACTTGTGCAATTGTTGCACCTTCAATCCGCGACTTTTCTTGAGCATATCTACTTGTGCCGAGCAATTGGCAATCTGCACCAACAGTTCCTGCACGAGTGCTGCATTCTTTACCGATCGTTCCTGATAGTCTTTATGCAGTAATGCAAGCTCATTGGTCACTGCCTTCAATGCTCCTAGTCCTAACAGCAACTGATGTGTATGATCTTCTCGAAGCGAGAATTTACGTTTCAATGAAGCAACACTTGCTTGTAATTGTTCATTTTTAGCAGCAATAACGGCAATATTGGTTACCATTTCGCCATAGACAGACCCCTCCTCCCGTCCCCCTTCCTCTTCAACCTCCCGTCCAACTTCTTCAGTTGGCATTTGTCTCTTTTCTTCACACGGGTCTAGCGCTACAAACAAGGTAAAAAAAAACACAACCTTGGGTCAAATGGTGCAATCATTTCCATCCATTAAGCTGACGTACTGTATGTACGAATAACACCTTCTTCTCGAGCTCCCGTCTCTGTCTTCTGGAGCGCGTCTACAGACGTAACACAACGTCGTTTGTTCGTATTTTGTACTGCAATCGGTGCTGAAGAGCCAATATCATGTGATACAAGTTGATGTGGTGTTTGTTCCTTGAGCTGAAGCGACGGATTCGTCTCGTTTGTCCTCACGGACGTAGCCATTCACTCTCTCGGAAGTCGATGAACTTCGATGATGACACACTTGCGTTTTGTATGTAACGAACACGAAACGTATTGAATTGATTGCCCCTTCGGAAAAAAAGGCTTGGTCATAGGTTTTTCATGTCGACCACACCACATCAAGTCCCCATTTTGACCTACATTCTGCTTTTTTAGAATGCGCAAAAAGAGGAAAGGAGTGGTCAAGGAGACGCTAATTGAAGGCACTTTCGCGTCTCCTAGGGGTGTAGATCTACGTCAAATACTTGAAAACGTGCCTGTAAATCTACATCTCTCCGTATCTCTTGGTGGCGAGAGCCTCGCGCAGTGGTATGACGTACTATGCACGTTCAAAGAGAATCTCTACGCGCAACATAAGCATCTCCAGTTGTTTCGAGCCAAACTTAAGTTGCTGGAATCAGATTCGGAGTCCGCATTGGTTGCAATTGCCATATGGCGATTGGTGTTCCGTCTCAGTGTAGCCGTTGCCACACAACCTTTACATAAGAATCTGAGACTGATTCTAGACGTTCTAGCTCAGCAACACCATGAAGAACTACGTATTGTAGCAGCCACAGAGCTACGTCTGTTTCTGGATACTTTATGGACAGTATCAGAAATGCACCATCTGATTCCAGACCAGCGTGTCCTGCTCTTGGATCGGCTGTTGCACATTGTCGAATTTCCATTTCTAGCTCGTGTTTTAGTCGAGAATCCAGTTCTTAAAGGGGAGAATGGCACTGTTCAGTATCTTTTGCAGTTCGTGACGTGCTGTGCTGATCAATTGGAGGCTTTAGGAGCGCCTATTGTGGACTATCAGGAAGTCAGAGAAAAAAGAAGAGACAAAAGCTGCAGCAGCGTCGACGAACGTGGTGCTACTAGCTTCTGAACGCTGTGGTCATGCTCTTAAAAGTGTGATTGTGCTGGCTACAATGAAAGAGATACTGGACAACCGCTTGGAACAATGTCGTGGAAGTCATTTGGATCAGTTGTCAAAGGCTTTTCTTCGCATCCTGGAACATTGTGTGCTGCTACTACAGACAAGTGTGGTACACAAGGACCTGCTGACACAAGCAGGACTAGCCTATTGTCTGGTGCTTCGCTTGTTGCTTCAGTTATCGGTTGTTACATCAGAAGTTTCTAACTCAGCTACAAAGCTACTGTTGCAGACAGTTTATCCGGAGCTGCATATTGTTAGCTCTGAAGTATGTGCAAGCACACAGCTACGAGTACATATTGAAAAGGATGTGGAGAGCTTTGGTGATCTATCGAGACTTGCAGTTTGTCGTGGATTACTGAATTGTCTTGCAAACGATGATCTTGCTTGTTTGAGTAAAAGTTTTGGGCTGGACGAAGAAGAACCAAAGTCCAAACAGAGCGTGCTGGATGCCATTTTCTCGGGTGTTCAGCAATTCTGTGATCAGGAATCGTACAACACACGTTTGTATGCGTTTCAGGTGTTAGAGGCGTTCCTACGCCGAGCAGTGCTGATCATGCAAAAACAGAAGACGCAAGCATCCTCCGCTTCGGCCAATGCTTGTGTTGTGCTGGCGGACGATACGCTTACGAAACTGACTACTGCTGTGCTGTTGAACTGGGAGCATCCATCAAAAAAGGTGAATCAGTTCATGGCTACTGTGTTTGCTCATATTGTGAACTACTTTGAACTGTCTGGTGGCTTTCTGGAATGGAGTGAAGCGATTATAAAGCGATTGGTTGAGCTGCCGCCTACTAGCCGTGCTAAGTACGGTTCGTTAACGCTATTAGTTGGAGTAGTTGGGGCTACGCCCGTGCTACAGGCCAGTCCATCGTTGCTGTCGTCGTTGCTGTCGGCAGTGGGTCAAAAGGATTACGCTGCTCCAGCAGCAGCAAACTTGTTTGCTCAGATTCTTGATGATCTTAGTATGAGAAACAGCAAAACAAGAAAACCAATGCCCGATTGTGAAGCTGTGGTCGCGCGACGACATCTCTGGCTTCCCGATGTGGTTTGCATGCTTTTATCGCGTGATACAAATCTTCGCTCACGGGTTGCTATGTATGTGATCCCGCTATTGCTGAAGAAGGACCCTGATTGCGTGCCTGTCTTGATCAAGCGTTTACAAGAGGAAGCTACGAAGGAGCAGGCCAATCTAAAGGCTGCAGATGTTGCGTTGTGGGCTGAGCTCGAAGTGCTCAAGTTTGCGCGAAAGAAAATGGCGCCTGAGAAGCTGACTGGTGTATCGGTAGACGAGATCGCACGCGGCCTTCGCCATGCCAAGGCGGAAACGCGTGGCACAGCTTTTGATGCGTTGTGTGCATCGTTAAAATCGACTAGTATGCCCACAGACGATGAATTACGGCTGGTGAAGTATTATCTGGTGGTAAACGGAAAGGAAATTGGTCCCGCAAGTCGTATGAATACGCTGATTGGCCTCAAGACAGTACTAATCCGCATAAAGGAGACGCTGCGTCTCGCCAGTAAAAATTTGGCGAAACCAGGCTCTACTTCCAATAACGCACCTACCTTTGATGAATATGCCGCTGCAGTATCGTTCAAGCGTTGGATCGAGCTGTTTATTGTCGTTTCCGTCTACCCTGGTGCGCTTCCTCAGCGCTTGACGTTGGGTCTGGAGGTTCTTCTCCTTTACATTCAGCTGTTTCGCTTTGGACATAACGAGGCTGAAGGGTCTCCACGAAGTCTTTTGCTTACCCGGCAGATGACGACGACCCTTTTTAACATGCTCATTAGTGCATGGGACTCCGTTCGGTCTCTCGCGTTTACGATCTTAGACTTGTACCCGAACGAGCTGCCGGGTTACTCTACGCGAGAAGAACTCCGCACTCTCGTTGACTGGGCTGTTGGACTCAGCGGTAGTCCCCGGCAGCGCGAAAGCGACGCTGGTGCAATGTTTATCCGTCTGCTATTTCGAAAGTGTAGCACAGCTATTCAACGATATGGGTTGACGTTCCAGTGTGTGTCAGGACTTCAAAGTGGTGTTACTGAAGCTAGTAGCAAGAACCCGGAAGTTGCTTTCATATTGCAGCTGACGCAAGTGATTCTGACCCGCGTTAAAGCTCTGAGCCCAGCAGAAATTCGACTAGGCGAGTCTCCTCTTGTGCATGGCTTTCTGCTGTCATTACATTACGTGCTGGAAAACGTGGCCTTCGATGAGTGTTCCAGTAGTGAGGCCGCAGACTGGTCGGGGGCCATGAAAGATGTATTCGCTGCAATTCATCACTCCATGCATGCGTCTCTTGCTGTGGTCGGTGATGCGACTTTAGGCGCTGGTGACGAAGAGCTATCAGCCTCGTTTGCTGGTGTTGTGGGCGAAGTGAGTGCTGTGGCTAAAACATCGAGCTCAGCGTTGCGAGTAGACTGCCGTGGCCATTTAATCGTTGAAAATGGTGATAGTGGTCACGATGGAGAGGGCGATGGGGGAAACGCGGAGCAGCGTGCCGTCGTGGGCAGCTGGTTAGCTGCTCGCGAGTGTGGTGCAATTATCGAGTTGCTCATGCGGCGCGTACCGCTCCCGAGTTCCAACCCGACCTCAGACAGCATCTCCATCTTCACTGTTGAAATGGCGCAACGTGGAGGAGAGACACTGCTGAACTCGTTGTTTGAACTCAAGCATAAGGGTGCAGTTGCTACAGCATACCAGGCATTTGAAGGTGTTTGTCGTGCGTTTCTTGCTCACGGTGAACAGAATGCAGCTATTGGAGGCTTGCCAGCACGATGGGCTGATCGCTTGCTGGAACGCTTAGAGCGAGCGGAACAGCATTTCGTGTTGCGTCGTAGCTCAGGCTTTGCTTTTAGTTTCGTGGCGATCCTTCGTGCTGAGCCGCGCAATTCTGCAGCTGTCATTTTGCCGAAGGTGATGTCGACTTTACTACGTCTCGCTGGCGAGGATACCAATGTTTCGGAAAAGCGTGATACGCACGAGCAGCACCATTCGCTTTGGCGTGCTCGTGTGCACGCACTGAACATATTGAAACTCATTTGTGAGGATGGAGTTTTGGCAGAGGATGTAGCCCGTTACGTAGTGGATATGTTTGAGCTTGCCGTGCGCGGATTTGAGTGTGGGTCCTGGGCGGTACGCAACTCTTCAATGATGCTCTTTGCTGCGGCCACCCAGCGTGCCATTGGAGACAAGCGCATTGCTGATGGTGGAACGTATAAACAAGTTGCCAGTGAAGACGTGTTCTCACGCTTTCAGCAACTTCGTGGGCTTCTTGCTCGTGAATTGACTAGACTGCTTGAAAACGACAGTACGTCAAATCGCGCCTTAGGGGGAGCAGCCCCGCCTGGCCTCTACCCATTGCTTCTGTTTTTAAGTCGCCTTCGCCCTGGCGACGAGGATGATCAGCGCATGGCAAGTGCACCAGCTTCACCTTGCGATGACGGAAGTGGGTTGGCGAGCTTCTTTCCGCTTGTCATACAATGCGCTTCTGAGCCGACGATGGCTATTCGGCACATGGCTGCGAAGGTTTTGGCCTCCATCATGAATGATACTGATGCTGCACCCGTTTTATCGATTCTCTGCGCTAAGCTTCCTCAAAGTGTCCGAAGCGCGAGGAGCCATCCCACTGATATAAATGGGAAAAAAGGGATATCGCACAATTCTGTTCACGGTGTACTCGCTCAAATCCGTCATCTTGCAACCAAATACTTGGCTGTTGAGACTGCGCGAAAGAAATACACACGCATCGCGAAAGACGTGCAAGTTTCCTTCTTTGAGGTTGTTGTAACGAAGCTGCTTCCATCATCAAATTGGCTATGGGCGGGAAAGGATGCTGAATCAATTAACGCTACCATCCGTGCAGAATTGGTGGCAACAGTGGACATCGTATTGAATTACTACGCTGAAAATACTTCTGATGTGCTTGCGACGTTGAGGTCGGGCTCGAGCATGGAAGCGTTTATTCAATTTGTTCAACAGACTCAGGCTGAAGTCGATCGCCAGTTGCAGCAACGATGTGGTACAGACCAGGCTGTTGCGGTTCGTGTGTCCACTCGACCGGGCATGTACGCGTTGGATCGCGAATTGGTGTCGATTTGGTTTAGCTTGTGGGCGCTGCCTAGTAGTGATCAACCGTTGAACTCGATTTTGAAGAAGATGCTGGTCTCTAACGTGCTCCAAATTCGCAAGAAAGCTATAAAGCAGCTCGGGAGCAGGTTAGAGATCGCGGACTTGAGCACGGATTATGTTGCTGAACTGCAGTTCATTCTGATCGGCCAGTTTTTAGTGGAGACACACCCGAAGTTGCGCGCTCGACAATTGCAGCTACTTGTGCGTTGCAAGCTTCATCAAGCCATTGCCGAAACGCAGACTCAGCGATTAGATTTGCAAACTCGGCTGGTGCGCACAATCAGCATCTCAGCAGACACACAAGTTCTAGCACCAGCGTTGGAGCTGCTTGCTCTTATGGCGTACCATCAGCTCTGCGAAAACGTTGCTGAAACCTCGTTGTATCAGACTTTGTGCCAGGAAATCGAGTTGCGGTCTAACGAAAACCAGCCCTTGATTCTTCGACAAGCTGCTGCCTCTGCGCTTGATCACAGTGGCCTCCTTCTCTTGCACACAAAGAAGCACGGTAACGTTGCAAATGCTGACCTAGCACTAGTAGGCTGGATGAGCGCACTGCGACAGCTTCAAGATGATGAAGCTCGTGTAAGAGCTGTCACACGACACGCTATACAGAAGGCCTTTGATGCTGTTGACGCTGCCTCCCCAAAAGGTTCGTTGTCGGATGCAACGGTGCTGCCTGTCGCAGTAGAGTATGTATCGGCCACTTTTGTACGTACTGGATACGGCGCGACGGCTTTATCAAAGGTGTTGATCCAGCTTATCGACGCTCCTAGCGTTCTTGCCGCATACGCTAGTGCTAAGGCCCGAGACTGGGATGACTTGTGCCGCCGAATTTTTGAGTTCGAGAGTAGCAACTATTTCGCTGAGCGCGACGTGCTTGCACAAAACATCGTGTACTCTCTATTAGCTCCTGCAACGGAAGATGTAAAGGCGATTTGCTTTCTGCGCAAGCAGGTCTTGACACTGGTTGTCAGTGCTCTAGAAACTCTGAACCAGGAAGCTCAGAATTCAGACGACGAAGGCGGACGGTGGTTGGGAGGTATCATTTACTACCCGGACGTATTCTCACCTTTGTTCGGACTTCTTGCAGCGGGCGTAGCCATCGTGACCTCGACATCGTGCCTGCTCACTGACGATCTCCTGTCCCTGGTTTCTCAAGTTCGTATGCTCGCCCAGGAAGTGTCTGACATTTACAGCACTGATAATGTTACGCATCCTCTGGTGCTCCGAGCGTTTGAGCTACTTGCCAGCAAGGACCAAGACACGTCCAAGCAAGATGGTATCGAGCCTGTGAGAGAGCTGCTGTATTTGACGCCATACTGGATGGCTTTGACCGATTCGAGGTCAAACTAGACGACATTTACGTAGAGACTGCATAACTCGGATAAATGCATGTGGGAAGTCCACGCATTGCGCGGAACAAATATCATGATCGTGGTGATTCGACCTGTGCGTCATTGCTACTACATTCCAACACACGGACTTCGACGCAGACACGTACTTCAGCTTATCGACGAATACGAGCCATTGTTTACAAAGAGTCTCAGTTTTTTCGACCGGTCTATATGAGTGACCAGATGCGATCAACCATTTAACGCGGCCAACGGACGGGTCGCTTGTGTTGTGTAATATGCTCGCTCGTCGTTGAAACGGGAACGTCAACCAATGGAGCCGGGACTTGGGCTCAAAAACGTCGAGCGACTCGGCATAAAGCAATCTCTTGGAAACTTTCACGTCTTGAGCGCCTCGTCGCTTTGTACATGATAAACTGTCACGCGTTTTCCGAGAACTCCGATGTCGTGACAGTTTATGGACGACAGCATCGGCGAGAACACCTCATTCCACAATTTACACTCATATCAACAACGCCGACGAAATTTCTAGAGTGTCATGTTAGCATCCCCACTTCCAATTCCATGGAAAGATGTGAATCACCATGGATTGCATGGAGTGGTTGAGCTTTACAGTTCTGACTTTCGAGAGAAGAAAATGGAGGAGATATACGTGCGGGATGTTATCGCGATCGTGAACAACAAAGTGCAAAACAGTTCGTCAAACGGGAAAATCTTGCGGGAGGTGAATCAACTCCTTTTGCACGGTGTGCGGATCAACAAGAACTACCCTTTGAAGAATATTATTCCTGAACTGACAGGAAGCGCTCCACGGCTTGTTGCGACAGCACAAGTACGAGTAAAAGGAAGACATGCCACTGCCATGACAGTATTTGTCATAACTTTGAGTGGCAAGACAATTACCATCAACTGCTTGTCGACGGACACTGTGAACTACGTCAAGATGAAAATTGAAGACAAGGAGAGTATTGCACCGGAAGTCCAGCGTTTGGTGTATGCCGGCAAATTACTCAATGATCAAGTCATGCTGTCGTCTTACAACATTAAAGGAGGAAATACGCTCCACTTATCGCTGCGAATTCGTGGTGGAAGTATTGGCCACAGTCCTGTCTTTCGAACCTTTGTAGACGTCTCGAATAACTCACTCATTACTGCGCGTGAGTTTTCCCCCGATGCCCCAAAATGGCGCCTCGTCAGTAAAGGGCTTAACATTGAAGGACTTTGTAGAAATCGTGAGTGCCTTGCTTATCGTGAGATGGTCATCCATTGCAAGAAGTTTGTGCCGTTCAATCTTATGCGAGATGACGATATCGAGTGTCCAATTTGTCACTGCGAAGTGAGACCTGTTACTTGTGGGTTCTATGGTTGCGCCTGGCGTTTTGAAGGTGTGACTGGAAGCGTAAACCTCTCTATCTCCTCCCAGTGGAACGATGCTAGTGGACATGTATACCATTGGTTTGACCCAGACAAGGTCAATGGGTCCGTCGAATGGGCGAGTCTGCTGATTCTGACAAAGCCAAGACAAGAAATGAAAGCTGCACAGCTATGTTTGACAGTACCCACTACTTTTAAGAGTAGCGACACGTGCACAATCTGCTGGTCCTCTTTCAGCTCACCAACGAAGTGTTTGACTCCGCATTGTGGTCACACTTTTCATCGTGAATGCTCGAAAGAGTGGGCCAAGTGGTGCAAGCACCGCAAAACTCAACCGAGCTGCCCAATATGTCGCAAAACGAATTGAGCACAGTGAGCACCACGACGGGCGATCACGATCATTTTGGTGTCAAGTGTAGCACCACGACGGGTGATCACGATCATTTAGGTGTCAAGTGTCGTTTTTGATTCTTGTGTGTCTTTGCTAGTGGCGTAATGCATTCCCCCACGTTAACTATCCCTCCATTTACTTCATGCACCGGGGTACTGAAACGAAAGTTATGACTTCCGCTTCAGTCACTATCGGTCCTTTGAGCTCATTCTGGTCAGATGACAATCTCGGCCTTTTCGTCGACAATGCGACCACGAATTCGTATGATCAGCACGGGATAGGCAATTGACATTGTAGATGTACAAACAAATGCAAGCGCACTTACATACCCAACGCAACTGATCCATTTACACACACCGCTTAGCTGACGAAGAAATGTGCGGCGGTCAACCAGGACGGTTATCTACAGCGCGTACACCAGACTTACTCACACAAGCCTTGGCTCAGTTTGTTCATGCCAGTGCCATTGGTTCAGTCTCAGCTCCTAAAACAACACCGGATCCAGCAACCGTCCCGTGCTCTAACACCTTCGACACGTCTACATCAGTGACATCACCAAGCTCAGTCACGTGTTCCTTATTGCTGTCTTCGTCTTCGATTTCATTTTCATCGTCGCTATAGTCTATGGTGAAGACGCCCACAAACTTGGAATCCGTAGCATCGATATCTGCGTCAGCTTCCACGTCCAGATCCTTAATTCCTTCGAGTGCAGAACGAAGTATTTCGTGCGTCGCTTCATCATCTTTGTCTTCCTGGTCGTCCACGGACGAACCGTGGTCACTGCCGCCATCTTCTGCCGTCGCCGTCTCAGATGATGAGCTACTGTCGTTTTGGTTACTCGCGGCACCCGAGGACCGTCGCCTCCACCCCCACTTCTTTGGGATTGACACCTCGGATAACTTACTCCTCATCGACGTTATTGAGTTCCGTGGAAGGGACAGCTGACGTCTAACACTAGGCGTGCCATTACTGTCAACGCTGGTCTTTTTTGTGCGGTTGAGGTCGCTTGTCGAGATAATGCTCGCGTCGCCATTCCCACCGTTCACAGGCATCGACGTTGTAGTTGGCATCGCTTTTTTGCGTCGCGGCTTCTTTTGCTTTGACTTTTTCTTCAACGGATCCTGACCCGTGCGTAAGATCGTATCGTATCGGCAGTACACGCACTGATCAGCTATATGGTTCAATAATTCCTGTGGTGAGGAACCCGGGCGGTCACGCATAAATGCGTGCCAGGACGAATAGCCTCCATCCAAAGTACTCACAAAGCGGAACCCACGCTTTTGGAAGAACATCGCGGCCTGGTTAAGGCAGTCAGTGTCCAAGTGAACAGCGTCACGGATGCTCGTTTTAACGTCTTCAGATGTAGCTAGCTCTGGAGGAATACCAACTCCATGACCGACTAGAACGACGTGGACCTGAGACTTCATGGGGTTAAAAGCTTCCATGCTCTTTGCTATCAGCTCCGGTGAATCAAAGACAGAAGGATCCAGGGTATACGCCACCGGAATACGACCACTCTTTAGGTCTTCGGAGCTGCGTAAACCTCGGCAATCGACAACAAAAAAGCGAGGACTCCCACTTCCTGGAGATTGCTGCTGATCGCTAGACCTCTCCCCACCGCCCATGAGCTGTGCACCCACTTCCTCGACACTGATAGGCAGCGCAAAATAAGCTGATGGTGGATCGTGTTTCTCAGCTGGATGTTCCCACTGAGTTTTTCCAGTCTGCTTGTGGTACCAGAATATTTTGCCCGCGATCGAGCGAGACTCTTTCATTACCCACTGCGACATATCCACTGCGGCTTCCGCAGTGGATTTCCGATCCGAGGTTGATGGTGCACTGAGGCCACCTGAAGGCGGCCCACTCAGGCTTCCGTTACGGGGCTGAGACCGCACCTTTTTAGCAGCCACACCAGGAACGGAACCATAAGCAATCTCGATCGCTTGACGTGAAGAGCATCTGATATCAATTGTAGCTTCACGCTGCGAGCACTTGTAACTCTTGGGTGTCTTACCACGCAAACGAGACGCCAAAAAACACAGGAAGCGGACATTTTCTTCATCAGCAAACGCTTTTGTATCGAACGTCGCACGAATCTGCTCTTGTACTTCTTCACTCGATCCACAATCTAAAAGGACGTCTTCTTGCTGAATCAACGCTGCCACCACGACAAAGAGTCCAAAGAACGAGTCATTTGTCAACAAGTATTGGTCCATTACGTACACGAATGCAGCTGGTGGTACAACTTGGTACAAATGTCCAAGCAAAAAATCAGCAGCAAACAATTTGCCTGCTACACTCCACTCATTGCCACACCATTGATTCAAACAATGAGCAAGTTGTGGTGCATGATAACTCAATAACTGTTCAACCAATTGTTGTCGCTCCCGTTTCAATGTCTGTGTCTCTTCCTCGTCCACACGTCGTTTATTCTCTTCCAGCGACGACGTCGAATCCATTGAACTCGATCTCTCCATCACGTCTCCTGTATAAACTTCCTCCATACTCCCATAACTTCCTCGATTACTTTCCATTCCTCCAGTACTACTCATTCCGATATTATCGGTCCCCACATTGTCTGCAACAACAAAATGGGGCAAAAAATGAGCACAGTACTGATAAAAACAGTCATAAATGGTCGGTAACGGCATCTTTAGTACAAAAAAAGATGCCACCACTCGAGCCATGCCTGTATAATACGCGACACTTTTCGTCGTCATGAACCACATCAATAACACCTCAAGTTCTTGTTGGACTCGATCTCGGGCTTTCAAGTCCATTGGTTCAAGAATTTCTGCCACATCACTGCATTCATCACATAATAAAGGATCTCGAGGTAATTTTCCAAGTCTCTGGAGCATCCGATCGAATTCCAGAGCAGCAGAACCATGTTGATTACGTTTATACACGTTAAGTAACACTTGCCAAATCTCTCCACGTAAAACATCACACTGAGGTGGTAAACATGGGTACACATTGGTCAAAACACACTTTTTGATCTCTTCTACACCTGGACGACGTGTAATCAGTCTTGGAGTGATTTCAATCGTGTTACAAGTGATAAAAGATGACGAACTACTGGAAAAAAGCTGAAAGAGATTCTCGGCTAAATTGCGACGCTCCTGGGACGATTTAGACGACCAAACACGTATGGAACGACGCGTCAGGATCTTGCAAAGAGAGGCTTGCTGAAGATTCGGAGCACCTGAGGCAGGGAGTGACGTACAGGACGACGAGAGAGACGTCATGGCCACGAAAAAGTCTGGAATGTTATGAAAAAACGTTACGGTGAAGAAGTGGGGAGAGGCGAGGGGGCTTGTATTCGGAATGGATATTTTCTTTGACTTGAGGTTTGTATGGAAGGAAAATGAAAAAAAAATAAGTGAGACATGTGAAAAAGAAATGTCTAGTTTCGAGAGATTGTAGAGATTTTTTTTACTGATATTATATAAACAATGGGACAGAGGTTGCAGCATGGCTACATTCTATACTGTAGTTTCGAGAGCAGATGGTGAGCTGCAGCAAAAGTATTAATGGGCTGTAAAATATCAATGCGTAAGTGAATAATCAAAGTAGTAATTCGAGATGAGGTGGTTGGGATCGATATGTGACGAGGTTCACATCGAGAAAGTAGAAGTCGAAACGAAGTACCCGTTATAAGTTCCAATGTCTTGCGTTTTTCTGCTAATGGCAATTCCACATAAACTTCAGCACGCAGACCGAGCAAACTTTCCACTGTTTCACCGTGACAAAGTACCACCAATGGCGAGGTCTTTGATCGACCATTCTGGAGAATTACCACCAAATCACTGTAGGTCTGCACCGTGTCTTGCAATCCGAAAAATATCTCTTGGCAAAAGACACACTTCCACTTTCGTAAACCACTTGTTTGCTGTTCTCTAGTCATCATCTCTAATGTACGGAAACATGACTTGTGGGCACATGTGGTCGCATGGCCCTTCTCGCAGGTTGTGTCCATTGTAAAACCTTGTACTCCGAGATTGTCGCTCGGAATCAACCAGCCAATTCCTGACACCGTCATTTCGACGAGAGATAGTGCGTGTGCTGCAACGTTGTAAAGTGTTGCAGAGCGGTCGAGTGCAGTGTTTAGGAGACCCGGAGTTGTATTCACTGTTGTGAGGTTGGAGCTCTTGTTGAAGAGCGACTGTTTCCCAAAGATGCTCTCCCAATCTGAACATAGCACTACAACACCGGATGACGAAGATGTGCTGTACGCTTTCGTTGGAAATGCATATTCAGCTTTGGTTGTTGAAGCTGAAGCAATTGGCATGAGTCCTCGTTCTCGGCGTACCGGCTTCGACTGCATATCGATGGCCATAAGGCCATCGAAAAAGACACTTTGTCCTGGAAGAAGACGTAATGCCGCCAATGCATTCTCACCAGTGACCTCAATCGTCAGCAAACGTGTCGAAGATGCGATGTAAACTTGCAGCATCACGACCAGATAGTACCTTGACACTATCGTGTGGTCCAAAGGCGGTGGGAGCAGCATTTTTGCATTCATAGCCCCCGGTTGGTTTGTCTTTGGGTCGTAGTACGCGTAGAAGAAAGCTGCAAGTAGCGGGATGCCGTGTGAAACTTTAATGCTTCGCACATGAGCATATAGCGAGAAGTCATGCCATCCTGGTTTGATTTCGTCCAAGTGAGATAAGGGTCGTTCCATCTCGCCGTATTCTTGAAGAATCGCTGATGTCTTGGTGGAATTATTCATGGCAGATACTCGACATGACTTGCTAAACAGCACGGTCGCACTACCATACTCGAAGTAGTATGTTAACCGTTGCTGGGACGAATACTCGTTCAAAACGTGCAGAATTTCCGTGTCGTGTTGGTCGCATACATGCACGAATGGATGAAAGATTGTAAGAGTGTCGCCAACGCAAAACAGGCGACTGAGCGCCACTTGGTCTTCCCAAAGAACCATTAAATGCAACCCTTGGGTCAATCGCTGCGTATTTGGCACCGCCCCCCGGGGGGCCGAGTATTGGTTGGATCAACCTCTCCCAATAATATAACTTGTCGATGGACATACAGCGGTGTTTGACACGGTCGAATAGCACCAATATCGAGCACTTTTGCCGTCGGCATCAGCAGTTGAATCACAGTTGGATCTTGAACTTCTCCAACCAACTGATCCACCTGACTCAAACTAATGGCGTCAGCTAACAATTTTCGATCAAGCATTCTATCTTCATCCAGTCGTATCGTCAAAAAGGCAGTTGGTAGTAACGTAAACTTAACTCGATGGTTTTCTTCATCCATCAGTCTCCTATCCACTTCCTTTCGCTCCAAAAGTTTGGCATTGGTAAACGAAATTTCACAACCAGTTTGAAAAGGGAACGTAGCACCACTACCACCATGACAACCAAAAACACAAAAGCTTAAGTTATTAACTGATCCTAGTACAAAAGTTCCGCACACACACACGCACCCAATAGGTTCATGTTGCAACATTTCCTGTATAAAATCAACACAGGACCGGAATCGCTGATGCAAATACCTTTTCCACCACTTTCATCAGTGATAAAAGAAAAATTCTCCCTCATTCAATAAGAAACGTAATACTCACATGTAAATTGTCACATCTGTGGCATTTTCCATCTCTAATGTCAGTCGATGGTTTCCATAATCTATCACTTTAGCGTGTAGAACTTTCTGTTTATCTTCAAATAATAAGTCTTCCATGGCTTCGACATGTTGAATTTTCCTCTTTTTCAATAACGTTCCCGTCTTTTTCTCGGAATGTTCGTCTTCTTTTTGTTTTAATAATTTTGTCAATTCCGTAATAATTACAGCTTCCGTCAAACCAGCTGGATATTCTTCAATTAAACGCAATAATTTGGAAAAGACCCAATAAAAAGGAATACATGGTCGATCGGCACTCCTGTCATGCTTTTTCCGCCAAAAGTCACGCAATTTCTGCTGTACGAACAAAACTTGACGCTCGACAAAGTCAAATGTTGGTTGAACTGAGTGGAGAGCATTCGTTGGCTCCTCTAGCTCTTCAATGGCGTCCAGTAGATCCATTATACAATTATTAAAGATTATATTCAAAAATTTACAACAAATTCAAAAAATCTCACAAGGATTTTTGTTGGAGACTAAAAAAAGAATCTAGATATTCTAGACGTTAAAAGCAAAACTCACATGGATAAAGCGATACTAAAACCCGACTTTTAATCAGCTAAAACTACTAAAAGCAAGCAAGTCATTTGCTGTCGAGGTGTTCCAAAAAGAGAGTAAATACTCAGCAAGTCTTCGACCAGGTAAAGCAGCATATAGGACAGGAAGGTAGCATATGCTTCTTCTCACACCATTTAGACCACACCTTCATATAAATACAATGTAAGCTGTGCCCACAGCCACATTTGAAAATCGATCGCTTAAACGGTGAACCAAATTGGCACCAGCAAACAGTGCACACACCTTCTTTGCTGTCTTTGTCACCTGCAGAAAAAAAAGTAGTGGTGAGTTTGGCTGCGGTTGCTTCCTCCAATGGTTTGGCCATAAGCACGAGACTTGACCAGTTCACCGTGTTGCATCGTTCGTCAAACCGATGATATATGTTTTCTTCTTTGGCCTCTTGCCACCGCGAAGAAATGGAGAAAGAATCACTTGTCTTGATCCCTTCAAACTTCCACGCGCAACTATAAAACCCACACGTGATCGGCTTTACCTCCGTGTTGCATTCTGGGCATTCGACATCGTTTTCCTTCATGAGGTTGAAATAGTCAAACCCCATCCGATGGACAATACGCTCTCCGTATGCTCGACACCCGACATTTTCACAAAAGCCTTCCACATTCAGACCCTTGGTGCATTCACGCCAGTCTGGAGCAGTGTGGGAAAGCTCGCGCTTAACCACTTTGGACCCGTTGGACACATCGACAAAGGATCGAGACGCTGATGGTGCCTTGCTAAAGCCACCTCGAAGTCTAGCGATCAAGTATAAGGAGCTATTGTTTTTAATCTTGTAATACGAAAGCTTGCGATGGTCCTCAAGTTGTTTGCTTCCGTACATGATACGCTGGTCATCGACTGGAACGTGCGCTGTCACACGAATCTGGGACTTGACGCAGTCCACCGTATCATTCGACGCGCAAACAATCGTGACAGACTTGCCCGTCAAAGTCTTGACACACACCACTAGACCCTTGCTTTTCTTGGTTTTAGGTCTAGCATGCACTGCTACAACAAGACGTGGAATGCTACTTTCCAGATCGGGAATCAACGACTCGAGAAGTCGGTCATCACTGACACGAGATCCATGCAGATGAAGTGACTTTACAGTGCGTATACAAGTGTCGTGCTGGGGAGAGCTCTGAGTTTTTCATTGAGAATTGCCATGAGTTCGCATACGCGGGAACCTTTAAGCTTTTGCCGCCGTAGATCTAGGCTGTAAATCTCGATTACACCTTTCAGTCTTACCTCGTTGATATCCGTCCAAGGTACTGGTAGCGTCAAAAACCGACATGATCCTTTCAGACTGCGTACGAAGATACCAAGTTGAAAAGTGCATGCCAGAACGATACTATTCCATGAAGGCGAGATATCTGTGAAAGATGACGAATAGCATTACATGAACAGCGTTTTGAAAACAAGATCACCATAAACGGGATCGCTAGTTTCTAAGAAAGCGAATTACAGTTGAGAATGTCCAGGGTAGAGAAGTTCCAACATCGAAGAAGTAGCAAGCTAAATGTGTAATCGTTAGCTAAGAAGTCTATGCGGACGCTTTTGCCGTGTCCTTTGGTATGTAATGCATTCTCCGTGCAATTAGTTGATCTAAAGGCTAGCCATTGGTTTTATCATACGCCGCAGCGCAAGGCGTAACGACTTGTAGACGCTTCGCTGTTGTTGATGTAAGGGATTTGTCTATGACAGTCGACCAGCAGAGCTACTTGTTGTACCGCAGCAGATAGAGCCGTTCCAGATAGCCTTGTGTGTCGTTTATGAGACTGAGCACGTTATTCGAGCACCGTCAGCATCTTGTGGAAGGATGAGGCGGTCAGTGCAAGTCTTTGCTCGATATGCTGCACCAGGGCAGTCAACGATTACACAACATACTATCATTATGCGAAGCACAACAGCTCCATGAACTTGTCTGATGCTCAAGGATCATGTTGCGTTCCAATCGGTACGCGCTACTCGACAATACAGGACTTTGTTACTTACCCAACAAGCAAGCACCTAATATTCCGTGTCAGAATGCCAAGACAAAACGTGATTTGCACCATCAATAACAGTCGAACAACTGGCGTGTTTGTCTGTGAAAGGTATTCTCAGCAGGGAATTCGCACAAAGGTATTAGGGCCTGACACCCGACATGTCATCCCCTCTATTAGGCATCTGTTAGCGTCTGTTTGGCTATCTTCCTTCACATCGTAACTGAAAAGTGATACCTTCTACTATTTAGTTCCAGTCTTCTTGATCTGGACAAAAAAGCCGAAGATAGACACGACCAGTATCGCCGCAAGATATCCCCACCACTCCTTCGGGACGTCGTACACGTAGTATCCATCCTCGTCCAAGTGGCGGTAATCCTTGGTACCTGTGAGCTTGGGAAACTTGCCACTATAGTAGCCAACACCGTTGACCAGCATCACAGCACCAACCAAAGCTGTAGCCACGATAATGGCAAGTCTCTCGACCCTAAAGGCCACAATCCCACAAATCAGACCCAGCACAATGGCCATAATGAGGAGACCCGTGGACGGGTCGCTTGGGTAGATCCTATAGCCAAATGAAGTGTTAATAATGGTCGCCAAGAAGACACCACCAGCTGCGCCAATGATGAAGATGCCTGCACTGTAAATAGAGACGACAAGGGACCCGACGATAGTACCACCAATGAGATAGGCAATCCAAAAGGCTGTGCGACCGTGCACAATGTACTCGGCAAGGCTTGATACAATGTATCCACCGACGAGAAACCCGCACGCAAACATAGTGGGACGTAGCAATTTATAGCCACATGTATTCATGATGAGGCCACAGATAATGGCGATGACGGCAGCGACGCCGGGACCGACTTCGAGCTGGTCCGAGATAGAGTTGACGACCCCATCGGTGGAAGAGGAAGACGGAGAACCTCGTAGAGATGAGTCGGACTGAGCCATGGAAAGGGACAAGTAGATTGACAACATGGACAAAAGGACCACCGGCTGCATTTTGAATAAAATCATACGGAAAACTGAGGTCTTGTCTCTTAGTCTGCAAATTTAGAAATGAGACCACTTTTCATGAACTGAACTTATACTGAGTTTGATAAAATATGATAACCTAGAGCGCATCGTTTATGAAGGGGATAAAATGCGGCTTTGATTTTGACACTGGATTTTCTTGCATTTAAATGCCTTTGGACATGTCTCAGATATGGTTTTTTGGCCGCAAGAAAGATTAAGAGCGTTTTGACTACCTGCTTCTATTGCTAAGTAGGTCCAGGAGGGGTGCAAGTCGCTTCCGAGACTGTTTGACTACGAGTTTATACAGCTTTAATTGACAAGAAATGCCCATCTCAGGGTCTCACATGCACATATCACCGGTATAGTCTGGCCACATCGACTCGACCAGTGTATGGACGAGTAGCTGAATGGCAAGCACAATTTCTTGTTTAGGGAAAACAGCAATGTCTGCTCGCCCTCTAGAATTTACAGAAAATTGCTATACGAGACTAAGATCAGCGCTTTCGTCGGTAGCTGCTGCATCTCTGACACGGTCAGGATGCAAGCAACCTTCAAGGCGACATTCCTCGGCACAGTAGAATAAAAAAGTAGTAAGCTGCATATCGGGATCACTTTACAAGAACAACTTGCCACGTTATCTGGTAATAGTAGTATATTCTGCTCTGTCTCTATATGGGGATGCCCAGCCTTCAGTACGATCGATCGACTTCCACATACAATTCCTACGGTGGTCATGCGAGTAATGGATCCGCGCCTCCTCTACCATGATAACGTTTCTAGGTTTACAGGCTGATTGATCTTTGACTACCAAGCTTGCCTTGGTTTCAAAAAGTGAAAACCTAGTTCAGTGTCACTATTACTTCTGCGTCCTTATATAAGTTAGGACGACGTACGTCATGAAAATCCTACCACATTTAATGCAGGGAAGTCAATGTCACGTGAACCAGCACAAACTTGGCACTGGAGGTATCATTCGACATCTCGTTTAAGCCATTTGACGAGTTCATAGAGGAGATTTGGCGGAGACGACAATGCACGTTATGCGTCATAGCCATTCTCTCTGCAATATTATCCATCGCATTTTGATATTGTATCTCGTACAAACTCTCATTAAGTGGTTGCTTAGTTGCCTTCGCATGTCCTCTGCTCAATGCAGTAGTTGCCACCAACAGTTCTATCTCGTACTCAGTCTACATGTGGAGGTAATGGGTATTGAGAGTATCGCCATGGTGCCTACAATTGAATACATGTACAACCAAAAGTGCGGCTACAGCACGATACGAGTGCAAGGCATACAATGAATATTGGTGGAGTCAGGAAACAGGGGGACAGGATTCGATGTCGTGTGTTTGAAGGTCGTAGTTCGACATTACAACACACTTCCTGTCCCTCATTTTTTGTTTACAGAGTTACTCTGTAGTCGTATATTCTTCGAAATGTAAAATTGAAGTTTTAAAATCTCATTTGTAAGATGAACACGATAAAGTTCTCTTTTCAAGTAAAGGATGCTCTTGACAATATAGAACTCAATTACAGCAACTCTAATGAAAAGCTGGACCATCTGCACTTCGGTGGTCGCCCAAGTTGCGGCCTCGTACATCTGGACCTTGGCGCAGTTGCTGGCAAATATTAGATTATACGACTTAGCAGCTTAACTATAACTGTAGCACGAAAGAATGGCCTTGCAGTGCGAGTCGTCATCGGATGCAACTGTTTAAGACCTAGCAGTCAAATTTCGAATGAAAGAACAATAGTAATAACGGCCTTAGAAACAGAGATGATTCAAGGATTGGAAGAGGAAACGGTGAGACCGTGGGTCACGTTCGACAAGTTGGGTCCTTTTTGGTCTACGGCATGTGTCCTACACTTCCTCATGACAGTTCAAGGCAGCGCATCATCAAAAAGGTGATGCGTTATGCTCAAGGACTCAAAGTTTTGACTCGAATGACCTCAAGAGCTGATATTGTTTATGGTGCTGTAGCAGGCGGAAAGAATCATGAAGACAACGTGTTTCTTCACGAGCATAAGCGGATATAAACGAGCGCTAGTGTATTCAGTGATCGGGGGATGCAACGACACTTGTTAAAATTAGAGAAGAAGGACGCAGGTGGCACAAAATCGATCCGAAGTAGTTCAGCCGCAGGATTTTTTGCATTGCTAGTACATGAGCGACAAGATCACGCTCATGTCTTGGAAAGATCAAGCTATGGACAATCTGCAGCAAATGAAGCAATGTTTGCTAACAACGCTAATGTTGGAGGCATTTAGCTCGCTACCACGAAAGTGGCCCAGCTGTCAGATGCTGAGCTGCTCCAGATTTTGTAAAGCGTCATACCAGTTGTTTTACTTGGATGTAGCCGAGCATCTAGCATTGAAATCATACCAAGCACGTCATCAAAGTGCCGCTTGAGATACGCAAAACATCAAGATCATGAAGCCTTGGATGCAACGCGACGGAGTTCAGAGTGGTATTGAGTCGTCACAAAATTCTTCCATATCTGCTTTAGAATTCTTCAATGTTGATCATCCCATCGAGCACGAATTGTCCAGAAAGAAAGCTACATGCTACAGAGAAGATTGAGGCTTCGATATTTGTAGTAGCATAACGGCGAGTATCAGTAGCTGATGGCCCAAAGACGCAGAATCAGCCAGATGCACGAGCGTACACCATATGAAAGCTAAAGATAGAGCCTGATAATATCCATAGTAGTAGGAAATGGTTCACCAATTAAAGATGGTTTGAAAGCATTTGAGGTGCAACATGTGCACCAAAATAAACCTATTGTATCATTGTATCGTAAGCAATATACGTGACTCAGGTGGTTTCATTTCTGATTAGATCAGCCCAGTAAGGGCTGAAAATGGGTGCATTTTTATAAATCTGATTGGGGTTAAATAGACATTGGTTTTGGCATACGCAGCGGCTTCTGCTCAAAGGCGCTTGGGCTCTTGTGGGGTGAGGGCAACTTGGTTGCAGCTTTTTTTGCATCGTATGACGGAGACCGTGGCGTCGGTTTTTGCTCGGAATTGGGTTGCGGCTCGGGCTTGATGTCCATTGTGGGCGCGGGAACAGAAGGTTGTTTTGCTTAATCTTCTTGTTTTTTATTCTTCTTTTTAGTCATTAGCTGATTTTTTCTTTTCTTCTAGAATAATTTTTGGTTTGGGTACGGTAGACAAAGCGTGGTGTGGTTTACATAAATCAACATCATCGACGTTTCATAATGAGATTTGACGGAGTTAAGTGCGACTACATGATGCAAATCATTGAAGGTTTCGTTGGTCAAGTCTCAATTAACTTTCAAGACCACGGTTTCCAGAGCTATGGTGACCAAGCTTCGAGTCGACTCCGGTGTAGGAAACGGATACTTGTTTTGCATTGGCTAAAATCTACTACCAGATCACTTCTACTTATGCTTCGACCTTTTCTTCGCGGCAGCCGAGGCAGTTAAAGACGTCAGCGTGTCCCCACTCTTTCTTTTCGGTGGGTTCACGACGTAAGATCAAGTTACCTCCAAGGCACGACACTCATTCTCAACAATCTCAGCCATGTCTTTGGCCTTCTCGTACCAAGACTGCATCACCGAGGTGAGTTTTTGCTTTGCTCTAGTGTTCTGCCTAATTCATTCCAGTCAAATAACCTCATACTGCATATCCAGGTTGACGAGTACCTCTCGTCTGCATCCGTGAGTGACGACGAGCCGGAACTGGCGCTGCATTGGGACCAGCAAGCGCTTTCTCAGTTTGTGGATGCAGCTAACAGCGTGGACGCTGGCGTGGCCATGCCCGATTGGCTCTCGCAGCCCCGGGGCAGCATCACACCCGACTCTATTGTCGAGGACATCATGAAACTCTTAGCTACAAAGGCGGGCGGGCGGTTTGGTCGTGTGTTGTTGACCACCAACAGTCTCGTACAGTTCGGCCAACTCTGCGGCATGTTCGCGTACATCGAGAACGACGCGTTTATGCTGGCAGCTGCAGACACTGCAGGTATTAGCGACGGGACCACGCTGGCCAAGGTCTTTTGTGTGACAGAGGGCAGCGTGTCCGCCGCCGTTCCCATGGAGTTCCCTCCTCTCGAGAACCAGAGCCGACGCCTGTTCTCTTGAGTACTCGACTCGAACCGACTTCTGTTATGATAGTGTTTATGTGCGGCTGTGGACATCAAGCAAAGGCGTGCGAAAACAAGATATTCGCTAAAAAAGGAGAACGTCATCCTTTGTCTCCATCATTCATATTGTTACCATCTTGTGTCCGAATATGAACGCTGGCCGACCTGCAAACGACGCGTCATGTTCTATATAGCTTCACATGATGCACTCCGCGCAAATCTTCTTTGCCAGCCTGATTCTTCGCCTACCACATTACTTTCTGCTGGCGACGACGCAATGCACGAGTTCCACTGCCTGGCTCAACAGGACTCAGGTACATCCAGATCCTACTTCGCTAGTGAGCAGCGCTAAAAGCAGCACCGTCTTCTTTCATCTCCAGCGACCAGCTCTCGTTATGCAGCTCTCTCATTGTACAGCCCTTGTAAAAACTCGTCTCCATTGCATTTCTTCGCCATAGGCAGGACATGGCTACAGCTGACGCGACGTTGTCACCAGCGCCTTGCTGAGTTGCACTACACTAAAGTTGCAATAAAGCAAGAGCTTGGCATAGTTGCCATTGTAGACTATTTAATGCGAAAAAATACGCCAGACCTGCACTTGAATGGGGCTTCGAAGGCCCACATCGGCACGGGCGTAGCGTTGTAAAATCTACCGATTTGCTGTGGAGCTGTGACCGTGACGATCACGAGCAGTACACTTTGATTCGTCCAACGACTCGTATTTCAGCGAATCCTCGCACGGTCTTTACAAACGCAGCAAAAAAGACAAGCTGAATTACAATTACATGCTGCATTTTCAAATTTACCATACACTTCGTCCTTCGCAATGTTCCAGCTTGTCCAACGTAACGATGAGGCGGCGGATATTGAGCAGTTTCGAACTCTCCATCGCCGTCTGTTTCGTATACAGCACGAGTTGTTAAAAACTGAGGCTCTGGATGAGGATGACGGACGCAAGCGTAAAATCTCTGCCACTTGGCACCAGAAGCAGCAGCAAGCGCGAACGAATAAGCTGCAGAACGATGGACAGTGGCCTCCATCAGCTAGTACAAATACAATGGTGCAATTTAATGCCTTCAACAATGCTACTTTGTCCAAAACGTTCGACCGGGAGCCGTGCGATGCAGTGTCCAGCGCTACGCAGCACATGGCCGACGTGGCCAACCAAGTGGCTTCCATGGGGTTTCAATTCACTAGTACATGGCTGCCGACGGATGGGCCTATTCCGCATTACATGGCGTGGTGATGACCAACTACCTCTACATACACTATACCAGCAGCCCCTGATGGTTTCATACCTTTGGTACATGCTATATACTATATACTAACTTCAAGTTCATCTGTAGGACAGCGTTAAGCACCGTAATAATATTTATAACGAAACGTACTTTTTGATTAGTAGCGTCACACCAAGCATCTTGTGGACCACACCAACTGACACGTCGCTAGCTTACGTGGTCCACTCCTATCCCAGACCCAAAGTATTAAACCGCGATCCTATCACTGACTTGATTGAAAATGCAGCAGCCTCCACCGCTTCCCCCCACGCCCCCCTCTGTCGATAAGCCAGTGGGTGGGATTCCATACTTGGGCTCCCGTATTTCACTCGTGTCAAAGACTGATATACGTTATGAAGGGTTTCTCTTCAATATTGACACGCGTCAGAGCACTGTGGCTCTACAGAATGTTCGTTCCTTTGGTACTGAAGGTCGTCGTGCTGAGCACGTGCCGCCCTCATCTCATGTGTTGCAATATGCAACCTTCAAAGCTTCCGAGATTAAAGACCTGCACGTGTGTGAGGCTGCACCGTCATCTGAAGCTTCACAGCCTCCTCAACCATCAGTGTCTCCAGCTTCAGCTCAATCTCCAGTGCCTTCTACAGGACCTCTTTTCCCAGCTTCCATAGCCAAACCAACATTATTAACCCCCGGGTCAGTCTCAAGTGCTCACAAGCAACAGACACAACCGGATCAGATACCACAACAGAATCAGATGTCACAACAGAATCAGATGTCACAACAGAATCAGATTCCACAGCAGGATCAGATACCACAACCGGCTCAGATACCACAACAGAATCAGATACCACAACAGAATCAGATACCACAACAGAATCAGATACCACAACAGAATCAGATACCACAAGAGCCACGACGACAAAAGGGGCACAATTCTCGGACAATCCCGGGTATGGGTGGCCACTTGCTTAAACGCAAAGAACGCCGTGTTCCTAATGGTGCAGAAACAGCTACAGTGAGACCTGATGCAACCTCGGGAGAGTTTAATTTTGCTGAAGGGTTGAGTGATTTTAACAAAGAGCACGAGTTTTCGAAGCTTGAGGAAGATACAAAGAAAGAGACCACGGGTAGTTATCAAAAGTCGTCGTTCTTTGATACGATCTCGTGCGATGCATTGGATCGACTTGAGGGACAACGGGCGAGGATGAGTGGTGTGGAAGAGAGGAAGCTTAATACCGAGACATTTGGCGCCGTGGGACTGAATAATCGCCGTAACTTCCGTGGGCGTGGAAGAGGACGACGTGGAGGATACCGCAATGGCAACTGGAACGGTGGACGTAGCAATGGCGGCGGCCGCGGCGGACGCAGCAACAGTAACAACAATGCCTTTCCCCGACCGCAACCCGCTGGTCCGTAATGCTGCTTGTGAGGAGCCCAGGACAAGAATATACTGGAAGTACCGGATAAACTAGTGCTGCTAACTCATTATTTTTGGTTTGTTTGCCTCATATTGATCAAGATTTCATCGAGCTAGAGCTATATCAACGAATGATTTCATGTAATTGATCGTGGTTTTTCGTACTGATGCGTATCATTCGTCAGCATCGATCTCCCCTGCGACATTTTACTACTACATTGGCGAGCTCGCAAAGCTGCATTGTAGAGCCCTACCTATGAAAAAAGAGAATAGTGGAACCTTGATGCAGTAGCCATGCTCTACATCCTTCGTCATCTGTATGGAGTTTGGGCTGCTAAACAATACGATCAACACAAAGCATCAATTACTACAATGTACGGAAATAGGTCGTATTCGTGTATCGTATGGAGTTCCGCTTGACTGTAGAGAAATTATATGATACCAGCCAGGACTTCCTTACAACCGGATCAGAGTTTTGGTGGCATAATACTCGCTGCATCGTCTGCAACTTTTTCACGTGCATCGCCGCCCGGTCCGTACATAAAGTCCGGCTACAGTCAAGCCTCTGAAACTACGTGCACTTTTCTAAGGACCACTTCACTTGCGGCCATTTATTCGAGTCTTGTACAATCTTTTTACCACGACTGTTTACATGTACCCTTCAGGATTAAGTGAAAAACGACCGAATTGCAACATCATCGGAAACAGAAGGACCAAACAGAAGATATTAAGAGCCGTAAGTGGCCTGCAAAGGCAACACTTCCATCTGCTTTGCTGCGGATGGATGTATATGTAGTAGCGAAAGGTATTGGACAGGAAGCTTTAAACGATATAGCATGGTGATCTCTACTTCAGACCACTACTTTTGCAAGGTCAGAGTCGCGTCACCCTTGGTCGATCGCGCACCGCTTTGGCCTCATCGATGGGCCGTTGGATAGTAAAGAACCCAAGGCATGTTTGTTTTGCTATCAAGAAGTCAAGAGCCTTGCTTCATCCCTTAAACTCATGACCGGGCGTGTACATGTACTTGATGCTCATTAGCATGACAAATATTGCTGAAATATTGCATGACGATCGTATCCGCATAGCGACAATCTCGTAGAAGGGTACCAAAACTCAAGCACACAGCGGGATCCGGACACTTGAAACGACTTCAGTCTTTCCACTGTGTTGGATAACGAAAATGATGCGATCTGCTGGATTCAATTGCACATGTTTCGATCGGAGGTTGTCTAGGCTCATTAGCAATATGCTTGTAACGGGCTCAACGTTACACGTACCCGTAAAGTATGGGATACTTAACGGGCAGGTCTCAAAAGGTACGTAAGTACCTAAGACCTGTCGCTCGGGTGAGACACACCATGTGTCACACCCTTGCGTATGTGATATACACTAGGTGTATTCACATTGATGGGGATCACGCCCAGCTGGGACTAGGCGTCATCAAATGACGTCAGTCAGTTACGTCATTGAGCGAGATTATATATATATAAGCTCGCACGTTGGGATGCGCATCTATAGAGATGGCACCTATCATTACATATTAACCAATCAGTAGTTAGATTTATATTTAATTATAATTCATTAAATATAGCTCAGTCTTGAACTTACTTAAACACCGAAGCACCACGCACGAGAAGCTGAAAAGCTTCTGCGTGACGCCGGTACCTTCTTGTATTAGAAGTTCGTTTCACTCTCGCTTAAGCGAGAGGCAACTGGTGGTACGA